AATATCAGAACCAGGTTTCCAGCTGAGTAACTAGTCACATGACACATACCTGCCATGCCAGCACTCAGGAGGCTGAGGCAGGAAGATTCCTGAGAGTTTGAGGCCAGCTTGGGCTACACAGCGAGACCCTGTCTCAAAAATCCAAACAATAATAAGCATGATGATGATGATGATGATGTAGGTGTTAGCAGGTGCTAGAAACCCTCCCCCCGTTGCTCTGTGATGTCTCTAACACAGAGGCACTGCTCTCCCTCAGGGCTGTCCAGTGGGGTTCAACCTGGGTTACCAAAGGATCCTGAGAGGCTGGCACCATCACCCCATCTTACAGATGAGTGGGGCGCAGCCTTTGTACCATCGCCCAGGGTTTGCACACCATCTCCCTGCAGAGTTGGCAGGTAGTCAGGGCCAAAAATGTTCGGTCCCAGCCACACTAGTCTGGCCAAGAGCAATCTGCCCAATTCACAGAGGGATAAACTGAGGTCTGGGAGGCCCCAAGGCGGGCAGTGGTAGCCAGACCATCCCCTGACCTACCAGCCCCCTCAGAGCAGCCTGAGGTTTGGGGTCCCAGGTGCAGCACAGAAGTCATACTCTCAGCTAAGGACAGATGGCAGAAGGGGAGGACTCTGCCTGCTTCCAATACAGTATCTTTGGAGGATTTTGTGTGCCTTGGCCTTTTTTTTTTTTTTTGTCTTTTTGAGACAGGGTCTCACTATGCAGTTAAGGCTGGCCTTGAGCTCACTTTGTAGCCCAGGCTGGCCTCGAACTCGCAACAATCCTCCTGTCACAGCCTCCCAAGTGCTGGGATTACAGGTGTGCACCACCACACCCCGATAAGTGTCTTTAAAGGTTTTTCTGTTTTTGTTTTTGTTTTAATTTTTTTTTTAAAGAATAAAAGAAGGATAACATAATAATAGGGGGGGACTTAGCAAATTACAGACAAAATGGTAGGAAATTATCAATGGTTATCATTTTACATATTATTGTCTACAAAATAGTTTCTCAGGAAAACAAATAGACAAATAATAGTGAGTTACAGACAAAAGAGGTAGGAGATTATCAATAGTTGTTGTACTATACTTTGGTATCTTCAAAGTGGCTTCTAAAGAAAATAAATAGAGCTATACATGAGTGACCTATTGAAAAATCATTAACTATTCTCAATGGTTGTTGTAGGAAACACATAATAATAAACATACATCCATTTATGAAATAGGATAGGAACATTACAAACTTTACACAGTTATGGATAGATTAGTAGGAAAATATCAATGGCTGCTGTAATACGTGGTGGTATCTTCAGAGTGGTTTCTCAGGAAGACAGAGATATGCAAGAGGGACCTATTAAGTAGTTACAGCCTAAGGGTTGTCAAAAATAGCATATTACCTCCTCACCAGTGACTCCTTTCACTGAGGTATGATGGCTGGAAGGAAGGCCAGGATTGAAAAGAAGGACCGAGAGACTTGCACCTGTGTCTAGCAACAGGCTGTTTTCTTGTTCCTCCATAGTCATGATTACCCAGGGCTCCTTGATGGAGATGACGGTCTGGCCAGAGGGAGAAGGCAGACCATGCCCCAAGCCCTCTCATTCCTGTTGGACTAACTGGTAGCATGGGTCTGAGCTCTGGGGCCTCCACCTCAGAGGGCAGACCGATCTCCAGTGGTCTCCTTTGCATCCAGGGCATGGCCTATGGGGCCTCTTAGGGCAGTTCCTCTTGAGGTGGCCTGGCTTTTAACAGTGGTAGCAGATGAATGCAGTTGTCGAGTTCTTCTTGGAGCCCCGGGAATCAGACCTGGGATCTGTTTCTCTTAGTGGTGCAGCAAAAGCAGCTGCTTTTTCTCAGTCTCTTTGTTTTCTCTCCTTGGCCTCCTCCTCATCATGGCTATAGAGTACTGAGGAGGCAATTCTTACTAACATCTCAAGTGAGCTATCTGGGGTGAAAGCCATTCTTTGAAGCTTTTTCTCTCCAGCTTCCCATTGCTTTGGGACTCCACAACCACTTAAAGTGTCCTCTCCCCAACCATCAGCACAAGCAGCAGGAATCTCGGTGCAGACCTCTCCTGAGCTCCACCACAGCCTGTACTGTCAGGAGAAGAATGGCTTCCAGAGAGTCTCCCCAGGTATTGTGCAAGGTCCTCCTGGTTTACAGCTTCTGAACGGCTCTCATGACCACAGTCCACAGGACCTCTGACTCCTCGGGCTTAGTCTGTATTCTCACGTTCTCTGAGTTCTTGTTCAGGAGCTGCTCCTCCGCTCACTCTGGTTTAAAGGTTTTTGAATCCCACTCTCTGAGGAGAAACGCTCCGGGTAAACCACGACCTTCTGTACAGAAAGAAGCAGAACCTACAGGGCTGTCAGGCTCGGCCCAGCACCTGGGGAGCCGTGCAGCTGCGCCAGGGGAGACTGTGGGGGCCCTGTGTCTGTCAGTCTTTGGGGTGTCACTCTGCCATCCAGCATGGGACCTGCGGCCGGGCAGATGTGAAACAGGAGGCCCTGAAGAAGGCTTGTGAAGGACAAGGCTTTTATTCTGGTCCCCCACCACCACCAGCGGGCACCCCCTCCTCTGCGTGCCTGCCGTGGGACAGGTCCCCACTCCCAGAGCCACAGAGGATGGGGAGGTCTGGACCCGCACAACTTCACGCCGCCTGTGATGGTGGTGACAGTGGCCTCGGGGACTTGGCACAGCCGCTAGGTCTACCCGTGGTTTCGGACAAGAATCCAACCGGAAGTCAGGGACCAGGCTATACCAGTGCCAGCATCTGAGGCCTCGGTGCCCAGGAGAGATGGGGTCTGCCAGGGTCCTGCGCTCTCATGTACCAAGTGCCCTGGAGCCAGCTCTCTCCCGTGCCTGCCTCAGTGTTTATTTCTGTTAATGAGGATGGCTGGGCGTAGTGGTGCACACCTGTCGTCCCAGCACTCAGGAGGCTGAGGCAGGAGGATTGCTATGAGTTCAGGGTCAGCCTGGACTACATAGTGAGTTCAAGGCCAGCCTGAACTACATGGCAATACCTTGTCTCAAAAAAACAAAAAATAAAAATAAAACAAAGAGGATGAGGGTGGCCTATTAGTTGCTGGGAAATTGGCCTGGGGTCACAGATGCAGCACCCCCCATGCAGCACTTAGCAGGAGGGGACCCAGCTGTGCACACAGCTGTCCCTGTCACGGGGCACCCCAGGCGGGTGGGCGCAGCCACTGAGCCCCAAAGCCTCCCTCAGGGTGGGGCGCGGTGCCCAAGGGAGAGGTGCCCGGGAAACTCCGCTGCATGAATGGACGCTGCTCGGCCGCGGGGTCAGGCCTGCCCTTCCAGGGACAATGAGGACGGCCTGCTTGGACCGGGGCCGTCCCGGGATGTCTGCGGGCTGAGGTCACCGGGCCGCTGCACCCACAGGAAGCGCAGCTCGGGACGCCCAGTGCCAGCCGGCAGACGCTTCCGGGCTGGCGGCTGCGCCCCACTCCTCCCCTTCCTCCGCTCGCCTCGGCCAGGCTGGCATCCCTCGCCGGCCGGGTCACACCCTAGGGCTGGGAAGCCTGAGGGGCGCCCAGAGTCTGTCTGCCGGGAGTCCAGGACAAGTCTGGTCCCAGACAGAGCGGCCTGCACGCAGCGGAGGGACAACCACATGGCCCAGGGGCCACCTGGGGTCACCGTGTGAGACTTGAGGCCATGCAGGGCCAGTGATCTACGGAGTGAAATTGAGGCTCAGAGAGGTCAAGCAGATCCCCGGGGCTGCACAGCATCCGATCAGCTCCCGCTGTGGTCTGAGCTGGCGGCGGCTTCTGTCACAGTCTTGCAGGGCAAAACCCTCCTCTGCGCCTTGTTCCCCTCCTCCGAAAAGTGAGCAGACAGGGCCAGGGGAGCCGGCACCCCTCCCAGCCTGCTGCTTACCAGCACTTCTCCCACGCCTCCCGAGCGTGGGATTCAGGCATATGTCACCATACCTGGCTGCAGCTGCATCAAATGCGTCTTGCACTGAGGGAAACTGAGGCCAGTGGAGGTGAGCAGCCGTCTGGGGCTGCAAGGGCTTCTCACCACCACACCCCGCTGTCTCTGGGCCGAGCCTTGTCTCCCTCCAGTCTGGCAGGGCTCAGACTCCACACCCCACGTTCTCTGGCCGGCAGTGCCAGAAACCTTTCTATTGCAAAGCTCAGAGTACGGACGAAGGAGTCTCACACTGCCTAGATAAGCAGCACAAAAATCATGGAGCTGGGCGTGGCGAAGCATGCCTATCATCCCGGCACTCGGGAGGCTGAGGCAGGAGGATCACAAGTCCAAGCCCAGCCTGGAGTATATAATAAGCAAGACCCTGCCTCAAAATAAACGGATAGATATACCAACAAAATTAAAATTCTGTAATAGTCACACAAAGAATGCACTATTTTTGTTCTAGTTTTTGCCTTGTTTTGTTGAGATGGGGGTCACACTGTCCCCCAAGCAGGGCTCGAACATGTGCGCTGCAGCCCACAAGCGCTGAGCCAATGAGAGGTACTCAGTGCTGTCCCAGGGGGACGGTCACTGGTCCTCAGAGCTGTCTGTGCTACCGCGTTGAGATCCACGGTGTCAATGCCAGGTCTCCCGCCAAGCCTGGGCCATCTCTCCAGCCGGGCACAGGACGGAAGGAGCCGCCGCTCACCCCAGAGGCGCTGCGGAGGGAGGAGGAGGTGACAATGGCGCGGGAGCTCGCAGGGGGCCCAAGACCCTGCTGGAGATGGAACCGGAGTCGCCCAGAGCTACAGGCAGCGGCTCTCGGTGCCCCGCGGCGCTGCGGCCTTCCTGCCCCACGGCTCCTCTGCGAGTCCTGCTGTGGGCCGCAGTCCCCGTCGCCACCCACGAGGGCGGAGAGAGGGACCGGCCCGAGGCCACCCCCATATCGATGGCAGAGCGTCGCCCGTTTCTAGCTCCAGGAAGATTTCTTGGGGACCCTCTGTGTGCCAGGCTGTGTCCTTGGACAGCGACTCCCGGCCTGGGACTCTCCAGCTGAATTCCTCCGCCCTGGTCCCCGGCCCCATGTCCAGCTCTGCGGGGACAGCAGCCCCGTCCCCGGATCTTCCCCCGCGGGCCTCAGAGCCACCTTTCGGGGGACACTCAGGGCTCCACGAACGCGAGGAAGCCGAGGCCCGGGGCAGGGGCGCAGGGGTCCCCACAGCACCTTCTCGGTGCCCGCCCTGCCCGCCGGATGCCAGCCTGAGCAGCTGCCCTGTCCCGGGATGTGGCCCCCAGGAGAGGGACCCCAGGCCCTGGGGAGCCCGCCTTGTGACACCTCATGGAAACCACAGCCTCGACCTAGAAACAGGACACGCACCGCTCACAGCATTCTGCGCCCACGTTCCCTGCGCCCGACGGGCACCACCCCGGGCTCCTAGCGGGAGCGGGGACCCAGCCCCTCCCGGGAGCTCCTGTGCCCTGCAACCCAAGGCACCGTCCGGGGCGCACCAGCCGCAGGCGGGGCGAGCGCGCCCCCTGGAGGCCGCTCGCCCAAGTGCAAAGGGAAGACCGCGGGCTGCGGCCTCGCTCGAGAACCTGCGGCACATAGGATACTGTGTTACTGTGTTTTTAAACCCGAAGATGAGGGCCCAGGGATATAGTTCAGCGGTTATGGCGCCTGCCTGGCAAGTGCAAGGTTCTGAGATCGATTCTCGGCTCCGAAAAAAGACAAACGATGGATTATACTCCCAGCATTTGGGAAGCTGAGGCAGGAGGATGCCTGAAAAATAAAGTTCTATTTCTGGCTCGCCTGGGGTGTCTCGGGCTCCAGGGCTAAGTTTAGGGGCTCCATCTGAGCAGATTGCAACAAGAGCCCACTCCCTGGCCTCTGGCACACACCCAGGGGCTGGTACCCTGTTCTCCCCTGGGACCCCCTTTGACTCCTCCTTTGGACCCTTACAAAGGGCCCCTTGGTCCCCACTTCCTGGACAGACAAGGCTTGGGTGTCCCCTTGCGCCTGGGACTGTGAGACACACAAGCTTCTGTGAGGTGGCTATGAGGTGGCTCTCGCACCCCTTCCCTGAGGAAACAAAGCGAACAGGAGTGCCGCTCTCCCCCCACACACAGGAGACGTTTTTCTGATGGAGGTTTCCGGGGCTGAGCTGGGCATGAGCTGCCCGGTTCAGTGGCACCTGGTAAGCATGGCTATTGGAACTGAAACGAGGCCTGAATTGAGAAGTTGGTTAGTGTGAATCACACACCAGGTTGCAAACTCAACTGAAAAAAGCCTGGTGTGGTGGTGTATACCTGTGATCCCAGCGCTCAGGAGGCTGAGGCAGGAGGATGGCTTTGAGTTCAAGGCCAGCGTGGGCTACATAGCAGGACCCTGAGGAAGAGGGCTGGGAAGGATTCAGCCAAAGAGTCCAAGATGAGACCCAGTGGTCTTTGAAGGAAGCAGACAGCGTAAGCCCCTGCATCCCTGCTCGCAGAGCAGATCCCGCCCACTTCTGGCCTGGCAGGAGGAGCCCAGGACACCCCGGCCTCCCCTGCAGCCCTCCAGACCTCTCAGCCTTCCTGCCCAGCACCTCAGGACCTGGCCAGAGGCAGACAGGAGCCAGAGAAACCTTCCCAGCTCCCTGCCCCCACCCATGATGCACTGTTCTTCATGTAGAAGAAGCTACTCTTCAAAGCTTGGGCTCATCAGAGCTCAGGGGCCTCTGCTTCCTCCTCTAATCTGGGGACCCCTCCCCGCAAGACAGCAAGGGGTAGGTGTTAGCATTCAGGCACTAGGTTCTGCAGGGTGAAAATCCAGGTGGCTAAGGGCACTGCCGCCAGAGACGTGGGGGCCAAGGGGGCAGTCAGGAGCATCGACAGACTACCGCTCAAGCGCCACATAGTCTGTTTTTTGTGGTTGCTTTTGGGGTTCTTAAAGACATTATGTAGCCCAGGCTGGCCTCGAACTCATTCTGCAGCCCAGGCTGGCTTTGAACTTGAGTGATCCTCCTGCCTCAGCCTCCCGAGTGCTGGGATTGCAGGTGTGCTCCGCTGCTGCTGCAGTGCCCTTGTAATCTTGAAGGCCAAGGGGACCCTGGAGATGCCCCGTCTGTGCAAGCCCTCCCGCAGGTGGACACCAAGCTGGCGTGTACATTTCCCAGGCACCTGAACACACCTCGGTCTCCACGGCTGTCCACCATCAGCCCGTCCTGAGCCTGTTTGGCTGGCAGAGAGAGGAGGGGAGGTGAACGACCAGCACGAGGTTCTCAAGCCGGCTGCACTTTGGGGATCTTAGAAATGAAACCCACACTGGCTGGGGAGGGGAGTTCCCCCGATGACACCAACGACTGACCCAGGTTCACAGCAGCAGCCGGGCCACAGAGCCAGGGGAGGTAGGCAGAGCCCCAGGGGCCCGCTTTGCTTGAAATGGAGCAGGCTTTCTGGGCCCTGAGGTACAGGGAGGTCTGAGCCTCTGCCGGATGTCCGCTTCAGGCAAAGAACCCTGGGAAGCTGTGCAGCCAGAGGACACATCCTGGGAGACAGAGGATCTGGGTGACCTCACCCCTGCCCTGCATGAGTCACCTGGGGGCCCTGAGGACACCTGTCACTCATCTGTCTGCCACCAGGACAAATAAAGAGGCTATTTTGGTTCATGATTCTGGTGGTTCCAGTCCATGAGCAAATGGGCTCATTATAGGTGGGCCTCTGCTGGACATGGTGGCACAGACCTGTGATCACAGCACTCAGGAGGCTGAGGCAGGAGGGTCTCCCTCTCTCTCTCGCTCTTTCTCTCTCTCTCCCCCGCCATAGTACTGCATACTGGGGATAACACCCCGGGGCTCACACATGCTGGACAAGTGCTCTGCCACTGAGCTGTATCCCCAGGCTGGCCTTGAACTTTCAATCCCCTGCTCAGCCTCCTGAGTAGCTGGAATTACAGATGTGTGTTATAGCACCTGGACTTTTCTGTTTTTGTTGAGACTTTTCCCCTCTCCCATTTCCTCATTCCTCATCCTTCATGAGTGGAAACCCAAAGCTGGACGGGAGTCTTTGGCACCTGACTTGGGGACCCCTACGCCACCAGTTCCGGTGGGGAGGCTACAAAATGCTGGAGCTCACAGCAGGTGAGCTCGGAGCAGGCAGCGCCAGCTCGGTCAGCATCATTATCACCGTCAGCACCGGCGCCAGCCTCAGGCCGGGCAAAACCTCTGCTCGAGCCACCGGCTCCTCCCAGGCGGGGTCTGCGGGGTTCTGGGCACCAGGCCACGCTGAGAGCCACTCTCCATTTGGAACTGGTGGTCTTGCTGTCTGTCAGTGTCTGGACCGAGACAGGAATTCCTTGTGCACGCGTGTGCATGTGTACGTGTGCCTGTGCGTGTGCATGTGTGTGCGTGCATGTGCATGTGTGTGTGTGCACGTGTGCATGTGTGTGTGTGTGTGTGTGTACCCAAGTGCTGTGCGCACAGGTCTGTACTGTGTAGACAGGGTGTCAATTCATTCCAGATGTGCTGGAACAGCCCCAGTTTCACATTTTTGGACCCCAAATCATGGAAATGTCCTGGAAATTCCAACACGATTATTTCTTTACATAGCGCTCCACCAGTCTCATTCCAAAACAGGATCTGAGAACCAGCGTGCGGAGCTGTGTATGGATTCGGTAGTGCTTTAAACCAACAGAAGAGGAAGTCAGCGAGAGGGGAAGGTAAGACGAGCCTCCAAAGCTCGTAGCTCCGTCCCTGGTTGGTGCCTGCGGGAACAGGCCGCAGTCAGATCTTAGAATTTCCAAGCAGCTTAGAATTTCCAGAGCTTAGAGGGGAATGGGATCCCACGGATCCACTCTCGGGACCTCCAAGATTTCCCCCCAAAAGACCCTAGAAAGGAGACCAGTGTGACAGGGGGCAGAGAGGAACATACTCATAGTCCACAGCTTCACACTGATTGTGAGGCAGATTAGGCCATGGCCAATCGGCTGAGAAAGTGGGCATGGCCTGTCATCACAGAGACCCAGGACACAGGCCCTGAACGGGGACCAATCAGAAAGTGTTATGTTCAAGTCACCTGGCATGAGATCAAGCAGGATTTTGATAGGACAGCCTAGGTCTAACCTCAGAGTGGAGGGATACAAAACACAGCCTCCATTAACCTCATGGCCACTATAAGCCCTTCCAGTGACCCACTTCTGCTCTGCAGAACTTACTTCTTTCCCTTCCTTCAATAAATGTGAAATCTCACTATCTTTCAGGCATTTCTTTTCCAATTATTTTTTGCTCAGAAGCTGGACATGGTGGTGTATACCTGCAATCCCAGCACTCAGAAAGCTGAGGCAGGAAAATCACTGAGAGTTGGAAGCCAGCCTAAGCTATATAGTGAGTTCAAAAAAACAGCCTGAACTATACACCAAGGCTCTGTCTCAAAAAAAACCAAAAAATCAATGATTTATTCAGAACAAGAACCTGGAAAGAATTCCTGAGAAGAGCACAGAATCTTATCTTGAGCTACACAAGCAACTGTATTTCTCAACTCACAAGAGCACACTTAAGATTTGCATGATTTGCTGGGCATGTGGTACTTGCTTGTAATCCCAGCACTCAGGAGGCTGAGGCAGGAGGATCCCTACAAGTTTGAGGTTATCCCAGGCTACATAGTGAGACCCTGTCTCAAAAAACAAACAAAAAAAAAACTGTAAATAAACATTACCTCAAAAGGAAAAAAATAAATATCGTTAGTGGTTTTCTGTTGCCCAGGGGTAAAGGAACTGATGTTTGCAGCTGATTCCGAAAGGCAGCCAAAAAGGAAGAATTTCAGAGAGGAACAGGGGGCTCCAGGCAGTGGACAGGCTGAGTAGATGGTGCAGTTCTTCTGTCTTTCCTGTGTATTTGAACTTCCTTTTCAGGGTTGGGCAGCTTTATCACCATGTACATCCCAGTTCTGAGCTTTTTTTTGGTGATGGTACTGGAGATTGAACCCATGGCCTTCGCACTGAGCTATATTTCCAGCCCTTTTTAAATTTTTTACTTGGAGAAAGGCTATCACTAAACTGCCTGGGCTTTACTTGCAATCCTCCTGCCTCTGCTTCCCAGAATGCTGGGATTTTAGGCATGTACTACTACATCCAGTTCCGGGCACTTCTTTTTAAAAAATCTGTTGCTTTTTCCTTGTTTTGTTTTATTTGAGACAAGGTTTCACTATGTAGTTCAGGCTGGCCTTGAACTCACTATGTTGCCCAGGCTGGCTTCAAACTCACAGCAATCCTCCTGCCTCAGCCTCCTGGGTGCTGGGATTACAGGCCTGTGCCACCACAGGCAGCTTCTTTTTACTGCTGAATGTGACTGCTAGAGCATTTCTGGGCACTTTTTCTAATAAAAAGTCCAGGGCCCTGAGAAATGAAAAGGGCTTCGAGGGTCCCATTGATCCCTGGAAGATACGGAGCTCTGAGTTTTGTGCACAGAGCTGGGGGCGGGCCCTCAAAGCTGCCGTAAGGGGGAATCCCTGCCGGCGGCTTTTTCTCCTGCTCGTGGCCCGTTCAGAAGCCCCTCCGGAGGCCGCTGCAGAAACTGGGGTTTCTCTTCCCCAAGGTTGCAGAAACACTAACCTTCCTCGCTGCGCCTCCCGCCGAGCTCCGGCGTCCCTCACACAGCAGCCCCGCTCCGCCCCGGAACCTCGCCGGGTCACCCTGTTACACCCACGCAACGCGGTCCTCTGAGAGCCCAGGGGACAGGGCTGGGGGCTTCGGGACGCCACGTACCCAAGAGGTCCGGAAGGCGCTGTGTCCGGGGCCCGGCCTGTGCATAGCGGCTTCCCCCATCTCCCCATCTGCCCGTCGCCCTGGCCTTACAGACTCCAGGAAACCCGGGGTGTCTCCGGGACTCTGCGCGGCGCAGGAGCAAATTTACCGAGGAGGTAAATCAGCGCGGGGCTGCGGCCAGCATCCAAGGCAAAGGGGACGGTTTGGGGAACTGGGCGCTGCTCTGTGGGAGCTGACATTGTCTCCCCGCAGACACCGAAGCGGGTTGCAGGGCACGCTTCCGCTGGGAGAAACGCCCGCCGTCCTGAGGATGGGGCTGCCCCAGGAGACCCCCGTGCGGCCGGGCTGCGGGTCAGAGAAGGGGTTGCCGATCCCAGCCCCCGGCAAGCCCCGGCAGACATGGGGCTCCCCAGTCCTCAGCTTGTGGAGATCCCTCACGGCCACCCCACGGCCTGGGGACTGGGCTCCTCTCCACCCGGCCATCTTGGCCTTTCCTCCAGGGAGTCATTTAGGGTTCAAGTGACCCCATGAATAGGTATGAGCCCCGTCTTCAGGGAAGCCCCGTCTTCAGGGAAGCCCAGTCACTCCTATGCAGCCGCCTACTTAGCCGAGTGCTGAGCAGGGACTCAAAGAGATACTGGGATCCAGAGTCTTTGTTTTGAGACAGGGTCTCACAGTGTAGCCCAGGCTGGCCTCGAACTCGCGGCATTCCTCCTGCTTCAGCCTCCTGAGCAGCTGGGCTGATACGCATGTGCCACAAAGCCTGACAAAACCTCTGGTTTTTCTGTTTCTACAGACAAGGACATGTGGGCCCAGAGAGTGGCGATGGCTGGCCTCACGTCACACAGCACGCCAGGACTACATTTTATCTCCTGCACCTGATTCCGCCTCTGGGGCCTGTCCCCTCAGCGCAGGGCCGGCCACGGGGCTGGTGGCCCAGGGGTTGAGGGAGTAGGTGGAAGGGGCCTAGAGATTTGCTGAGAGCAGCTCCCAGGGCCAGGAAAGAGACGGGCAGCCTGCAGTGCCGGGCGGAGGAGCGTGACCGAGGGAGCGGAGAGGAAGGGTCTGGCCTGGCTCTTGCGGCCGGTCCTGGCCACAGTGGGAGACTTCATTTTCCGGACTCCCCCGTGCCTGCCTTCCCCTCTCCGCCATTCCCGAGATGCAGGGCCGCTGGCTCAGCCCTGGAGCCCCGAGCTGTGTCCCCAGGCCCACCCCTGTGTCCCCACGCCTGGTGCTACCTGGGACCAAAGGCCAGGACTCCGTCAAAGAGCACAGGCTGCATCCGGGCCCTGGAGGGGCCGTGAGAGCCGCACGCCTGTCCACAGCCTCAGGGGCCCACGGCCACCCTGCCAGCCCCCTTGTCCCATCCACACTTTGTTCCAGACCCTGGCCCCTGGGGACTTAGAAAGCTGTCCCCACAAAGTCACACAGTGGGGCCGCACCAGACTCCTCCTGCTCAAACCCCATCCCCCGGGCCCAGGCGTTTCTCAGAGGGGACATCGGCCTTCAACCGAGGGCCACAGCCGAGGGGGCCGCACTGTGCAGATGGGACGCGCAGCCCTTGGACACCTGACGGAGCACATGGCCTTGCCTGGCACCCGGGACAAGCAGAGGACAGAAGCCTCTGCTCCCAGGTCCCCACGCACCCGGGCTTGCGCTGCCCCTCCGCTGCCGCGCCCTCTGCAGGCTGTGAGAGTGAGGCCTGGTGCTTCCCGGCTGTCCTCCCACCCTGCCTGTGTGCCCACACTGTGAACCCTGCCACAGCTCTGCCAGTAGGAGCCCGGGGAGCCCCAGGGAAGTGGCTCTGGCCCTCAGCTTCCCCCCCGGGTCCCTGCCTGGCTGCCGGGTCTGGCAGAGGAACAGGCTAGTGGCAGTTTTACTTTTTGTTTTGTTTTGTTTTGTTTTGTTTAGCTCAGCAGCACAGCGCCTACCTGGCAAGTGCAAGGTCGTGAGTTCGATTCCCGGTACCGGGAAAAAAAAAAAGCTAAGGACTGCGTTGCTTAGATTCAGCTCACACTGCTGGGTGCCAGCTCGGTGTGGGCACCAGGGACACTGGGAACAAGGTCAGGAGCCTGCAGGAGCAGGGAGGTCAGATGCAGCTGCCGCTGCACTGCAGGTTAGTGTGACCGGCCTGGGGTTGGGGGAGTCGGAGAAGGCTTCCTGGAGGAGGTGCCGCTGTGGGAGAGCTGCAGGTGAGCAGAAAGATATTAGCCGACAGACAGAACACCTTCACTCTATATGTCCCTTCCCTTCCCCTCCCCGCTTCTTCTCTAGATCCCCTCCCATTTGGAAAAGATCTATCTCCCTCTTTCCCGTTGTCTTTTTTTTTTTCTTTCTTTTTTTTGAAGACAGGGTTTCACACTGTAGCCTAGGCTGGCTTCAAACTCACAGTGATCCTCCTGCCTCAGCCTCCTGAGTGCTGGGATCACAGGCGTGCGCCACCTTATCCAGCTCTTTCCTTTTTTTTAATGTAAACATTATGTACTACAAGCATGGATTAATAAAAAGAAATTGAAAAGAAGAAAGAAAGAAAAAGAGAGAGGGCAAGCCCAACACCAATGCGGAGGCTGGGGAAGGCAAGGAGTCTGGAGGACCAGCGAGGAGAGGTGGAAGAAGCCGGTGCCAGCCCAGGACCCAGCAGGTGGGCCTTGGAGGAACAGAGAGGGGGTGATGGAGGGTCTGGAGGGACGAGGCTGGAGGGTCCCCGCTGCCCGCCCTGCCCGGGTAGGCCCAGCCAGCGGAGCAGGGCGCAGGGCCAAGGCCGCCTGCTGACTGGGGCCCCGTGGGCCAGCTCAGCACTCTGCCCCCCACCGCAGCCCATTGAAAGCCTCTGCAGGGGGTCAGGCGGCAGCCACAGCTGCGACCAGAGCCTTCCACGCTCAGGGGCGGCGCCGGCCGAGGTGGGGCTGGCGGACAGAGCTCCTGACCAGCAGCCGCTCTGCGACCAGCGACAAGCCCGACGAGCCCGGGTAAGCGGCTAGGCTGGCACCAGAGAGCCGGCCCCGGGGGGCAGGGGTCCCGCTGACCACAGCGTGGGGTGGCCGGGCCGCTGCCCCGGTGGGTGAACGCTGGGCTGCAGGGACCCTAGGCTGGGAGAGGGGTCCTCAAGCCCGGCTGTCCCCGGCGCAGTGCGACCCGGGAATGGGGCCCAGCTCCCACTCGGGCCCCGCGGCGGGCACCGAGGCAGGGCCCTCCTCCGCCCATCCCCGGAGCGAGGCCGTGGCCGTCCCGGGGGCTGCAGCGCGCTTTCTGCAGGCATGGAGGAGGGCCCGGTGCCATGAAGCCGGCGCAGGCTGTCGCCCTCTGGTGGCCGCTCGTGCTGCTGTCCGGGCTGCGCGCCGCGGGAGAGGCGGCCCCGGGAGAGGCGTCCTTCTGCTACGGGACCTTCCCGCCCGGTACGTGCGCCTCTGCGGGCTGCGTGTTTGTCCGCGCGTCCGTCTGTCCGTGTGTCTGCCCTGCTTGCCTCGGCTGACTTGCCAGCAAGTTGGGTGGTTTGCTTCCTTGCTATGGGATGGAAAACACACCTTCAGGGGGTTGTTCTAAAGTGAAAAACAAAAAGCCGGCTGCGCACACCTGTAATCGCCGCCCTTGGGAGGCTGGGGCAGGAGTCCCACGTCGGAGGCCAGCAACACCCTGTCTCAACAAAAAACGGGCTGGGGCTGTAGCTCAGGGGCACGGTGCTCGCCTAGGCCCTGGGTTCCATCTCCAGCACTGACAAATACATAGACTTTCAGCAGCTCCTGGTAGAAGCTTTGGGGTTAGTAAATGCTATGCGCAGACACGCGAGAGAGCGCAGGGTGTGCAGAAGCGTGGGGAAGGGCGGCCGGGGGCCCAGCTCGGTCTCCACCTGCAGGCTTCTCCTGGGGCGTGGGCAGCTCCGCCTTCCAGACGGAGGGTGCCTGGGACCAGGACGGGAAGGGGCCCAGCATCTGGGACGCCTTCACGCACGGCAGGAAGAGGCAGGTGCTCGGCGACGAGACGGCCGACTCGGCCTGCGACGGCTACTACAAGACCCAGGTGAGGGTGCGGGGAGCGCCTTGCGCTGGCGCATGCGGAGGAGGGCGCGGAGGGAGCCCGGCCGCAGCGTCAGCCCAGGGCGCCCCACCGGGGCAGGTGCCGGGGTGCTGGAGCAAGGGTGGCAGCCGGAAGCAGGGCCCCAGGCCCTGCAGTGGGGGTGCCAGGCCAGCGCCGCCACCCCAGGGCCCACAGGGCACGGTGGCCTGGCTCCCGCCTGAGGATCGGCCCCTGTGGGACCTGCTCGGCCTCGGCACCCACTTTCTTCCCGGACCAACATCTTGGGGGAATCCATCACCCGCGCCTATGAGAAACACCCGACAGCCCCCAAACGGCCTGTATCGGCGCCCTACCTGGCTCTCGGCGGGTGCCCAGCTTGACCAGGAGCAGGCGGTGCACCCCCGCCGGAACGCAGACAGGGCCCTCGCCCGCGCAGAGCCACACGCGGGAGCTGTGAGCCCGCCACCCTGCGCGCCCCTTCCTTGGGGCCTTAGGGGACCGCCCGGCCGTCCCGCACACAGGAGGACGTCCTGCTGCTGCAGGAGCTGCGCGTCTGCCACTACCGCTTCTCCCTGTCCTGGCCCCGGCTGCTGCCCACGGGCGTCCGAGGTGAGCGTGGCCCCTCCGGAGACAGATGCCGGTGTCCCGGGCAGGCGGGTGCTGGGGCCGAGCCACCCTCTGGTCTGCAAACCCCAGGACCCCGCGATGCGGCCCAGAAGGCGCGGCCATGGTCCTTTCCTGGCCCCCCTTTCCTCCCACAGCCGAGCAGGTGAACGAGAAGGGGATCAAGTTCTACAGCGACCTCATCGACGCCCTCCTGAGGGGCAACGTCACCCCCATCGTGACCCTGCACCACTGGGACCTGCCGCAGGTGAGGCCGGCCGGCGGAGGCGGGGAGAGGGGGCTCAGGACGCCAGGTGGGGGCGGGGAAGACGTCCTAACTCACGCCCAGCCCGCCTGTGCTGCCGGCCCTGGCGGGGGTGAAGGGCAGGAATTTATCCCGCAGTTCCCGGGGCTGGGGAGGCCGAGGCCGCGGCGCCCCACGGTGAGGGTCTGTCTGTGGCCTTGAACGCTGCCCCTGCCAGAAAGGACACTTGCCCCAGTGGCAGAAGGCAGAGGGGTGGACAGGGCAACGGCACCTAATGCCATGGCGAGGAGGGGGCCCAAGGGCGGCCTCTTAACCCGGGCACAGTGGGGACTGAGCTCAGGGGACGGGGACATGGAGTCACAGGACTGTGCGCGCCCACAGCGAGTCACGCTGGTTGGTCTGTGATAAGGGCATGGAGCTGGATGGTTTCCAGGCCATTTGGCATAACAAAAAAAATCAAAAAGCTACAGAGATCTTTCTTCCTCCTCTTCATCCTTCCTGTGGTGCTAGGGACCGAACCAGGGCCCCACACCTGCCAGGCCGTGGCTGGAGAGCGGCCCTCCCTCGCTCGCCCAGGAAAGGCCTCGGGACTGGGGCCTGGTGACCAGGAGTAACGCACACATTAGCTGGTCCTAATAACCATGTCCATCACTCAGACCCAGTACCAACTGCCTTCACAAGCACCCAGCCCCAGCAGTGACAGCTCAGGTGACAGGGCTGGGGCTTACTCTGAGGACCTCAACTCAGGGAGTCGGGGCGGAGGCAGGGCAGGCTTTAGGGAGAGGAGTGGAAGCCCCTTCCAGCTGCCACTCTGCAGCCCCTAGAGACCCCTCAGGCCCACCAGTCAGGACAGAGAAGCCTTGGGGAACGCTCCCTCCTGAGCCTGAAGCATGTGCACTCCACCGCAGGCCCTGGGATCTTTCTGCCCAACACCGTGTCCCCTCTCTTCACAGCTTACATCACAGCCGCTTTCCCCAGAATCAGCCCTCTCCCTGGGCATTTTGTTTTTTGAAACAGGGTCTTGCTATGTCGGCTGGACTCAAACTCATAGCAATCCTCCTGCCTCAGCCTCCTGAATGCTGGGATTACATGCTAAGCAAGCACTGTGCCACTGAGCTACATCTCCAGTCCTTATTTTTTGAGACAGGGTCTTGCTAAATTGCCCCGGCTGGCCCTGAGCTTATGATTCTCCTGCCTCAGCCTCCTGAATAGCTGGGATTATAAGGGTGTACCAAAAAAAAAAAAAAAAAAAAAAATAAGGGTGTACCACCACACCTGTCATTTATTATTCTTTTTATGTTGATGCTAAGCGTGTGCTGCACCCCTGGCTGCGCCCCCAGGTCCCTAGCCCTCCTTTAAATTGTTGAAAGGCTCCGACCCATCCAGGGTCCTTGCTCCCTGTCCCTGAGCAAGGCTCTGTAAACATGCTCCCTGCTGGAGTCGCCGTGTTCCTCCCGCACGTGTGGCCGGCTGGCTGCAGATGTCTCCCGGCACCCGCCTCTCTGTTGGCAGCTGCTCCAGGGGCGATTTGGCGGGTGGCAGAATGCCAGCATGGCCGGCTACTTCCGGGACTACGCTGACCTGTGCTTCGAGGCCTTTGGCGACCGCGTGAAGCACTGGATCACGTTCAGCGACCCTCGGGTACGTGGGGCCTCCCCGGGAAGAGGCCAGCATGCTCCAGGCACCGCTCACAGCTCCCGTGGTCCCCACCTGCTGTCCCCACAGACCATGGTAGAAAAGGGCTATGAGACAGGCGAGCACGCACCCGGCCTGCAGCTGCGCGGCACCGGCCTGTACCAGGCGGCACACCACGTCCTCAAGGTGAGCGGCCAGCGGCCCGTGCAGCCGGCCTGTCCCCCGTGTCCATCAGCTGCTCAGGGCTGAGTACCTGAGGCTAGGAGTACCTGGTTCCAGACTGCGGCTGCAATGGAAGCAGCTGGGAAACAGCGCTACAGAGTGAGGGACACCTTGCAGGGCATGGCAATGGCTCTGGGACAAGGACTGCCAACAGGGGACACTCAGTGCAGAGGGCGGATGGCCTGTTTAAACTGGGCACCAAAGGGCTGCCAGGTGACTCATCAGACCCTCACATTCATGCCAGGGAGAGGACTTTCTCCATTTGGCATCTTTTTAAGATCTTGGGCCTGGACTCACTATATAGCCTAAATTGGCCTTGAATTTGTGTCAGTCCTTCCTGCCTCAGCCTCCTGAGTGCTGGGATTACAGGTGTGCGCCACCACCTCAAGCTGGCTTAAGATTTCTTAAACTGAGTACTTAAAGGGCAGAGCTCTGAAGACATCTGTAGTGATGAACATGGAGGTCACTTTTCAGACCTTAACCATGAAAGCTGGATAGATGTGACTCCCACACTGTTGAGATGTCCTGGGTCATTGCACAATCCCAGGCTTCATTATGCCTTTCTAGTTGGTTAGTTCTGGCTGGCAGAGGAGGGTGGTTGTTAAGGGTTCTCTGGGAGTCACAGACAGCACCCCCAGCTTCTGTAGCCTTTCGATGATTAGTTGCTTAAGTCAGTGTTGGTCAGCAAAGGTCAGAATCATGCCAGGCGTGGGGCGCACACCTGTAATCCAGCACTCAGGATGATGAGGCAGGAGGATCTCCGCAAGTTTCAGGACACCCCGAGGTACACAGTGAGTCGAAGGCCAGCCTGGACGATATAGTGAGACCCCGTCTCAAACAAGCAAAGTGTCAGAATCCCACGGAGGCCTCATGGAGACACTTCCCTGGGCCCCTCCCAGAGCTCTGATTCAGGCCTGGCCAGGGCGGAGCCTGGGAACCGTTTGCTGCCCCGGCTTGCTTCTGCCTCAGATGCTGCTCGAAGGCGGGCCGGCCGGTCCCGGGGGACAGAATGGGGGAGCAGGCAGCCTGCGCATCGTCAGCCCCATTTCTCACGATACCCCCGGGCACTGTCCTCACGTACTGGGCACCTGTGGGAAAAGAACTACAGAAAAACGGGACAGGAGATGTGTGCAAAAGTCTTAGCAACCATAAGTAACCACACAAAGTGGTTTGTGGCAGAGTCACACCAAGTCCCCTCCACAGTACAACGGAAGTTCAGTGCCTGTGGAAGTCGCAGAAAGGGAGGCTGCAGATTGGGATCATCGAGGCCAGGCTTAGCAAAATGGTAGATGTGAAACTGGATCTCTAGAGCAGGGAAGGCGAGGAAGGATGCCCCAGGCTGAGAGGGGGGAAAAGGAAATGAACGAGCCGGACACCCACGGTGAGCTTGCGCCCCTCTTGCAGGCCCACGCGCAAGCCTGGCATTCATACGACAGCAGGTGGCGCGGCCGGCAGCGAGGTGAGCTGAGACCTCCGCACTCGGGAGGACCTGTGTGGGGGAGCCGCGTGGCGCCACTTCCCGCCCCTTCTCTCTGTAAGGCCTGGTGGGGATTTCGCTCAACTGTGACTGGGGGGAGCCTGTAGACATCAGTGACCCCAGGGACATCGAGGCTGCTGAGCGATACCTGCAGTTCTGTCTGGGCTGGTTCGCAGACCCCATCTATGTGGGTGACTACCCTCAAGTCATGAAGGACCGCATTGGTAAGCAAGTCACATTTCCTTATACTTTTTTGTTTTTTGAGATAGGCTATCACTCTGTAGCTCAGGCTGGCCTCAAACTCGCAGAGATCCTTTGCCTCACATTTTTGGGGGGGTTTGTTTGTTTTTTGTCTTTTTGAGACAGGATTTCACTATGTAGTTCAGGCTGGCCTCAAACTGACCGCAGTCCTCCTGTCTCAGCCTCTTGAGTGCTGGGATTACAGGCCCTAGCCACCACACCTGGCCACATTTCCTGTTTTAATTTCGTCTAAATAGATTGCACATATGTACTGGGTATTGTCTGACATTTTAGTACATGTAGCCATTGTATAACGTGTAAATCATTTTAAATGTATCTATCTCCCCATTTTTTATTTCCAGGGCTTGGGTACAGCTTGGTGGTAGAACACTTATCTAGCATATAGCAAGCCCTGGGTCCAATCCCCAGCGCTGAAAAAAAAGAAAAAAAAAAGTTAAAAATTATTTCTTCGTGATAGCCAGGCTTGGCTGCGTTACTGGGTAGTCTTCTAAAAATGGCTTGCCAAAGAAGCGTTGTCGGGTTTTGTGGTGCTCGAACTTCTGGAGTTCGTTTCCAGGTTCTCCTCTGAAACAAAGGATTGAATGAAAAGCGGTGAGAGAGTTTACTTGAAAAAGTAAAAGTGGAGAGCAAGGGTAGAAGCCGGCTCTGCAGCGTGAGCTTGGGCCCAGTAAAGTGGGAAAATGCAAGATGGACGTACACCCAGGAGGACAGGGGGCCCCGAGCTGGCTATCATGAGGAAAGCCACCATCGCAAGCTCCTCTAAGTGTTCGCGTCCTTCCACACCGTCCAAATCTGGGGGGAAGTGAGAACTTCTACATCCGGGTCCTGAGAGGCAGTGCTGGGATCCCACGTCTCAGGCTAATGTCAGCTCCCGGCTGTCCTATTGAAAACCTGCTCAAGGTCTCGCAGGAAGTCCACATGAAGGGCTTTTTGGCAACTGCTCTGAGCATGTATCCAGGATCTTGTAGTTGATAGGTCACACTTGCTTCCCCAGCCGGCCTCACCATGCCCTAATCTCCTGTCTCAGTGGCACATGCCCGTAATAGCACTCCAGGAGGCTGACGCAGGAGGACTGTAGTGAGTTCAAGGCCAGGCTGAACTATATCATCAGAGCTTGTCTCAAAAAACCAACAATAAAAACAAAAACAAAAACCCTATCAATCAAACAAACAAAAGGAAAGGCCCAAGTTGTGTTTCCCGTGCAGGTGAGTCCTGGAGTCCAGCTCTCACGTCACGGTGCCAGTTCACTCAAGGGACACGGCAATAAAGCGACCGTAAGCTATGGCTTTAAGTTCTCCTCTGTGCTCACAGGAAGAAAGAGCAGGGAGCAGGGCCTGGACCTGTCGCGGCTGCCGGCGTTCTCGCGCCAGGAGAAGAGCTACATCAAAGGCACCGCCGACTTCCTGGGGCTGGGCCACTTCACCACGCGCTTCGTCACGGAGCGGAACCACTCATCTCGCCAGGGGCCCAGCTACCAGAATGACCGGGACTTGGTGGAACTCGTTGACCCAAACTGGCTGGATCCGGTGTCTCAAGGCCTCTATTCCGTGCCCTGGGGGTTCAGGAGGCTCCTCCACTTTGCCCAGGTGAGATCACTCTCAGCCACCCCTGGACTCTAGCCCTCCGCGGGGAAGTCAGCGACACAGTAAACGCAGCCACACTTTCTTCCGGAGCTGCTCGAGGCCCGCAGACAGACACCTGCGGGAAAGGCCACCTCCACTGAGGGCGCTTTAGCCAGTTACTGTGCTGCCCTGCTCACCTGACGTGAAACACACAGGAAAGAACAGGGCCGGGAGTGCATTCCCCAACAAGGCCTGTTCACTGCAAAGTATATTTTCATATAAACCTGCTTCCTGGGTATACTCACTCTAAATAAATGCGTCAACTAGCACATAATATATGCAAAAATATACTTGATTTGAATGTGGCAGCCTTAGCTGGGTGTGGTGCTGCACACCTATAACCCCAGCACTCGGGAGGCTGAGGCAGGAGGCCATCCTGGGCTATAGGAGAAGATCAAGGTTGGGCTGGACTATATAGCCAGGTCTGTCTCAAAAACACCAAAATACAAACACATATGGTGGTAGCCTTTAATACACGTTGCCACGTGAGCTCTGACCCAGAAACCCACCTGTATATCAATTTTTTTTTTTTTTTTTTGAGATAGGGTTTTGTTTTGTAGCCCAAGCTCGCCTTCAAGTCCCAGTGATCCTCCTGCCTCTGCCTCCCAAGCACTGGAATTATGGGTGTGCGTCACTACACCTTGCTGTGTCAGAATGTTTAAAAATATCTCCTACTCTGATTCACTTTTAGACTCAATATGGCAATCCTCCCATATATGTGACAGAAAATGGAGCAGCTCCAAAGTTATACTGTGCAGAATTATGTGACGCGTGGAGAATTCAGTACCTTAAAGAATACATCAATGAAATGCTGAAAGGTGAGACACAAACCAAGACGGTATTTCTCTAATATCAACAGTCCATTTGAACTTGCTCTGAAATCCCCTACAATTTTCCTACTACCTTTACAATACTATTTTTCTAATAAAAATATTCAGCCGGGGTTGAAATGTCTTTCACAGCTCTAAAAGACGGTGCTAATGTGAAAGGGTACACTTGGTGGTCTCTGCTGGATAAGTTTGAGTGGGAGAAGGGCTACGCAGAGAGATACGGCCTCTACCACGTGGACTTTGCCGTCAGAAGCAAGCCTCGCTACGCCAAGGCTTCGGCTCACTTCTATAAGAGGGTCATCACGGCCAATGGGCTGCCCGGGCCCAGAGAGGTAGGCCTGACCATCCGCAGTGCACATGCGGCTGTAGAGGAGCTCAGCACTGAATGCACAAGCGTGTGTGGCAAGCGTCTGTCCCTTTTCCTTCGTGAAAGCCTCAAACTTCATCCCCACTGTGCACAGCGTTAAGGACAGGACTGCAGCGTGGGCAGGAGCCCTGCTCTAGGGAACCACAGGGTGTAGTCAAGAGCGATCTCAAGGCACATGTCACTCCAGATGTGTTGGAATGCAAACATGCACCAGCCACTCTCCAACACACTTGCTAGGTGTGGTGGTGCATGCTTGTAGTCACAGCACTAGGAAGGCTGAGACAGGAGGATCTCTGTAAGTTCGAGGTCAGCCTGGGCTACATAGTGAGACCTTGTCTCAAAAAACAAAACAAAACAAAAGTAAGAACAGTTAAATAAAGTAAATGTATCCTGACTTTTTTTTTTTGAGACAGGGTCATGCTATGTGGCCTAGGTTGGCCTGAAACTTTCGATCCTCCTACCTCAGCCTCACCTGACGTGAAACACCAGAATGTTGTTTCGCAAGTGCTGGGATTATAGGCATGTGTTACCATGCCTGCCTTTCTCATTTCTTTTTTCAGGCAGGGTCTCACTATTTAGACCAGGGTAGCCTTGAACTCACTGGATAGCTCAGGCTGGCCTCAAATTTTTGGCAATCTTCCTGCCTTAGTCTCCCAAGTGCTGGGATTATACCCATGTGCCACTATACCCAGCTTTTCTTGTTCTTTTTTTTTTCTTTTTGGAGGCAGGGTCTCGCTATGTAGCTCAGACTGCCCTTGAACTGACTGTGTAGCCCAGGCCTGAAACTTGTGGCAATGCTCCTGCCTCAGCCTCCCAAATGCTGGGATGCCAGGCGTGTGCCACCATACCTGGCCACCCTCATTTCCAGAAATGAACACTGAGGTGTGGACCACCACACTTAGCAAAAAGTATTTATTGTACCCTACATTTATTTAAAAACTAACTTCAGTCACCCTAAGACAACATCACTTACCTAGTGGGTCTTTATTAGGTGCAAAGCTGGCAGCAGGAAGCCTTGGAAACTTGCTCTGTCAACAACCAGATACGAGCTGTGGGTGAGTACACCCTCACTCTTCCTTTTGGTGACTAAACTTTATAATACAATGTATTATACGGTACCAAAAATCAGACGTACATCTGCCAGGGCTCAATGCCTCAAACCACTTATAATTAAAAATGGATTTTTTTCTTTACTGTGAAACACTCAAATTTTTCTTTGTCAAGTACTTTAGATATAAAAAGTCATGTACCATGAAACAAAAAAACTTTTTTTGTCTTTTTGAGACAGGGTCTCGCTATGCAGTTCAGGCTGGCCTTGAGCTCACTTTGTAGCCCAGGCTGGCCTTGAATTCACAGCGATCCTCCTGCCTCAGCCTCCCGAGTGCTGGGATTACAGGTGTACACCACCATGCCCAGCTCTGAAAGACTTAATCACGCTAATCCTGTTCTTCCTGAATCACAGTGCACCTCCCCTCCCGACCACTCTGGGTGAAGTGGGCTTGTGCAAAGGGGAAAGGCGAGCCAAGGCCACTCCCGCTCTTCTGCTCGCTCCCCATCTCGCAGCAGCAGCAGCAGCAGCAGCAGCGTTCCTTATGCACCAGGACCTACAGGGCCACAGGTGTAGCATAACCCGCACGCAACCAGGCATCGGGCAGAGCCAACACAAGAGGGGCCCAGCGGGGCACACCTGTAACCTTGGTGCCCTGAGGGGCGGAGTCAGCAGGATCTCAAGTTTGAGCCCAGCCTGGGCAACTCAGCAACTCTTTTTTTTTTGGTCTTTTTCAGACAGGGTCTCACTATGCAGCTCACTTGGTAGCCCAGGCGGGTCTCGAACTCGCAACGATTCTCCTGCCTCAGCCTCCCGAGTGCTGGGATTACAGGCATGTGCCACCATGCCCGGCTCAGTTTAGCAACTTGATAAGACACTGTTTCAAAGTAAAGGCTGAGGATGTAGCTCAGTGGAAAGGCCCTGGGTTCAACCCCAGTACTGAAAAAAACAAACAAAAACCAAGCTATATCACTTGTTTCTTTGAATTGTATCTTTCTCTATAATGACAGAGAAATTACATCCTCTTAAAATCCATCTTTAACCAGGTGTGGGGCGCTGGGAATATAGCTCAGTGGCATAAGTGCATGCCTGGCAAGGACAAAGTCCTGAGTGCAATTCCCAGTACCAAAAAAAAAAAAAAAAAAACAAGTGTGAGTACACACACCTGTAATCCTAGCACTTGAGGCGGGGGACTACTGTGTGAGTTTGAGGCCAGCCTGGGCTCCATAGTGAGTTCAAGGCCAGCCTGGACTACACAGCAAGACCTTGTCTCAAAAAAACAAAAACCAAAAACTGAAACAAAAAATTCCCAAATAAATAAACCCATTTTTAATATGATATCCAAAGTATAAAGTACTAGACCAGATCCTTCCAACCCAGCTATTTTTATGGCCAGTAAAAGAACCTGCACATATCTAAATAACAAGGCAGTGAGTTGGCACATGCCTGTAATCCCAGCACTCGGGAGGCTGAGGCAGGAAGATTGCCATGAGCTCGAGGCCAGCCTGGGCTACATAGTGAGTTCAAGGGCAGCTTGAACTACACAGCAAGACCCTGTCTCAAAAAACCAAAAAATATACAAAAAACCCCCCAAATAAGTAACAAGGCAATATGAATGGCGTATATTCCAATGTAACAAAATAAATTTACTGTGGTCCTTGTGCGGAACTTACTGGCAGCCTCTGAGCTCCACGAGGACACAGCCCGTGCCCAGGACACCTAAAAGTGGGCACCAGGGAGGTGCTCACGATTGTGTCAGCGCTCAGCCCCCGCCCCGCTTCCCACACACACCGCAGTCAGGGGCGGGAGCCGCTTCCCGGGCTCTTCCTCCCACAAACCCCGCTAGCAAGGGCAGGAGCCTGGAGGGACGGAGCAGGGGGACAGGGACGAGCACACGGGAAGCGTACGTACCGACGTGCGTTCAGACTTTATTCCCTGTGCGAAGCTGGGTGCAGACCCTCCCACGTTTCCCGAAATAGTACGCAAACTCCCACACCATGTCCCTTGTTGGAGGTGCTGGGGCGGCACCCAGGGCCTTGTACCCGCGAGGTGCCCCCTCAGCAGGCGAGGACAGCTGGCCCGGGCGGCACGCCTGCCTCCCTCCGGCTCTCTCCGGCCAATCTCTTGCCGTTGCAGAGCCTCTGCTGGACCACATGCGCCTGGCCTCGGAGATCGCGGTGCCCACGGTGTGCGCCCTCTGCGTGCTCACCGCAGCCCTGCTCCTCACGCTCCTGCTGCGGGGCCCGCGCTGAGACGCTGCGCCCGGCGGGAGGGCAGCAGCCGCGCCCTCGGGGGATCTGCGGGCCGTCCTCCCCTGCCGCGGGCGCGCTGTGTACGCGTCTGTGGCGAGGCTCCGGGAGAGCTGCTGTCCCTGCTCCTCTTCAGGGTACGTGCCAGGCTTTGAGATTGGAAAAGAGAAATCGTGTAAGGGCAATAAACTCTCCTGTGATCTCACCTCTGCTGAGGTCGGCCCGGACATCTGGCTGTACATCACGCAGTTTCTCGTTTCACAGAAACAGGGCCAGAGAGTACAGTTGAGACTGGGGTTTCTTCACTGCAAATCTGCCCCAAAGTGGCACTGTCCTGTGTGAAAGACAGCGTCACCGCAGAGACATGACCCTTTGAGGTTGTAGATCTTGCTTCCCGCTTGGCGAAAGCACTGGGTAGGCACCAAAGGAATGAGTGTGTCTACGTTCCTGAGATCAACTTTTTATAGTAAATCAGTTCACTATTGGCCGAGTGTGATGGTGCACGTCTGTAATCCCAGCACTCAGGAGGCTGAGACAGGAAGGTCACCCTTAGTTTGAGGCTGCCTTGACATACACAGTGAGATCGAGTTCACCCTGAAAAACATGGCAAGACCCTGTCTCAAAAAAACAGAAATAAATTCAATTCACTATACCCAACGAGGTAACACAAAGAAATACTATAGAACATTTTTTAAATATTGCATTAAAATAAATATTATATATGTACACATAGGTAACCAGGTACTCTTTCTTCTAAATAGAGGTTCATTTTGTTTTTGTTTGTTTGTTTGTTTTTTGGTTTTTCGGTTTTTCTCCGGTACCAGGAACCGAACTCACGACCTTGCACTTGCCAGGCAGGCGCTTTTGCTGCTGAGCTAAATCCCCAGCCCCGGTTCATTTTGTTTTTAATGCTAATGTAATGTCCGTTTACTTGGGAACAAACGTGGCTTACAAAGCAATGAGAAACTTAGTTGTTATGCACATTATCTGACTCCATTTACTTGTTTCAGAAACAAAGTAAGAGGAGAAAATGTTATTTTATTGGGTTTTTTGATCAACGCTATCTCAAATCAAAAGATTTTAAAGTTCTTTTTTTTTTTTGATATCACAAATCGAACTCATGACCTCATGCTTGCCAGGCAGGCACTGTGCCACTGAGCTGTATCCCCGGCCCTCAAATCAAAACATTTTAAAGAGTGCTTACATCTAGGCCAAATTCTGCAATTGGGCTGACGTAGAATTGTTTTGTTGTTATATTAACCACATAACAGTTCACCCCAAGTGTTACTCGGGGACTCTTTAGGTACTGACTATCCCGAGCATCACTAGGGCAGGGGCATTACAGCTAATCTTTTTTTTTTTTTGGTCTCTCAAGACAAGGTCTCATGATGTAGTTCAGGCTGGTCTGGAACTCACCGTATAGCACAGACTGGTATCAAACTTATCACAATCCTCCTGCCTCAGCCTCCCAAGTACTGGGATTACAGGCATGCACCACCACACCTGGCAAACATTTTTTTTTCTTTTTGGGACCGGGAATCCAACTCAGGACCTTGCACTTGCCAAAAACAGTCATTTCTTGTATTGAATACTTCTGATAAATTTGGAATTTCCTGTTATATCTTATAAAAATTAATGGAAAAAAACACCATTTTTGGTCATCCTGCATGTAAATAATTAGACTACTAATGGGTTAAGAGTATAGCCCAGGGCCTTGTGCTTGCTAGGCTAGCGCTCCACCACTGAGCTGTAGCTCCAGCCCTTTGTATTTCGAGGTAGTGTTTCACTGAATTGCCCAGGCTGGCCTCCAGCCTCCTAGCTGGGCCTCCTGTGTAGTGCGACCCCAGTATGCCCTGCTGAGCCCACCTCAAATTGTTTTTAATAAAACTTCCCTTCCAGTGTCACCGTGGTATGTTTGTCTTTCTCATCATAGATTTTGAAATCAAACTGTCTTTCTACTGTATAGATTTAAAGTACATAGGAATTACCACCACTTCAAGAAAATGCTTTCTTCATTTCCTTGGTTGTAGGATTAAAGTGATCTAGTAGGCTGACTGTAACAGGTAAAAATGAAATTAGACTTGCACGGCTCAGTATGATATGGTAAGCTTTTTAATGTGTTTACTGATCAATAATCTTTTTTTTTTTTGGTACCAGGAATCGAACTCACGACCTTGCGCTTGCCAGGCAGGCGTTTGTGCCGCTGAGCTATATCCCCGGCCCTCAATAATCATATTATTCTTTTTTATTCCTTTTATTTTTTAATAATCCATATTGTTAATATATCAGATCAACACACAGAAACAATTAAAACAAAAGCTGGGTGTGGTCGTTTATGCCTGTAATCTCAACTCTCAGGAGGCTGAGGCAGGAGGATCAAGAGTTGGACGCCAGTCTGGGCTACATAGCAAGACTGTCTCACAAGAAAGAAAGGAGAGAGAGGGAGAGAGAGACAGATCTGTTCTTAGTATCTTCAGTGTCTTTGGAGAGAACACAGTGAACATAAATACCGTGGCAGTGAGGCCCCAGGATCCTTTACTTGAAGTGCACCTGGCTACAGGTGACCGTGGTGGTGAAAGTCGGCCTTTCTTCCAGGCTCCCATTTAGGGTTAAATCCGAGGAGTCTGTAACGAGGAAGACGGTGCGGTCAGAATTGCGTGGCCCCTGCCAGCTTTACGACAACACAGTAATCCAAAGGTCATCCGAGCAGCAGGGGCCTGCGGCTTTGGACTCTCAGCCAGGACGACTCATTTAAGCAGTAACACTCTGGATGTACTCAGTACCCAGTTAAACTCCTGAAACTTAAGGAAAAACATTTGTTTTGAAAACATTTGTTTGAAATGTTTCGAAAAACATTTCTTTGGGAATGTACTGCTTTATTTTTTGCATCAGTGGGTTAAACAACTGCCTTTTTCCCATCTTAACAAGCGTGTCAGGAAAGAAATTCTACTTAGGATTTAAAGTCCTCCAAGCAGACACACACCCATTTTCCCTCCTGAAGACTGAGGGCTGTACTTTAGAAACAAGGGGCCCTGGCATGCACACGAGTCGCGCTCGCTCCAGGTCAACCCCGTGGCCCCTGTATTTCTACCATTACCGACTGTCGTTCGCTGGCCACCCTCTGGGGGCGCTGCACGGGACCAGTCCCCGCCCCGCTAACTCCAATCATTATTCAATTTCCAAGCTAAAAGTCCTTTCAAGCCCTTCTGCCTTTGATGCCAACTGTTCTACTCAAGAGCCAGATACAATTAGTTATCTTGAAACAAAACAGTTTTTGACCTAAGTGTTCAGTCCAATGAAATAAAAAAATCTAACTTCTTCCAGCCAGTGTGGTGGGACACACTTGTAATCCCAGCACTCGGGAGGCTGACGCAGGAGGAGTACAGCAAGTTAAAGGCCAGCATGGGCTACCTGGCCAGACCCTGTCTCAAAACAAACAGACAAACAAAAACTTCTTCCATATGCACCTTTAGCAAAAAAAATCATTATGACCCTTTAATATTTACAACTAAGCCAGGCATGGTGGCACATGCCTCTAATCTACTCAGGAGACAGACAGGAGGATTGCTGCAAGTTTAAGACCAGTTTGGGCTACAAAGTGAGCTCAAGGCCAGCCTTAACTGCATAGTGAGACCCTGTCTCAAAAAGACAAAAAAAATTACAATTAATTGCTGGGCATGGTGACACACACCTGTAATCCCACTTAGGAAGCTGAGGCAGGAGGACTGCCATGAGTTCAAGGCCAGCCTGCACTAAACTGTAAGCTCAAGGCCAGCATGAACTACATGGCGAGACCCTGTCTCAAAAAAAAAAAAAAATTACAGCTAATTGACAGATGTGTTTATGACACGTGAATCAAAACATATCTGGGGAGGGCCAGGGATACAGTTCAGTGGCACAGGCACCTGCTTGGCAAGCGCAAGGTCCTGATCTATCGATCGATCCATGTATCTATCATCTCTGGGGAGAGACTGTTTTCTGGAAACAATTTGCAAAATATCAGTCAGTCAGACAGACTGCTATTTATATTCCTAGCAGTGGCGGATTACAATTCCATGAGCCCCAACAGAATGAATCCACCAGGCAAGGCAAACAATTAAACAGAGGGGGAGAAGGGAGCCAACAGGACAATGACATGACAAGGACAAAGCAACACGTATCAGTTATCACCATCAACGTTAACAGTCTCAACTCACCAACCAAGAGACACAGCCTGGCACAATGGATCAAGAAGCAAGATGCAACAATATGCTACATACCAGAAACACATTTAATTCAAAACGCAATTCACAGACTGAATGTCAAAGGATAGAAAACAATATTCCATGTGACGGGAACCCAGAAAAAAGCAGGAGTAGCCATTGTATTTGCAGACAAAGTGGATTTCAGGGCAAGACTAATAAGACAAAGAAGGTCACTACAGCCTTGTAAAGGGAACAATCCAAGAGGAAGAGATAACAATCATAAATATATATGCACCAAATACCAGCACACCCAACTATATAAAACGAATGTTAAAGGACATGAAAAATCAAATATATCCCCTAGCCACGGCTCATTAAGGCCTTTGAGATCTTCCTGGACTCTTGTCGGGAAACTATCAGATCTGCAGCCATTTAGAGCCGTGGGGAGACAAGGGCACCCTGGTCCACAAGCACGGAGACGGGTGACAGCGCTTCCAGAGGACGGGCCTGCGGTGCTCACTAACAGCGGCAGCCGACAGGGCCCAGGGCCCAGCCCTCCCCCTTCGGGGAGAGAAGGCTCAGCGGCAGGGCCTCGAGGCTGCATGTGTGAACAGCTTGCATTTCCATCCTGTGACCCGTTTTTAACGCCTGTGTTGCTCTGCTTGACCTCATTCAGTGAAAGGCCCTCCATGCCAGCAGTGAGAAAAAGCATTCTTCCGTGATTATCACACACTGAATTTTTCTATGAGGTACCCCACCATAAAAGTCACAATTTTTTTTTAAAGTATATTTTACACCTAGAATTCAGGACCATTATTTAAACTGGGCACAGAGCTACAGCAGTGTTCCCTCCCAGTAAGATCTGGTTTCTCTCTGTCGGGGTGATTAGCCGAGCAGACTGCGAGCCATCTTTACCAGGTCTGTGGTAATTGAGGTGCTCCACAGGCGAGCTGTCACTCAGCTGCCACACTGTTCTAACCTTCTTTTGACCACCGTTTATTTCCACTTTCCACTTCTGTGGCTTCTCGCTGAGAAAAGAAGAAAAACTGTAAAGACAACACAACGAACAGAGCTCCCTTCCTTCTTCCCGCAGTCAGTGGGTCCTCATGCAGTAAGCTTCAAGGAAGAGGAGGGGTCAATTCCCACCCCGCACAACCCGCCATCCAAGGGGGACACCTCACAGGAGGAGGACCACCGTGGGGTAGGGGAGAGCGGGAGGCGGGCTCCTAACTGAGCCTGGGGGCTGCAGAGACGCCTCAGGGACTGCGGCGTTGGGGCCGAGTGTGAGAGGACCGAGTCAGGACAGCACACAGAGTTCCTAGCGAAGGCCAAGCACACAGACGCAGGGGGGCAGTGCGCGACGGGCCTCGCTCCAAAGGGAAGCAGCAAGGCCTGGAAGCACTTGGAAGCGAGAGTTGCGGGGCCAGGGTGCACTAGGACACCGGGATTAGTGTCCTAGAGGTAACAGGGAGCAAGTCCTAGCGAGATTTGAATTCCAGAAGAAAAGGTCAGCAGCATACAGAAGGAAGACAATGCAAACAGAACCATTAGAAGGGTTTTGTCAGAGTCCAAGCAGGAAGTGACACAGGTGTGAAACACTAAAGCAGCGGTGTGAAATTCCAAAGGGCAGAGGCAAGAGGCACCAAGAGGTCCGCACGCAGGGAGCATTTAAAGAGGAGACAGGGAGGGAGGGCAGCGAGTGTAGAGAAAATCCTGGGCTTCTGCTCTGTGCAGCAGGTGGGGATTAATGATGATCACTTGCAAGAGGACATAGAGGGGGAGGAAAAGGTGTTTGGAAGAAGTAAGGGCCTTGGTTTGTTTTGTTTTGTTTTGTTCTGTGGTCCCCCGCCTCGCCCGACCCCTCGGTACTGGGAATCGAACTCAAGACCTTGCTCTTGCCAGGCAGGTGCTATGCCGCTGAGCTAAATCCCCAGCTCCTTGTTTTGTTTTTTGAGACAGGTCTTACCATATAGTTCATACTGACCTTAAACCCACCATGTAGCCCAGGCTGGCCTCAATCTCACTGCACTCCTCCTGCCTCAGCCTCCTCAGTGCTGGGATTACAGGTGTGTACCACCATGCCTGACTCGGTTTTTTTTTTCCCTTTTTGATTTCTTAAACTTTCTTTCTTAACTGATAAAATAGTTGTATTTTGTTTTTTGAGACAAGGTCTCATGATAAAGTCTACGTTGGCCTCAAACTTGTAGTGATCTGCTTGCCTCAGCTTCCCAAGGGCTGGGATTACAGGCATATGCCACCACGCCCAAACTAAAATAAGTTTATACAGATGGACCACCAAAATATAAACTATTTTAGGCTGGGTGTAGTGGCACATGCCTGTTATCTCAGCATTTGGGAGGCTGAGGCAGGCAGAACAACACAGGTTTGAGATTAACCTATGTGAACTCACATAGTGAGTTCAAATATAGCCCAAACACCATAGTAAGACCCTGTCTCAAAAAAAAAAAAAAAAAAAAAATTGCAGCCTGGCATGGTGGAGCATGCCTGTAATTCCAGGACTTGGGAGGCTGAGGCAGGAGGATTCCTGAGAGTTCGAGGCCAGCCTGGGTTAAGTAGTGAGTTCAAGGCCAACCTAAACTACAAAGGGAGATCTGTCTAAAACATAAACAGATAAACAAACATGCAGTGGCGGAAGTATGTGAGAAATTTCAGGTCCCTCATGTGCAGGAAAAATGCAGGGGAAACAGTCACATGAGGCAATCCCTGACCACACGATCCCCTCAGCCCATGGTTTCCTATCTTCCCCAGTCCCAACCGGTCTCTTCACTCCCACAGCCATATCCTCGGGGGTTCTTGTCACTGCCCTGACTGACTGCTCCTGACCTGTCACTTCCCGGGCTGTGCTTCCCCTTACACCTTATTCTATGAAGAATTGCAAACTGAAAGCAACACGAAGGACAAGAGGCTCCACAGCCTGAAGAGAACAGACACGAGGCCTGAGAGGGGAAGGGGGCGACAGCAGGCCACACAGTAAGGTTCCGGTGGTCAAGCAGCGCTGGGCCGTGAGGGCCCCAAGGAACAAGGGTGCCAAAGTCGCCAAGACCCAGGGCTGGACTCAAGGTACAATTCCGAAACTGCTCACCTCTGATAGAAGTTTTTTACACAAGCTGGTCTGACTGGCAGCTGAAAAATGTGCTGTTCATCCAAAGGATTTTGTTTATAATATTTTATGCAGGATCTAAAAAAAAAGAAAAAAGAACCATTTTTGGAAAAAGGCATTCGGGGATGCTGGCTTCCCAACAGTCTGAAGTGTACAGGGCAATGTTTTAGTGAGTGCCACTAACTACAACACAAAGTGTGATCACACACCACACAGGTAAAAGGAAAACACCCCCACACAACTCAGGTGATGTTTTTTCTTTGAAAGGAAATCTACTTCACTTTGTACAAGTTAACAGTGAACATAGTTTTCATAAGTATAAAAATATATTTGAGTCCAAATAAAGGCTTCCGTTGAGAGAAAGAGGCATCAGAGAAAAACAAGAAGAGATAGAAGACACAGACACACTTCAGAGTTTTCAGAATCTGGGGAAATGAAGAACTAACTCATTTATCTACTGATCTATACTGAAAAATCTTCAGAATCTGTGAATAAGAACAATTTCAAACCTGTCCCATTAGATAGCTGGGGAAATTCTAAATTTGGAAAAGATGGCGGTTCATTTACTCCTGGCCTGAGGCCTCCCACACAGGGAAGACGGCGCCCGCCACATGTGGGATGACTCCACGCGCCTTTAGTCCAACTGGTCGAAGTGCTCATGACAGCAGGGCCACAGCCAGAGTCTCGTTATGCCACTGGACCTCGCTCAGTTACCCACAGGTGACTAATGTGACTCAGATTTAGAGGGATGCACGGAAGGGAAGAAACAATACCTGTTAAGCACCTACCCCCTATTGTGTCAGGTACCCACACACGCTCCATCATCTAACCCTTAGAGCAAACACGTCGAGTCATTAGATCCTTTCAACAGAAGGCAACAAGACTCTGAGAAGGAACTGCTAAGGGACGAAGCCTGATTCAGCTAACTAACTAAATCCGCCACAACTAAACCCGATTCCTTTTGAATCCAAAGCCTTCCTTTCCTCTGACCCGGGCCTGGACCCCTGCTAACGTGAAGCCAGACGGTGAACAAATGCGTCCTAGCCTAACTGGCAGTGAAACTGGACATGTTCTGGCTTTTATTTTACAGAAGAGGAAACACTTCTATGTAAGCGGACGAGGGAGAAATACTTACTGTGTTAAAGAAAACAGGAAGTCGTGCTGAGGCTTAAGGAAAAGCATGCAGCTGACCACGATCTCTAGAACGTGGTGGAGTTTCTGAACACGATGAACCTGCTCTTGGATCTCTTCCGACGGAGAAGTGAAATATTCCTGGATTGGAAAAGCAGAGGCAAAGCAGGGAGTGAAAGGAAAAGGAGCACCTTGGGAAAAAAGACAGCTATGTGCCCCAGATTACACTTGGTATTACGGAGGAAATAACTAAGGCGAGGCCCAGGATTTACCAGCACCCACCACCCTGCACTCCTTTAGAAGAGAAGTCTTCAGTAAGTGATTATACGCATGCTATGGTAAAGGCAAATCACAGGAACACCTCACCAAGAGCCCACGCGAAGCCGTCTCCCGCCACGCTGTCCCGAAGGAACCAACAGCCTCACCACACACTCGCTAAGCTGACGGCAGTGGCCGCCTCTCAAAGCAGACAACTTCAGCTACCAGAAGTTTAGCAAGTGTTCTGACACGCTTCCCCTCACACACAACTGGTGAACTGGCTCACCCTCTTGGAAAAGAAACCTGGCAATCCACGCTCAGCCCTCCTAACCTCATTTGGGAGAACTCTTCCTGAGGAAATAGTCCTTAGCACACACGGGAGGCGGAATGTGACAACGGCCACCAACGCTCTGGCATCGTGAAGTGCATCTGGTTTAACTACCTCCCCGGGTGAGCCCAGAGCCCAGGCCACGACAGGATTTGGCTGCTGTGATCAGGTCAGTAACTGACTAAGAATTAATCAAGAGAGCTTGCAGTCACCATGGTGACCCCAGCAGGGGAGCCCTTTTAGAAGGCAATGGCCATCAGAGATGCTCTGAAGGAACAAACAGTCATGTTGTGGGGAGGCCCATGTGGCAAAGGCTCGGAGCAACCTCGAGGACCTGAGCTTGGTCTTGAGCCAATATACCAAACCAATACATTGAAGAACTCCATGAATTCTTTTTTTTTTTTTTTTTTTGGTATCGGGAATCAAACTCAGGACCTTGTACTTGCCAGGCAGGCACTGTGCTGCTGAGCTATATCCCCAGCCCTCAAGTGTATGTAATGTAGTGGCTCTAGAGAATATCAAAAAATATTCCTTTCCAGGCTTGAGACCTTCCCTACACACTCTAGAGACACAGGAGTTCTGGCAGCACAGTGATGTGAGCAGGACACTCCGGACACTACTACACAGTATCGGGTTAATAGTATCCCTTAGTTATTATGGGCTGATCAGGTCCGCAATCTCCCAAACGAGTGTACAGTGAAGGCTAAATAAAAATGGAATGATTTCGGGGCTCCAGGAGGACCAGACCCTCTCACAGAATTTGAGATTCTCTCAGGGCTAAAACCAAGACCTTCTGTGGGTGGCCCATATTTATTTGGTCATCAGAAGAAGGGAGGGGAGTACTCCAGAAATGCAGAACTACTCAAGGGCTTCTCCAAGTAAGGTATTAAACTAATCCTTAATAAGGATCAAGTTAACCCACCAAGGAGTGAGATGCCTGAGGCATCTTTATCTGGTTGAGGTTGGATCCAGGTGTCCTTGGCTGTGATCTTGTTTTATCCTTTGAGGCTTTATGGCTTCACCTGCCATTATAAGCCTCAGTAGGGACCAGTGACTCAGAGGTTCACTTACTATGAGCCCACTGCCCATCTCCAGACAAGGAGTCTAGGCCTGGGACAGATTCACAAGTTAATGTGGAAAGCCAGTTGGTTAATTTAAGTCCTGCTCAGGACTGCTTCATAGTGGCCTCCACCAACATAGCACAATCATGGGCATATAGACGGGAGAGATGACGACCCACTGAGAGGGTGATGCTTTCCTCTGTCTGACTCGGCGGTAATAACAAAAGGCACTGACTGCCTTACTGATGCTGTCTAGGACCTAGAACAGACTGGCACATTACAAGCACTTAATAACTACAAGTAGGACGGCTGAATAAAATAAAAACCAGCTTTAGAATAAAAAATTAAACTCACCAAATGATTCAAAGATGCAAGCTCCTGACCTATTTAAAAAAAAAATGTATATATATACGTAAATAAAGTTTAGGCATTGTCTATGACATGTTAAGGAACCTAGGTAAAAATTTTCATAGCTCATATATGAAAGAGATGGGCTAAGGTAAATAGTTCCTTACAAAAGACAATTATTTCAGGCACATAACAGCATAAATAATACAGTACTGTGAAATGCTTTTTAATTTTTTTAAGTTAGGAAAGGGACTCGCATATTATAAAACGGATCACAGTTTACCAGGAATAAAAAGCACTGAGCATAGGGTACTTAAAAAGATCTCAATTTGGGTGTAGCAGTGCATACACATAACCCCAGCCTGTAATCCCAGCCCTTGGGAAGCTGAAGCAGGAGGACTGACAGTTTGAGGCCAGCCAGGGCCAGATAATGAGTTCAGGACGAGCCTGGAGTAGATAGCAAAACTCTGTCTCAAAAAACCAAAAACTTTTAATAAAACAGCACCTCATAAAAGGCTTTTTTTCACTTACAACACTAACTCATGAAATCCCAAATGTCTGAACTAAAAGCAAGCAAGCCAAGACCCTCGCTATCAGTAACCTAGCATCGTTACTGGGCGGGAAAGTAAGGTGCAGAGGAGGGAAACACCTGCCTCACAGGGTCCGGGGCGAAGTCAGGGCCGAGGATGACGAGCAGCAAGAGGAAAGGCAGGGCTCGACCGTGCCTGCGGACGACAGCTGTGACGGGCTTACTAATTTTGTGAGTTGGGAAAGGGCCTTACCTATGAAAAAACTGATATAGTCTTTCTTCAGTTTGTCCAAACCAATTTCCAAAAGCATCTGAAGTGGAACAGTCCCGCTGAGGGAAACTGTGTCCATGGCTCCGTGATAAGACTGATGAATGAGCTTGCTTAGTAAACTGTTACTCCCACTATGGAGCTGGAAATGAAGAAAATTTTGTAAAGACATAAATAAAAATAAAAGCAGAAGTAAATTCCACGAGCTACAAGTCAAAAATGCGTTCTTACTCTCCTGACCCAACAAATGGTTTGAATAAAAGCAACAAATTACAAACATGTTCCTTCTTTTTTTGTCTTTTTGAAACAGGTTCTCGCTATGCAGTTCAGGCTGGCCTTGAGCTCACTTTGTAACCCAGGCTGGTCTCGAATTTGCACGATCCTCCTGCCTCAGCCTCCCGAGTGCTGGGATTACAGGCGTGCGCCACCACCCCCACCGGGCTTCAGTTTCTAAAATGCCATTCCCACCTTATCTGTTTACAAAGCCCAAAGCAACTAAGAAGAGTTTAAACTTCTCAGCCCTATGTGATGAGCTTCAGGAAAGAGTCAGGCTGGTCCTTCGAAGGTTCCCACCTGGAAAGTCTCTTCCCCCACTGGCTGGCTCAAGTGCCACTGAACATCTTCCGCATCCGCAACCTGCTGCTGCAGGAAAATGACCTCTCTGGCCCTCAGCGGCCCCCGGCCATGTGTATGTCATCAGGAATTCTTTTCTGGCTACCACATCCAACAAAACTAACTTGGAGATTCTCACATTAAATAGAGTTGTGAACTTAGAAGGAACACGTGTTCTAAATGTTAACCTATTCATCGTAGACACACGTAAAGTACTCATCATTTTCCCACTACTTTCTGTTACCTCTACTTTAATTTTTTTTTTTTTGGTTTTTCTCCAGTACCAGGAACCGAACTCACGACCTTGCACTTGCCAGGCAGGCGCTTTTGCCGCTGAGCTAAATCCCCAACCCCCCTCTACTTTAATTTTTATTGTCATCTTCCGCATTTTCTTTTTAAAAATTAGTTCCACCTGGTTGCTCTCACCGTACACAGCAGGATCATCTGTGCAAACATTTCACTAACGCAGCAATTCTCAAGAACTTCATTGCTCTCAACTTAAATGTGCAGAATCACGAATGTCCGGTCAGACAGAGCTCGTGCCTTTGCTCTGCAATCTACCTTTGTTCACACTTAAGAATGTTGATTTTGGGCCGGGGATATAGCTCAGGGGCACAAGCGCTTGCCTGGCAAGCACAAGGTTCTGAGTTCGATTCATGGTACCAAAAAAAAGCTTATTTTTTTTCTTTCTGAATGTGCTGAGGATTGAACCCAGGGCCTCATTTAGCTATAAAACCCCTTAACTTCTGTAATCATCAGCTGGCAATCACGTTATTTTAAATATTTCCTAATAAATAAGGACCTTTTTAAGTTTTTATTTATTTTATTTTTTTTGAGACAGGGTCTCGCTATGCTGGTCAGGCTGGCCTTGAGCTCACTTTGTAGCCCAGGCTGGTCTTCAATTTGTTGTTTTTTTTTTTTTTTTTTTCCGGTACCGGGAATCAAACTCAGGACCTTGCGCTTGCCAGGCAGGCACTGTGCTGCTGAGCTAAATCCCCAGCCCTGGTCTTCAATTTATGACAATCCTCCTGCCTCAGCCTCCTGAGTGCTGGGATTACAGGCATGCACCACCACGCCCAGCTGTTTTTAAGTTTTTACTTAGTTTTTTCTTCTGTAAATGTGGTACACATTCACCGTGGAAATTCATGAGGTATAGGTGTATATAATTCGGTTGGAAACACTGGTTGTAACCCCTCCACCAGAGGTAGCTGTTAAGATTTCTGCATATGGAGTTGCGTATATGCCTTTCCATAAACTGAACATTGTAAGCGTCTCCCTACGTCACTTCTCAGTGCCAATTTTTCCACCTTCTGCGCTTGCCATCGCAGAGCCGCACCATTAGTCACGTAGCCATCCCATTAACAAGGGAAATGTAGGGCGTTCACCATTCTCTGGGATCACAAACGAAACGATGATGACTGTGACACATAAAATCTTGACACGTCTCTGTGTGTGAGTTTACGATGGAGTCTAACAGAACAATTATTGGTTTGGAGGACAGGAAACAGTGAGGGTCTCAATACATCATCAAAATTGCTTCTCAGAGAATGTGCCAGCTTTTATTCTCATCAGTGGCACAGGAAAATACTCACAGAACAGCACTTAACTGTGAGCCAGGCAGTGGGTGCTTTACGTCATCAGCTAACCCTGCAGCGGCACACTGAAGCAGGCGTTCCCCCTCCTTTACACAGGAGGGCACCGGGTACAAAGAGGTAGAGGAATCTCCCCTATTTATACAGCAGGCAGCAGCACAGCAGGAACGCAAACTTAGGCGGTCGGTCCCATGCCTGCGTTCTTACCCACCCCGCCGGCCCCGGGAACACGTGCCACCTACCCACGGCTGGACGTCACCGCGCTGGAGACTCTGCATGATCAGCGTCAAACACTTCACCAGGTCTTGATAGGACACCACACCTAGAAAACCAAGTCAGTCTGATGTGATTCTCACATTCCTACAGATCGAACACGCCATCCAGGGCCAGGGATGCAGCTCAGCGGCATGAGCGCCTGCCTGGCAAGTGCAAGGTCCTGAGTTCGATTCGATTCCCAGTACCAAAAGAAAAGTCATCCACCTTAAAGTTACACCAGTGAAATAAAAGAATCTGTACTTGTGGATGGAGAAGGAAAAATTGGGGGACAAAAAAAAGATTAAATGTATTTTTCTTTTCCTTTTTGTTTTTTTTTTTTTGCAGTGTTGGGGAACTGAACTCTGGGCTTGATATACAAAAGGCAAGTGCTTTACCACTGAGCTACATGCCCAGTCCAGGCCTAATATACTTGTAAAGAAAAACAGTAAACTCACATTGCCCCAAAATAACATATTTAGTAAAATACTAAGAAGCAGTGTCCACTTTTTCTAATAATTATAATGTTATTAAGGTATATGTCTTGGTCCATATCAATATACCGTAAAAAAATACCAAGTCTTGTACTTTTTTTTTTTTTTTTTAGTCTTTTTGAGACAGGGTCTCGCATTCAGTTGAGGCTGGCCTTGAGCTCACTTTGTAGCCCAGGCTGGCCTTGAACTCGCAAGGATCCTCCTGCCTCAGCCTCCCTGGAGTGCTGAGATTACAGCTGTGTGCCACCATGCCCAACTCTAAATATTGTGTACTTTAAGAGAAAGAAAAAAGAGGCAGAAAAGAATACACACATGGATTGCCTTGCCTTAGTATGATTCTTTTTCTTTCTTTTCTCACGGCAATCCTCCTAACACATCCTCCTGAGTGCCGGGATTTCCGGCGTACACTACCACGCTTGGCTACCTTAGCACAATTCTGGAGCACAACGTTGCCAATCCACTGTTAGTAATGAGCTGGCTGACAGTACACACTTCATTATTTCCAAAAGACTTTACAATAAAACCAAAACACAACAGGAATAATTTTAATCATGATGGATACCTACTGCTGCTCATTTTGCACCAAAGTTGTTCAACAAAATCCAGGTCACCCCGCACCGTGACAAGGACGGATCTATCAACTGCAGCAGTGTCGTGCTTCACGGTCTGAAAAAGACACAGGGGTCAAAGAATGCTCAGGTTCTTTGTTTGTTTACTCATTTGAGACAGGGTTTTGCCACACAGTCTAGGCCAGCCTTGAACTTGCTATGAAGACCGTGCTGGCCTGAAACTTTCGGCACGATCTGCCTGCTTCAGCCTCTGCGAGTGGGTATTACAGTCATACACCTGGCTTACTTATTTAATTTTAAAGTGAAATAACCTAAGATTTTAAACACTGCTGAGGAACTGTGCATTCATAAACATGCAAGACTACATTTTCTACAACCCCTCATTTACTTATTAGTAAGGACACCCACAGCTCAATAGACTGAATAACTGGAATGGTAAAGTTGTTTCAAAACTGCAATGAATCCTTCCACATGAGAATAGTTATCAAAGTACCTCTGTCTCCACTGCTGTTGGTCAACCGAGAACGCATAATTTAATCTAGTGACACCGAGCAGAGAACAGCAGCGCACCCTCTTAGTCTATGAGCGCGTCCCAGCAGCCCCTCCCGCAGTGGCTTAGTGGATTCATCTCCCCTTCTCTACAGCGTCACAGCCAGCAATACACGTGGCTGCACCAAACCCATCTGAGAAAAGTAACAGTATGATCGAATTTTAAAAGCACTTCCAGGGCACATTTCCAACTGATAGTGATCACTCACCTCTGGGTCTTTTTTTGTAGAGTCACCAAATCCATCCAGCTTATTTAGTTCTAGAAAGTGGCAAAAGCTTATTAACTTCGTTTGACTTTTCTGCTTTCCAAACTATCTCCACCATAACCCTATTTCCAGGTGGGAAACGGCGACGGCAGAAGCGTAGCTGGGGATTTCAGCGAGCTGCCACACTCTCCCAAGGAGGTACGGGCTCGCCAGCAGGACCCGGCACACCACGCTGGCGCGGCAAGTGCCGCCCTCGTCTCCTACCGCTGCAGGTGTGGCTGTATTCTATAAACTTCACACTAAATCTTACTATTTTTTAAATGACTTAGATCTTTACAATCAGCGCTTCAGAACAAAAGCCATCCCTCCAACCGAGTCCAACCGCAGAGCTTTAGGATATCCCAGCTGAAAGGTATACTGCGCCTAGAGACCATTCATATGTAAACACAGCAATATACACATTCTCAGTTAAGAAGAAAAGCGACAAGAGCGAGTCAGGAAAACGAACCACTCAGGAACTCTTGCACCAGCTCAACGGCAGACTTTGCTTCCAGAGGCTCGAGCCACTCAGTCACACCGGTCCTCAAGCCGTCGGCCAGAACCTGTGGGGACGGAAACAGCCCACAAACTCAGCAGCGCAAACGTAGCTCAGCCGGGGGTGGCGTTCACAATAATACTGGTGACACTGGCGCTTCTGGAGCGCTTGCAACACGCCAGGCACTGTAGAAGCGCTTTCCCTGCAGGGTGTCACTCAGTCCTGACACAACTCCACGAGGCGGAGGTTACTGTCACCTGAGAAAGGCTAAGTCCAGGGCTGGGGATTTAGCTCAGCGGCAAAGCGCCTGCCTGGCAAGCGCAAGGTCGTGAGTTCGGTTCCCAGTACCGGAGAAAAACCAAAAAAAAAGAAAGGCCAAGTCCTCGCTCACGGTCACTTAGTAACGGACAGTGCACGACAAACACCCACAGTCTGACCCCCAGGAGTGTCGGGAACTGTGCTGCCACATGCACAGGTGGTACAGGAGGATCCAGAACGGTGACACTGGGCTGGCTCTGCAGCGGGCCTTTCCCTGCAGCTTTTGGACCCCGGGTGCAGAGTAGGGCAGGAGCAGGACTAGTACGGAGGAGGAGGGAGGAGTCCAGCCAGTGGGGAGGGAGGTGGGGCCTGGGCCCCGGAGGGACGCTGTGGGCCTGGAACAGGCGGGACTTCTTAATCCTGGACAAGAGTCTTCTACTTCCTATGGGACACAACAGCCACTGTGGATTTTATTTTTTTATTTTTTTATTTTTTTTTTTTTGGTTTTTTGGTTTTTTTCTCCGGTACCAGGAACCGAACTCACGACCTTGCACTTGCCAGGCAGGCGCTTTGCCGCTGAGCTAAATCCCCAGCCCCCCCACTGTGGATTTTAGAGGGCAAACATGACACAAGTGACTTAAAATTCCTTTGTCTCCAAAGAAAAGACAGGCCATTTTAAGAGGTCTTTGGAAAAATGTGAGGATAAATTTTCATTGTTTTTTTTTTTTTTTTTGAGACAGGGTCTCCCCGTGTGGTTCAGGCTGGCCTTGAACTCACTATGTAGCCCAGGCTGGCACTGAACTCATAATGATCCTCCTGCCTCAGCCTCCTTAGTGCTGGGATTACACGCGTGTGCCACCATACCCAGCCTATACATCCATCTGGAATCAACGGGCAGCTGGCCATCTAAAAAAGAGGACACCCATCTTATGAATAAAAACCAAACACTCCAGTAGAAAAAGTGAAAGATCTGCAACTATTAACTAACTAATGCTCCCTTCAACTGTAAGGACAGTTACCAAATAAGACTGTCAACAGTATCAATGAATATACAACATTTGGAACAAATTTTGAAGAAATTAAGAGATATCAGCAAACATTTTCATAAAAACATGAACTTTAATAAAAAGAATTCTGGAAGGATACTCACAAGGAGAAATTTCAGTTCTCTGTGAAGATGAGTCAAGCAACCTCTGGGCTCTCCTGACTCCACTTTGATATTCTGAAAAGGATCCAAGTTAGTTCTCCCTAATAATCCCATCTCTTCTTCATGAGGGACATGGGAGCTCGCATTTCAAATACATTAAAAAAAATCTACTTATTATATTACGTATGTTGAATATATTTATTAAATGTATTTATAGTATATTATACATGTGTTACATAACATGTTACTACTATATATTAAATAATATATACATTCAAATGAATTAATATAGTAAATAAACCAGAGTACACTCATAGCCAGAGTTCAAAGTTGTTTTTTTTTTTTTTTTTTGGTTTTTCTCCGGTACTGGGAACCGAACTCACCAGAGTTCAAAGTTTTAAAAGCTTAACACCTTATAAAAAATAGATGTCGGCCCAGGGATTTAGCTCAGCGGCACAGCACCTGCCTGGCAACTGTGAGGTCCTGAGTTTGAATCTCAGTACCAAAAAAAAAAGTAGATGTCGAGGTATGTAAATCCCTATTACAGGAAAAACATAAGAGTATAATTATCTATAATTCCATAACCCCAAGGGAACCACTGTCAATATTTTTTTTTTATGTTTTTTAAAATTTTTTTTTAAAACACAAGCTTCTATGTATACTTTTTATTTTATTATTATTGTCTTTTTGAAACAGGGTCTCGCTGTACGGTGCAGGCTGGTCTTGAGCTCACTTTGTAGCCCAGGCTGGACTCGAACTTGCAACAATCCTACTGCCTCAGCCTCCCAGGTGCTGGGATTACAGGCATGTGCTACCACACCCGACTTTCACCCCAATCTTTTAAATCTGGGCCATCTATATAGATAGGTGGAAATCCCATCCTCACGGGAACTATATGTATCAATTATCTTTTCTCTTTCTTCACCAATTAACTATGTATTTTCAATTATCAGTTATCTTTAAAATGGCGTGTTAGCCTCGCAAGTGCTAAGATTACAGGTGTGCACCCCTATGCCCAGCTTTTTTTCTGGTGCTTAAGGACAATTTAACTGGGGATAGTAGCACATCCCTATAATCCCAGCTACTTGGGAGGCTGAGGTAGGAGGATCACTAATTTGAGGCCAGCCTGGATAATTTAATGAGACCCTATGGCAAAATTTAAAAAAAAATAAAAATAGAAAGAAAGTTGGGGATATAGCTGACTGCTATAAAAAACATATACATATAAAACAAACAACCACAAAAAAGAACCAAGACTGTTTATAAAACTATATAATATTTCATCATGGAAATCTACTTCCCTATGGAAAATTCAAGTTTCGTTTTTAGTATTTCAGAAGCACAGCTGTATCACTGCACAAGTATCGTGTATATAAATTTTCATTAACTCTAGTTTTCCCTTCCCCTTCTTTTTTTTGTTATTTTTGAGACGGAGCCTCACTATATAACCCAGGTGGCCTTAAACTCGTGATCCTCTTGCCTCAGCATCCCAAGCAGCTAGGATTATAGGTATGCTCCACCATTCCTGGCTCGATTCTGACAAACCTCCTAGGATTCCTAAAAATGTAAACAGGGTGAAAATGTTTAATACTGGCACTCGGGAGACTGAGGCAGGAAGATCACCATGAGTTCGAGGTCAGCTTGCACTACATAGTGAGACCCTACCTCAAAAAAAAAAAAAAAAGAGGAAGTGTTTAATACCATAACACATTTCTCAATGGGTTATTGATATGTGAATTCCTGTTTTTTTTTTTTTTTTGTCTTTTTGAGATGGGGTCTCACTATACAGTTCAGGTTGGCTTTGAGCTCGCAATGATCCTCCTGCCTCAGCCTCCCGAGTGCTGGGATTACAGGTGATTATAGGCATGGGCCACTGGCTGATACATGCAGTCTTAAGAACAGAGCACGAAAGTCATTCTGAGTATTCTACTTGAGTTCTCCCTAAACAGACTCATTAACAGGAGAAAATTTTTTCTTTTTTTTGGGAACTGGGAATCAAACTCAGGACCTCGAGCTTGCCAGGCAGGCACTATGCTGCTGAATTATATCCCCGGCCCCATGAGAAAACTCTCAGGTTCCACAGTTACGGGGTTGGGAGCAATGGACAGTTTAGCTCTCCAGCAAAACCTCCCCTGCAGTCCCGTAAGCCCTTGGGGGCAAGCAGGACTTTGAGAGTGGTCCAGCCTAATAGCCAGGGACCATGGGCCTGGTCACACCCGCAAGCAAGTATGCTCTAGCGGCCTCGGGGAGCAAGAGGGAACAGGGCGCACTCCTACCAGAGTGGCGGCTGAAGAGAGCGGAGGGACTTGAAGCATCTCATCCACAGGGCTCCAGGAAATATCCAGAGTGATGGCCGTGTGTGACGGGGCGACCGCGTCATCCAAGACACTGGACTTGAAGAGCTCGTACTGCGCAAAGCCTCTGGCTGTCACCTGAAAGAGGGCAGGTGCTGGCCTTGGTGAGCCTTTACGGCGCCCAGTATCAAAACCACGTGGACGCTCGTCCCAAGAGAAAAAAAGCACAACACCAACACTCCCGTTCCAAGTGGAAAAATAAGACAATGCTTTGAAACCACAGACAGCTGACTGGGAGGAAGGCACAGCCAGTCCACCCTCTGTACCCCCGGGGCCTGCACCCACAGCTTCCGTCCCCCACGCGTCACCCGGGATGAAGAGCATGCGACAAGGTCTGCGTCTGTACTTAACGCACATAGACGTTTTTCTCATCATTCCCTCAACGACGCAGCAGTGACTTTTTATAAACAACTGACGTTAATAGGTGTTCAGCAAAGTAGCAACCATCGTAAGTACTGTAGGAGGAGGGTGTGCAGTTACATGCGAACACTACACCGCTCTGTACCAAGGACGTGAGCAGAGCTGAGCCTGGGACCCATTCCCCATGCACACCCAGGGATGACTGGATTTTCACTGATACGAAAATAAAACATTTTGACACTACAGAAAAATACCTAGTCAGGGGTGGGGATATAGCTCAGCAGCACAAGTGCCTGCCTGGCAAGTGCAAGGTCCTGAATTCGATTCCCGGTACAAAAAAAAATTCCAGCCAGGCGTGGTGGCGCACGCCTGTAATCCCAGCACTTGGGAGGCTGAGGCAGGAGGATCCTTTCGAGTTCAAGGCCAGCCTGGGCTACAAAGTGAGCTCAAGGTCAGACTGAGCTGCACAGCAAGACCGTCTCAAATAGACAAAAAAAAAAAAATTTCCTAGTCATATTAAGGGTGAGAAAAAACCTTTAAACTAGAAAAGTATGTCAATAACAGTCTGAAGAAAATAACAAGAGGAAAAATACTTACAGTAGACAAGTGATGTCTCTTCTTGTGAGCATTTTTTAAGTTTTCCAGACTTGGAGAGTAATTTTTATCAGCTGTAGGATATGAAAAAAAGAAAAAAATTAAAGGTACAATTCAAAATTACATTGTTAGAGCTCAAAAATTATAATCTCTTGCTGGGTGTGGTGGCATATGCCTATAATCCCAGCACTCGGGAGGCTGAGGCAGGATAACTGCTGCAAGTTCGAGGCCAGCCTGAGGTACATAGTGAGCTCAAGGCCTGCTTACACTACATAGTAACACCCTGTCTCAAAAAAAAAAAAATTCTGAGGATACCATAACTCAGAACTAATAATTGCTGAAGCTAAAGTTTAAATCACAGGAAAGGAAATGTTTCTTTAAAAAAAAGAAAGTAGAACAAAGGTCAATACCACCATCAAAAATATAATTAAATAGGCTGGCATGGTGGCAGTACCTATAGTCTTGGCTACTCACTGAGGTGGGGAGATTACTCGAGCCCATACCCTGGATGGAGACCAGCCAGCTTGAGCGACACATTTCAAAAAAAAGTACAAAATATAATTAAATGCCCACTTGAGATTGGAATAATAACTATAATTAACTTTTAATTAAACATTCACTGTATTTTTTTTTTTTTTTCTGTCTTTTTGAGACAGGGTCTCACTATGCAATTCAGGCTGGCCTTGAGCTCACTTTGTAGCCCAGGTTGGTCTCAAACTTGCAGTGATCCTCCTGCCTCAGCCTCCCGAGCACTGGTATTGCAGGCATGCGCCACCACACATGGTCCTCGCTGTACTTTTAAAATCATACCTCAGATATGTTATGTTACACATGAGATTCATGAGATCAACAAAATTTCCAGAGTACACCTTCCTCTCAATACTTAATTTTCAGTAAAATCCACAAAACAGTAACTATGCAAATAACTGCACACAGGCGAAGTACAGAGCGAGCGAGCACTTGCCTTTACAACTGATGGCATACAGGACAACTCCTGTGATGCTGCCGCCAGCCGTGACGAGCTCAGCTCCTAGCCAGCAGGTGCCCTCGGGATCCGAGCCGTCGCATCTGACCCAGAGGGGAGGGAGGGCCGTAACGGGCCGCTCGACTTTCAAATGGGTCATATTAGGGTTGTGAGCCATGGTGTAGAGCCCAATGAACTGTCTTGAAAATAAGAAGAAGAAAGAAATTATCTAAAGTTCTGGGCTGAGGGCTCAGCGCAGGGGCAGAACATACCCAAGGCCCCACGTTTGATCCCTAGGATCACCAAGGGGAAAAAAAAAGACCACGAAGGGTCTCACAGAAACAAGCGGGAATGAAGCGGCTGGAGCACAAACATAGACGCGTGTGCATCTCCCCAGCGGGGGAGCACAGCTTACCACGCTGACCAAACGCACAAGACAAAGTGACAGTGCGACTGGTACCAAAACCGCTGGTGACTGGATAGGAGGAGCCGCTGCGGGGAGCTCAAGGCCACACAGGTGCGGCGCAACAGGAACACGGTGGGGTGCGGGAGAAGCTGGCAAAGTGAGCGAAAGCAACAGCTGCACCAGAGGTGCTCAAGACCACAGTCACTGGGACCCTTAAGGAAATCTGATCAAAAGGGGCCGGGGATAGAACTCAGCAGCACAGCACCTGCCTGGCAAGTGCCAAGGTCACGAGTTTGATTCCCAGTACCAAAAAAAAAAGGAAATCTGATTATAAGCTCTCAATTGGATAATAGTAACATCATAATGCTAAATTTCCAGATTTTTTTGAGACAGAGACTCACTGTGCAGTTCAAGCTGGCCTAGAACCTGCAGTGACCCTCCTGCCTCAGCCTTCCAAGTGCTGAGACTATAGGCGTGTCCCCACCACTCCTGGCCTAATGTCCAGATTTTGATCATTGTTCCATGGTTACATAAAGAACATCACAGTACTTGCCCTTATGAGATACAGCAATACCTCAGTTCATGAACACTTCTGTTTGTAAACAATTCGGTTTACGAGCAAAAGTGTTCAGCAAAATTTTGTCTCTGTCCGTAAACTCGTCAGGTGACAAACACGACCACAGCCATCTTCCTCACACAAACACAAATGCAGCTATCATCCTCAAAACTGTAAAACAAATTAAGTTCCTAAACCAGGTACCACTGTATATAGTTAAGAATTTAGGGGTAAAGGAACACAACGTCCCCAAGATACTGTCTCTACTTCACTTTAAAACTGTGCGCTTGTCTGTGCAGTACGTGTACATCTCAGCTGTGCATATACACACATACACACTGTATTTCAATTGCTACGTACACTGTACAGACACACAATGCGCAGTCGTGACAGCACACCCCATGCACACACGTATGTAAATATACAGGCCGCTCTCCGGTACATAGCTGCGTGGAGAGAGCACGACGGCAGGTTCAGCAAAATGCAGACAACTGGCGAGCCTGAGCGAGGCACACACAGAGGCTTCTGTATTGCTCTTGCAACTTCTCTGTACATTTCAACGGACATCCGGGTTAAAGATTACTCCACAACGGGGCTTAATGTTCAAAGAGATGAAAACTGAATTTAGTATCCATAGATGGTCAGGAAAGGGGTTTCTAAGGGATTTCACTTCAAAAAGAAAGTACAGTACCTCCAGAAGGAAGAACTGAAATTCAAGAAATAATAGCAAAGAAATGATATCCAAGCAACACCAGCAGAAGAAATTAACATGAGCGGTGTCCAGTCACCCGGAGAAAAGGCGAGGCCCAGACCGCGCCTCCGCTCCAGAGGCCGTGCGAGCAGACGGGTTCGTGCAGGGATGTGAGCACCTTTGAAACGTCCCCCAGGCAAAATGAAAGCAAGCCTCTTTGTGACTACGGCGACAGAAGTCACCGTTCTCTAACGTGCTTAGCTCGGGCTCTGCCTTCCAGAGCTGCCTGACGGCCGGGACTCTGGTCTCCACATCCGGCTCCAACGCAGGGAGGCCGAAGGTGAAGCTGCCGGCTGACGGAGGCAGGAGGGTTTCTGGCATCCGGGATGGGTATGCGTTGCGGTGCTCTTACCACCCACTGCCAGGGCCACTAAATGCCAGCAGCTCCCATGGGTCAGTAAGACGACTAAAATACAAACACTTCAGGTGCCCGCTGGGTACAGCAGCCTGACAGAGGACCTTCAGGGCAGTAAGTGAAGGCTCCATACATCGCTCAGGAGGAATTGGTTTCTCCTGAAGTACGGAGGGCCAGCAAAGGGTTTCCAAGCAGGGAAGCACGCTGATCGGGGGTTTACAAACATCAGTCTGCGGCAGCGAGGAAGAAAGGCTGGAGGGGAACCATCTCACACACATGGAAACTTTTAACAAGCAAGGACAAGAACTGGCAGAGAAGGTTGGAGAGAGGAAGGAAACTGAAGTCTTTGTCATTCTGGGGAGCTGTGTGCTCTCATGCAGCGCAACCCTTAGAGGGCTGGATGGCCGCGTCTCGGGGGAGGTAGGAAGAAGGCTTTATCTGTATCTGTGTATCTAACTCCATGTATCTATCCAGGTCTACATATACTGTTTCATGGTTTATAAGAATGCTTCAATTTAAATCCTATCTTTCAAGCCAGGTATGGTAGTGCACACCTATAGTCCCAGCACTTAGAAGGCTGAGGCAGGAGGATCACTGCTCGAGGCCTGTCCAGGCTACAAAGTGAGTTCAAGGCCAGGCTGAAGTGCACAGTGAAATCCTGTCTCAAAAATAACAAAAATCAATCAGTCAGTCAAATCAAATCAAATCAATCCTATCCTCTAGCCCTGACTTCGTACTGAGAAAAACTTACCTTGCTCTCCCAACTGATAAAGGGAGTGGCCCAGTATGCTCGCCAGCAGAGAAATCAGAAATAGCAGTTTCTTCAGACTGTAGTTCTTCAACATGACTTGTTTCTTCCTTTTCTAAAGGCTTGAAAAGGGCTTTAAATTATTTAACCAGACAGAAGAGCGTTTAAGATAGCGCCCTACTCTTTACACCTCTATGCAGCATCTTACTAACAGAACACACAATGTTCACCTAATCCCTAAGCACAGCCCCGAGCTAGGTTGTATCAGAAGCATTTCCCACCGTTCCCTAAAAAGATACTGGTCTCACTGCTGCTGGCCTTGGAAGCATCTGCTGCGTTCAGAGAAGTACAGCAACGAGGTAAAGGTGAAGCGTCATGGGAAGCCCATGGGAGACGCCCAGATTCCACTGCACCTTCTCATTCCCCAGACGGGAAGACCTCACTTCTGGGAAATGACCCAGACCCACCGTCCTCACTTCTTGTATCAGTTCCTCTCAGGGCTCCCAGTTCTCACTGGTGGTGCAGGGTTCTAATAATCTGTTTATTTACAGAATAGTTAAATAGCTCTGCCTTGGCAAGAATAACAGTATGAGTTAACATTTCTTGAGCCTTACTAGTATTAGGTACTGTTACCTAAATTATCTTTTATTCTTCATAAAAATACTGAGATAAGATGCCATCATTGGTTGGGCTAGTAATCCTAGCATGCAGGAAGCTGAGGCAGGAGGACTGCCTCAAAAACAAAGAAAAACCACTATCATTGTCTCTAATTAACCAAACTGGATTTACTTACTTACTTATTTATTTATTTAGGAGACAGGGTCTCACTATGAAGTTCAGGCTGGTCTTAAACGCACTATGTACCCTAGGTTGGCCTCAAACTAGCAGTGATCCTCCTGGCTCAGCCTCCTGAGTGCTGGGATCACAAGCATGTGCCACCACGGCTGGCTAATAGGTAGGAAAGTAGAAGTGCCACCTGCAGTTACAGATGGGTGCCACACGGCAAAGCCAACATTTGAATCCAGTAGCTCTCAACTGCGGCACGTTCCTACCACACGATACTCCTGAGCAACAACGTGAAATGAGCTATTGACACACGCAACACTTTGGATGGAAGAAAGTCAAACTCAACAGGTGATTTATTCATGACGTTATTGAAAAGACAAAACTACGGTGCAGGAAAAGGACTGGCTCTGTGGTCGCCAGCAGGGAGGGGGGGATTATGAAGGACTCCCTCAAGTGAACTGAGAGAGTGTCTGGGCAGATGGACACGCTCAGTATCTTGACTGTGGTGTGAGTACAATAGTCCATCTATGCATGTGCTAAAATTCGCAGAACTGGACAGCAAAAGAAAAAAGTTGGTTTTACTGAGTTAATAATTTTGCTTGCTTTTTTTCTTAATGAAACTACTAGAAAATTTAAAATTATATCTATGGGTCACATTATATTTCTATAGCTGGGTGTGGTGGTGCACGCCTGTAATCCCAGCACTTGGGAGGGTGAGGCAGGAGGATCGTTGCGAGTTTGAGACCAGCCTGGGCTACAAAGTGAGCTCGAGGCCAGCCTGAACTGCAGAGTGAGACCCTGTCTCAAAAAGACAATACATAAACAAATAAATAAATAAAAAGAAACACATTATATTTCTACAGAACAGCAGCGTACTTATTCTTAAAAGACTGAGTATCCATTTTCACTAATGCAGTAAAAAATGTATGTGCTTAAGATTATTCCCAAAGTACCAAGCGCTGGACTAGCAAGCGCAAGGTTACGAGTTTGATTCCCAGTACCAAAAAAAAAAAAAAGATTATTCCCAAAGGAATAATATTTGGTTACCAAGAAGTAAACGACCACAAAACCCAAGCACTGCTTACCACTTTTTCCAGGACGAAGACCAAGTCATTTTCACTTAGAATATTTTTAATAGGGTTTGGTTGACCCTTGCTGATCAGCTGCACTTGAACATCAGCCTGTTAAAAACAAATGCCAGGCAGTGTCATACAAACACAGAAATATTTTTCATGTTTAGAAAATCTAGTAGAAAAAAAACAAAGAAAATCTAGTAGCGTACATGTCTTTCTACTCATTTTGTGTGTGTATGTGTGTGTGTCTGTGTGTTTGAGACAGGGTCTCGCTATGTGTGTGTTTGACACAAGGTCTCGCTATGCAGTTGAGGCTGGCCTTGAGCTCACTTTGTAGCCCAAGTTGGCCTCGAACTCACAACGATCCTCCTGCCTCAGCCTCCCAAGTGCTGGGACTACAGATGTGCGCCACCACACCTAGCTCTACTCATTTTTGAGGCCTGCCGACATGTACCGCGCCCTGGACAGCATCCCACGCCGCGGTCCTCACCCATCATTGCATAGTTACCTGCTGCGCTCCCTGCCGCTAGTATTCTACTGACACTGCCCTTGCTGCTGATTGTACAATGACATTTTAAAACTTTAACCTATCAGTCTACAGAAACTGTACTTTATTTTATTAAACCCAAAACACATTTACTTTAGAAAGACATAAAAACAGATAGTTTTTTTTTAAAAGAAGTTTTTAAAAAACTACCATAATTCTATTGCTGAGGATAATCACTACTGTTATTAGCCTGGTTGGCTTATAATGCTACCAGATCTCTTTGGAAGGCATACAAACAAATCTCTTTAAAATTTTAATTAGTACGCTTGCAATACATGACCTACGCGTACCTAACACATAACATCTCGGTTCTATTCATGCCTCCTCCTCCTCCTTTCCCTCTCCGCCACCTCCTGTTATCTCTGCCTTTACTCTTTATTTATATGTGGGTTTCCCATATATGAGAAACCATGTGGTATTTAAGTGTGTGCGTCTGATTTCTTTCCCTTATTATGGTCTCAACATAGACATTTTCCTACAAATGACTCATTTATCCCTTATAGCCTCAGCTTTCCGACGGTTGAGATTGGAGATGTATTTGTCAAAATCTGTAGACCTGCACCCTAAAAGGGCACCATTTAATGTGTAAGTTCACTTTAATACACCTGATTTAAAACCCCTCCATTTTAGGACTGGGTTATATTTTAAAACCAAATAAACTGTTCATACCTCATAGATAAATGGGTCTTTACAGATTCCTTTCTTTTCCTCATTAAATTCCCTGAAACACAGAACCGCATCGTTACTTAAACTCACAGGTTAACCAGCACTTCCTCTCTGCATAGTATGAACAGAAAAAGAAAAGGCACACTAGTAATGGAGCTCCGAAGGCACAGGTGGGAAAAGGGCAGAAATTAGGTTAAGAAGAGAAAAACAAAACAAAACAAAACAAAAAACTTATGGCAGAGATTAATACACTGCTGCTCACAATTGGGTGCAAGCATTATTTACTTATTTGGAGACAGGGTCTTGCTATGCAGTTCAGGTTGGCCTTGAACTCACTTTGCAGCCCAGGCTGGCTTTGAACTTGCAGCGATCCTCCTGCCTCAGCCTCCCAAGTGCAAGTGCTGGAATTACAGGTGCACCACCACACCCAGTTACATCCTTTAGAAGCAACAGGAAATTAGGTTGCTTATCTGTACTCTTCTGTCTTTTCAAACACATCACCAATTAATATTAAAATATAATCTGCCCCATGACCTTAAGTAAAAACGACTGCCTTCTGATCTGCCTCTGAGTCAGTGGGTAAGCACTAAGAAGTTACTTAAGAGTTTCAGGCCTTACACTTCTATAACTAAATTTGAAGCATCAGCTGGGGATATAGCTCAGCAGCCCAGAGCCTGCCTGGCAAGTGCAAGGTCCTGAGTTCGAATACCGGTACCAAAAAAAATTGGAAGCACTTACCTGAATTTTATGAGCTACTACTAAAAACAATCAGTAAATTTTATGATGTTGAATATTTCCTTTTAACAATGTAAGCAAGAGCCAGAGGCACAGTGGTACATGCCTGTAATCCCAGCACTTGGGAGGCTGAAGCAGGAGGATTGCCTCAAGTTAGAGGCCAGCCCGAGCTACATAGCAAGTTTAAGGACAGCCTGAGCTGCCTGTCTCAAAAGAAAAAAGTAAGCAAAACACTCCAGGACGTCATTTAATATTTATCATTTAAGAAAATTTTAAGAGATTCTGAAGCATGTGAAATAACTCATTAATATATAAAATGCAATATAAAAACACATAACCAGCCTGATCTACACTCTGAAAAAAAAAAGAATCTCTAATGACCGAAGGAGCCCAGTACAACTGTTTGAGGACAGTGTCTATGTCTGCTTGGTCTGCCACCTGACTGGCCAGCCAAACTACGAACAGGAGTGCACACCTGCGACTGATTCACTCATGCAAGCAGCACAAGACTGTGACTTACTCTTCCAAGATGTCTGCGTTCTATATAGAACTCAAGGATGTTACTTAATCAGGCCAGGCACTGTTGGGAGCTACTGAGGATATCAAACAGAAGCAGTCTTGACTGAGTCCAAGGAGGAAAACAACAGTTAGAGTCAGAGACAAGCACTGGGCAGGAAGCTGGGAGAGCTCCAGGGCTTGGCCTTCACTCAGCAAGTCCAGAAAAACTTCATGTAAGATTCTCAGTGACAAACATCTCTGCGGCTGCAAGGTGGTGAGGGTAGTAACGGGGCATCCAGGGTGACAGCTGTGAATAATCTACAGTGCTTCAGAGGGCTGAGAACCCGGGCGGTGAGCCAGCACAGGAGGGCTGAGAAGGAATGTGCGGCAGTGGAAAGAAAGGAAATTGGGGTCTTGGATGTGCAAATCTGAACTCAGAGACAGAGCTGAGGAGGAGCAGGCGAGGAGGAAAGATTAATCCAGTCTTGTGCAACTGACTCTGAGGTTCCGTGGGAAGCTTCGGGTGCTCACCAGTGGAAAGAAAGCCTAATAACACCATGAAATAACTGGGAACTAGAGGGAGTCTAGACAAAGTCAAGGGCCAGGGATTTAGCTCAGCAGCGCAGCGCCTGCCTGGCAAGTGTGAGGTCCTGAGTTCGAATCCCAGTACAAAAAAAAAGAGAGACAAAGTCGAATTAATAGCGGTCTGATTGAACAAAATAACCATGCGATGAAAAATTAAACAGTTGACAATGAGCACCAGGACAGTCCCAGGACTCAGGAGGCCAAGGCAGGATTGAAATTTGAGGCCAGCCTGGGCTACAGAGCTGAAGCGGAGAGATAAGAGTTTGAGGGGAGGGAATCAGGAGCCCTCCGCACTGGTGTGGCCGGGTGTAGGTCCCCTTTTCTAAGGTTTTGGCATCATTTTGCTAACCCAACAAGAGGCTCCTGTAAAGCCTGAAGTTGAGGGCCCTGGGGGAAGATGGGAAGATTTCTCAGAGTGACACTGGCCTGTGACGGGGAGGGCAGGGTGGAGAGTGGTCTGACAGTGCTAGGGACAGAACAGACGCCAGACATTTGCTGAAGGACTAGAACGCCAAGGCCGGGTCCCTGGAGGATCACCAACCCAAAGGTCTCATGCGATTGGCGGGATTTTCTTGCCCACGAGTAAACTATTCACGCCTCTCTAAGGAGCGTCTTCGCTCTGTCTAAAGTTACAATTAATGGTACATTTCCCGGCTTCCTATAGGATCAGCTCTAAGTCAGACTTTCCTGCTTGTCACCCCATAGGGTGAACTCAACGTGGCTGAGATGTGGTCGTTTCTGTGTGGAAACCTCCTAGACACAAGAGTCCCTTTGTCGCCAAGTGTGGCGGCACACTCCTGTAATCCCAGCACTCAGGAGGCTGAGGCAGGAGGATCGCCGCGAGCTCGAGGCCAGCCTGGGCTACATAACAAGACCCTGTCTCCAAAATCCAAAACAAAACAATGAGAAGAGGAACACCAAGGATTTACAGGTGGAGAAGCCAGAAAGACATCTAGATCGCCCACCCTGGCAGGGGCCTCTACTGATGACCAGTGTATACATCTGCAGATGCACATGGCACACGTGTCACCTGGCACCTAGGTGATAACGCTGTCGCTCTCCCCGAAGCCTCCGCCAGGTCCCCTGATCCGAGCAGAGCCGCCCCGTCTCCAACTCCCAGACCAGGAGAGCTGGCAAAGCACCACTCCTCGGGGCGTGGCAAAAGACCTGGGCCGGGGGCCGGGGCATCCAGAGGGGCAAGATCCCTAGACCCCGGGCGACAGTAGGGAGGACAACTCACTGCCGGAGGCGAGCGTAAAACTCCTCAGTCGCTCGGTTCGTTCGCGCCCACATCCCTGCCCGGCCTCAGCAGAGTCGGGAACCGCCAAACTGAATTGCGCGCTCGGACGCTGACGTCAGAGGCCGTGACGCCGTCCGCCGGAACTACTTTCACAGAGAACAAGTTCCGTTTGTCCGCAGAGTTAAACTTTTTTGTGAGCGCACACAGTTATGTTTCCTGTTCCAATGGTTTTCCACTCTCATCGGGGGAAAAAAGTTAAAATAAATACAAAGGATGCGGGGACAGATAACTCTTCTCGCGAGATTTGGCCACTCCCCTTGCGGATTAGTCCGCGAAAAAGAGTCCCTCCGTTTTAAGCACTCCTAGCAGCGCTGTAGAAAAGAAATAGCGTGGTTTTTCCCCCATAAAGAAATAATGCTACATTATTTGTTTTTAGAGAGTCGTAGGGAGTTATTTCTTGTCTCTGAGTAGGTTCTGAGGCGTGGCTAGGCGGGGGGATGAGGGGGAAGGATACATATAGGGTGGGAGTGCTGGACACTTCCTTTTCCTGTGGGAGCCGCCGGGTCGGGAGGAGCGTGGCCTTCTCCTCTCCCCGCCATGGTGAGTGTCCCGCTGTTTAGCTGGGCTTGTCCGAGACCTCGGGGCTCGTAGGGAAGGTTTGAGGGTTCAGGGCACAGAGTCGGAAAGCAGGGACGCGAGCAGGCGGCGTAGATGAGCGCCGTGGGCGTCTGCTGCCGGCGGAGAGCCGGCTCGTGGGAAGCTGCGGCAGCCATTTTAGACGCAACGTGGGTGTCCGCGGCCGGCCGCCTGGCAGCGCTCGGAGGAGCCGGGGGCCTCTGACCGCGACCCGCGGGATCCTGGCTGCCCGAGACCTTCGCACGCGTGGCTCTCCAGGAAACGGAACTCTCGGGGCTTAAGACCGAGTTGGAGAGGCTGCCCGGGCCCTGCGTGTTCGTGTGCTGTCCAGAAAAATACACTTTGGCCTTTGAAGCCAGAGTCTTCGTTGTGAAAAATGATCGTTAATACATTTCCCATGGAGGCTTGTCTGCCTAGCTTGGGATCGTTACTGCGAAAGCTTTCTGATGGTTTTCCCTTTAAAAAATTGTGCCACTGATTGTCTTCAGGGTGTGCCTGCCTTAGCCGGAGTCCAGGACGGCTGTTAGGCGTACGGCGGTGCTGTGCCCCGCGCTCACGTAGCTGTGCTCGCGCGTGGATCGGGGCTCGGTTGGATTAAATTAGTAGTAGCGTTGAGCTGTACCAAATGCTGAGGACGTGGGGAATTGGACAGGAGGCCGTGGCTCAGTTCTCAACAGTGATGAGAGAAAGTGGCCTAGAGTGATATATACATTCGAATGTATTATAAATATTTTCGATAGGATTCTGTTTGAAAATTATGTAGAGCCGGGCGTGGTGGCGCACGCCTGCAATCGCAGCACTCGGGAGGCTGAGGCAGGAGGGTTGTTATGAGTTCGAGGTCAGCCTGGGCTACAAAGTGAGCTCAAGGCCAGCCTGAACTGCATAGCGACACCCTGTCTCACGACAAGGAAAGTTACGTTGCAGGATTTCATATTCTGAGTGTAGGGGAGTTTATTGAGGAACTAATACAGACCTGCTAGTGTAATCTGTAATTTAGTCTTTGGTGCTTCACCTTTAAGCATCTGCCTAACAAAGCTGGGCTGTTGTGTAACTTGATGGTACCTGGAAGAGTTGCCTCTGATACTGTTCGTCAATACGTGTCTCTTTCTCTCTGAAGGCTTGTGCTCGTCCCCTAATATCGGTGTACTCCGAAAAGGGGGAGTCATCTGGCAAAAATGTCAACTTGCCTGCTGTGTTCAAGGCTCCCATTCGACCAGATATTGTGAACTTTGTTCACACCAACCTGCGTAAAAACAACAGGCAGCCCTATGCTGTCAGCGAATTAGCAGGTATGGATTTGCAGTTTTCTCTGGTTGCTCTTTTAAGGCCTGCTTTACAGCTGTGATGAAATGCTACTCCATTGGTCCGTGTTTCTGAACTACATGATTTTCTTGGATATTCTGATGCTGTCTGTTACCGGGCAGCAGTCATACATTGGTCCAACTACCTAGCTAAAAACCTTTTCATTTCTTCCCAATTTTAGGTCATCAGACCAGTGCCGAGTCTTGGGGAACTGGCAGAGCTGTGGCTCGAATTCCCAGAGTTCGAGGCGGTGGGACCCACCGTTCTGGCCAGGGTGCCTTTGGAAATGTATCCTTTGTTTCACTACCTGGACTGGTGGAACTTGGCAGGCTGGACCTCGCTTATTCACGTTAACGTATGCTGCAGTATCTGTGTGCATAATGCTAAGTGTCCTCACTACACACTGCTCTAGGCGGGTGTGGAATCAGTGTTTAAGGTCTTGACATAAGGAAGTTGGGCTTGCAATGATGTCGTAATTTGCGTCTTACTCTGTTCTCAGCGACAGTTGCCTGCTGTCAGTGAGCTGGTACAGAAGGTTGACGAAAATCATTACTGAGCAAGAGTTAACTTCAGTCCTGAGCTTTCCTAAGTGTGATTCTTAACTAAGGAAATAGATGTGTCGAGGAGGCCGCATGTTTGCACCAACCAAAACCTGGCGCCGCTGGCACCGCAGAGTGAACACAACGCAGAAGCGGTATGCCATCTGCTCCGCCTTGGCTGCCTCGGCCTTGCCAGCACTGGTCATGTCAAAAGGTTGGTGGTGCTTTTTGTCCTAAGCGGGTAACTGTTCATCCCAGTGTCCTGCTGTAAAGTGCACAGCACTTGCCCAGGGGTTTGGCCCACACGGATGATTTTCTTTTTTAACTTGCCTTGTGTTTCCTGTGGCATTTTAAACCATCAAAATGATGAGATTCCACTCATTGGTCCGTGTTTCTGAAACACATGATATTTGTGGAAATTCTGACTTGGCAAATTACATGTTTTGCTTTTGTGGGTTACACAAGTGTTAATTTTTCAAAAGTCTTTGGATAACCAGGTCAGTCTTCAATTGGCTTTGTCAGGTCATCGAATCGAGGAAGTTCCTGAACTCCCTTTGGTGGTGGAAGATAAAGTTGAAGGTTACAAGAAGACTAAGGAGGCGGTTTTGCTTCTGAAGAAACTTAAGGCTTGGAATGACATCAAAAAGGTAAGTTAATGTGTGTATTTACAGTTTTGTAGGTTGTAGCATATTGTCTAGTGAATAAGGACAAGGAAAGTGTATACACGGTCGATACACAGTTTTTCAGAATCTTTCCAACCTTGATTTGGTTGGCTTGGGAATGTGGAACTGGCAGATAGAGGGGGACAACTATAGCTCAGCAGTAGCATGCAATAGTGAGCTTTTGGACTGTGAAGCTTAACTGCAGAGATGAGCCCTTAACACTAAGGCTGCTGGCTTTGTAGGTCTACGCCTCTCAGCGAATGAGGGCTGGCAAGGGCAAGATGAGAAACCGCCGCCGAATCCAGCGCAAGGGACCTTGCATCATCTATAACGAAGACAACGGCATCATCAAGGCCTTCAGGAATATCCCGGGTAATTCACAGTGCATATGCGTGTTGCCTGTGTAGCACCCTCGGCCTCGATAATGATGAATTCCACTTCATGGTCCGTGTTTCTGAAATCAATGACTTGGTGGAAGTTCTGATACCTGGCTGAATGAATTGCTGCACTGTGGATTTTGAAATAAGTGAAGTGGAATCTTCACGCTTAGGACACTTTTCACATATCTTAAGTCGCACTTGAGGCATAAAGGTGACTTGTGATCCTTCTGTTCAAGTAACAGGTTTCCTCATTCTCCTTTCCTTTTACAGGCATTACTCTGCTTAATGTAAGCAAACTGAATATTTTGAAACTTGCTCCTGGTGGGCATGTGGGGCGTTTCTGCATTTGGACTGAAAGTGCTTTCCGGAAGTTAGATGAGCTGTACGGCACTTGGCGTAAAGCTGCTACCCTCAAGAGTCATTATAAGTGAGTGTTCTCATATTTATACACAGAGTGTAAGTGTTCGTTTAAACTGCACATGGACATTCAAGACTGCTTTGCATACTTTAAATACTGGATTATGTTTTACTTACATTTCTTTCTGTTTGTTTGTCTTTTTGAGACAGGGTCTCCTATGCAGTTCAAGCTGGCCTTGAGCTCACTTTGTAGCCCAGGCTGGCATCCAACTTGGAGTGATCCTCCTGCCTCAGCTTCCAGGGAGCTGGGGTTACAGGTGTGCACCACCACACCCAGCTAAGTCTTTGTACTTTAAAAGGCAGAAAGAATAGATGAATGGATTGCTTTAGTAGATTCTTTTTGTTTTCTCATAGCAGTCCTCCTGACACATCCTCCCAAGTGTTGGGATTACAAATGTGCTCTACATTTCTTTTATGCACACCATGCTGCAGCATGTTGTAAATATTAATGCAGCAACAACCAAAAAATGCCGGGTGTGGTGCCACAGGCCTGTACTCCCAGCACTCAGGAGGCTGAGGCAGGAGGATCATTGGTGAGTTCGAGGCCAGCCTGGGCTGCATAGTGAGACTCAGTCTCAAAAAGACAAAAAAAAAAAAAATGCAGTATTCAGTCCCTGTTTTATGAGAAATACTGGGGAAATTCTTTGAAGTTCTAAATGAGATGGTTAAAATCTAGGTTCATGTGCTTCAGTCAGCCCTGTGAGAAAGAATTCAGTATCCATTGTCAATCTCTCCTTCAGCCTGCCTATGCACAAGATGATGAACACAGACCTGAGCAGAATCTTGAAGAGTCCAGAGATCCAAAGAGCCCTCCGAGCACCACAGTAAAGTTTTGACATCTACTGTGTAATTTTTTTCACAAAATTATTTCAGGGATGTGTGTAATGTCAATCCAATGTTGGTGTATTGTCTACCTTTTATAGCAAGAAGATTCACCGTAGAGTCCTGAAGAAGAATCCTCTGAAGAACCTGAGGATCATGCTGAAGCTCAACCCATACGCGAAGACCATGCGCAGGAACACCATTCTTCGCCAGGCCAGGAATGTAGGTGTTTGTTTGCTTTTATTGTGATAGGGCAAAAAGATTTTTCTTCTAAAATTTTCTTAACTTTCTGCCTAATTTGTTGCAGCACAAAATCCGTGTGACGAAAGCAGCTGCGCGGGCAGCCAAGCTGGAGGAGAAGCAGGTCGCCAGCAAGAAGCCTGTGGAAGAGAAGAAAGGGAAGAAGGCTGCTGGTCCCAAAAAGCCCGTGAAGAAGCCTTTGGGGAAAAAGCCTGCAGCCACCAAGAAACCAGCAGAAAAGAAACCTGCTGAAGAGAAGAAGCCTGCTGCATAAACTCAAAATCTCTATCCCACTCAGGTGACGTAAATTTGGACAGCTTATTTTGAATAAAGACCTGGTCAAAGAGGCAGTGAGAAACATGGCTGTTGTGTGAATCTCCATTAGAACATTTTCTAACTTCCACTTTGTTCTCTTTCAGTCCCAGCCTAAGCAGATCTCACTCAGGACCTGCGTGTCCCAACCTCCCAAATGGCTGGGGTGGCCACATGCTACCGCATCTGGCCTGATTCCAACCTTTAATTTGCCCCATCCCGCACTTGTGGTACAAAATGGAATCTTAGATGGTGTTTCTTTGTGTGCTGGGAATCAAACTCGGGACCTTGCACTTGCCTGGCAGGTGCTTGTGCTGCTGAGCTATATATCCCTGGCCCTGGAACCTTAAATGTATACTCCGTTTGAATGGAAGAGGCCTTTCCCAAACACCAGCTCCAAGAAACTTATGGAAATAACTCGGTAAAACGCAGAGGTTCAAATATAAGCCCGTGAGAGAGTGCGGTTTTATACTGGCTGTGACCTCAGGAGGGCGCGGTTGCGCGGTAGTCCGCAAGTGCCGTGGAAATGCCCCGCATGATGGCACCAGCTGGAGGTCTTCCCGCATCTAGAGCAGAGCTATGGTCCCGGAGCAGTTTTCAGATACTTCAGTTAGGACGTGTTCCCTTAAGTTGTCCTATGCCTCTTACTCTAGTCTCGGGGATCTTCCACCCACAATCCGCGCTCGCTTTGCTGCGCATCGTTGGCAGACGAAGGAGGGGTCCCGGTCCGGTGGCGAGGTCTTGGTTCTCGAGCGAGGACGCGCAGTGCAAAGCGCGGGTCCCTCTAAAGCCTACCGGTCTTGCTCTTCAGAGCAAGCAGGACTGGGAAGCGGAAATGGTGAAAGGCCGAGAGGAGTCCTTGTCTGTCAGGCCCCCGGGTTTTCTGTCATCAAACCTCCGCAGGCTTTGTGAATCAAAACCAGCTACTTCATCGGCAGTGGGGCGGGCAGGTACTGCGCCAGTCTCCTGCACTGAGCCCCGTTGTCTCCAAGAGGAGACGGCTGTCAGGTCCTGTGCTTTGGCTGACATCACTTCCGTGGCCAGACGTTTTGCCACGTGGAAAGTGGACCCTTCGCAAGCCCTTGCAGAAATACCGAGCAACACGGCTGCGGGTATAGCTCAGAGGCATAAGAGCCTGCCTGGCAAGCACAAGGTCCTGAGTAAAATGCCCAGTACCAAAAAAAAAAAAACCGAGCAGCACCACGCGCCAGACGAAAGCACTTCCGCTTCCGCCAACAGGCCGCGAGGCCTGCCCCTCGTGTTTCCGGGAGGCGGGGTTGGTTGCGTCATCACTAGGCGCGGGGAACGGGACACGGCGCGGGCGTGACACGGGGCCATGCTAAGCCGGCTGCAGGAGCTACGCAAGGAGGAGGAGACGCTGCTGCGGCTGAAAGCAGCCCTCCACGACCAGCTGAACCGCCTCAAGGTGAGCCCGCCACCCTCCATTCGCCCTGCGCGACCGTCTCCCCCGAGCCCCGCCCTCCGCGGGGCTGCCTGCTGCGCCGACCCCGCCGGACCTCGTCTGGCCGTCGCGGCGCCGATGTAGCCGTTTAAGCTTCGCGGGCAGAAGCAGCCGCGGAGGTCGCTTCGCGATGACTAGGCCCCACCCCTCCGAACCTCGGGATCCCGGCCGAAACCCGGGAAGCGGGCAGGTGTGGACCCCGATCCGCCTGCCCCCCGGCCGCAGGAATGCTGACGGCCGCCCAGACCTCCGCCGCGCCTCTCACTCTGCGCAGTGGCCTTGAGGTGGCTCTCGCGTGATGTTGCTGGGCAGATCCTTCCGTTGTTGGAAGGAAGGTACTGGGCCCTGGGCGAGTTTTGCCCCAAACCTTAGACTTCCCAGTAGCTCGGCTCAGAGTGATTACTGAGCCGTGGCGTTAAGGAGAGGGCTTTAGGCCCGCCTGGGTCACTCCGTAACACGATCAGGAACCCTGCTCAGCGTTCTTACTCAGGATCTTTAAACCCGACTGATTTGAGGTTTACAAAAGCCCCTTGAAGCTGCAAAGTGCCCTGTAACTGCAACATGTCAAACGAATAAGTATTTTCCCTCGGGGTAACAGTGTCTCCGTATTGCAGAAGTCCCTCTACAAGTAACTGATCATGGACTGTATGTCCACGGTGCCCTCCTAAAACTGAGTCATTCATCCTCCAGGAAGCACCTCCAAGCACTTTCTCATTACCGAAAATTGCTTTCAGGCCCATGAAATCCAGCCCTCTGTAGAGCCAGAAAATGACAGACACCTGGCTCCCCACCACACTGGGGGGCTTGAACCCAGGGCCTTTGCACTGCGCTGTATGGCCAGACCTTTTTAATTAATTCTTTCAGGGGAGACAGGGGCTAAGCTGACTGGGCTGGGTTCGAATGAGATCCTCCTGCCTGTGCCTCCCAGAGTGCTGGGGTTACAGGCTTGTACCCCACTCCCAGCTACACCTGGCTTTTTAATGGTCCACTTGCATGTCTTCTGGGAGCTGCTAAGTCCGGGAGAACGGAAGCTGTAATTTAACTGGAACCCCTGGACAGGCCAAGGGAAAGGGCCTCCTTCAGTCTTTGTTCCTCTCCTTAAAAGGCAAGGAAAGCCGAGAAGTGCCCCGACCTCCAGCAGCAAGCCAGTATAGTCTTCACTCTTTGCCATGATGCCTGTTTACAGCACCCGAAGGAATTTGCTTTATTACCCAGTGAAATGCCGTACTAAGGCAAGTGTCCTTCACTTTTCTCCTAGGTCGAAGAATTGGCCCTCCGATCAATGATCAGTTCCACAGGAGACGATGGGAAGGTGTCCTCTCCCCCGGCACCTGAACCTTCACAGGATGTAAGCTTCCTCAGTTACAGGCCCAGGGAGAGAATGTGCAGCCTGCTCTGCTCCTTGCTGCTTTGGTCAAAAACTGTGGTAAAGCACATTACCAAACCCAAAGGACTCTGGGAAGTGCCAAGGTGCTGGGGATGAAACCCAGGGCTGTAGCCTGTGATCAGAATTTTTGAGTTTAATTAGCTGGCTGCAGGAAATATTCATAGATAAATAGATCCACCTCGAGATCATGTTTCAAATCGGACACACAAGTGTAAATATCACGTGGTTTCTCTTAGGCCAGAAACCCAAAATATAAATGAAGTATAAAGTAAAAGAGGAAGTAGATCTTTTTCGAATGAAAAGGGAACCCAGAGATGAAGGGAAAGGGGATGAACAAAAGAACTGGGAGGAAAAAATGGAGACAGAGCTTTAGGGCAGGAAACCAAGAGATGGAGCAGGTGCGGAGGGGACGAAAAAGAATTAAGATGCGTTGTCTACATGTACAGACTCACCATGGTGGACGCAGGTGCTGCAAACGTGGGCTAGTAAACATAAAAATGTAAGAAGTATTTAAGGAAAAGATGTGCTGCTCTGAGGCCAGTATCCTTGTTCCTCATGTCCGATGTCCTTGGTAACACAGATGTCGGTGCACGTAGACAACGAAGCATCAATCAACCAGACGGCGCTGGAGTTGAGCATGAGGAGCCATATGACGGAGGAGGAGGAGGAGGAGGAGGAGGAGGAGGAGTCCGATTCCTGAAGGGGACGGAGCCTGGGTTAGTCACAGAAGTTAAACTTCTGGGTTGCACACACTTTCTTCATGGAGGTCATCTTGCACGGGCCCGTGGCCGGCTGGAAAGAGAAAGAACTGCGGGAGGAGGTGCAGTGTACAGATGGCCACATCGGTAACCCGGGCTTCAGAGTGGCGAATGAATACTAGTGACAGAAAATGTGGGCTGGGACTGTAGCTCAGTGGAGAGCGCTTGGCTCACGTGTGTAAGGCCTGGGTTCAGTCACTGGTACTGAGGAGAAAAGCAGTGACGTGGAAAAGGAGCGATGTGCCGTCTTAACATAGAGCCATGTGAAGGCCAGGGATATAGCTCAGTGGCACAAGCGCCTGCCTGGCAAGCACAAGGTCCTGAGTTCGATTCCTGGTACCAAAAGAAAATAAAGTTAGTCTTCGAATGTAGAAGGTGCACATTAATTTATGAAAAAAACATAGAGCCATTTGGATGGCACGGTGTCTGCAATCTGGTCAGATTCAGTGTTGCACGTTACGAACGGCTTCCTTTGGAAATACTATCGAGAAAGGCTGGCTCTTGCAAAAAGGGCTGAGCTGAAAACCAAGTTGGCTGCTGCAGGAACAACGCTTTTATTAAGAAAACCAACGGAAGGCTGTTTGCTGCCATGCGCCCTGTGAGCAGTTAGGCCACAGTTTGGGATGGACGGGAAGGGCAGGGGCATAGGCTGCTGCCACCTGGCCTGGGAACACTGCCCCCCTATACACACACAGCTGGGGCTGCGAGACCCCCGCTGGGGAAAGGCACTCAAGATAAATCACAGGTTTGTAGTGGTCCTGGAGTTTGCAGGCTTCCAGACACATAGAAAGCAGCAGGTCTTCCTCTGAGAACAGCAGGCTGCAGACCTGCTTCCAGCCCTTAGGGGAAGAATGTGCCTATGGATGGGGAGGTTGAATTTTATTTGTTGTTGTTACCAGGAATTGAACCTCACCAGGCAGGCACTGTCACTGAGCTATAGCCCCAGCCCTGGGAGGTTGAATTTTTATAATAAACAGATGACAGCTAGAGAAAGAGTTGTTGAGAACTGTATTTAAAGTTGAAGGCCGGGGATATAGCTTAGGAGCACAAGCACCTGCCTGGCAAGTGCAAGGTCCTGAGTTCAAGTTCCAGAACCAAAAAAAAAAAGTTGAGATTTAGCCAGGTGTGATGGCGAATGCCCGCAAATTGGAAGCTAGCTTGGCTACGTAGTGAGTTCAAGGCCACCCTGAACTACATAGCAAGACCCTGTGTCAAAAAAAAAAAAACCCACTGTTGTAAGTGTTTCAGTAGGAGGAGGTTTGAGGTTTGAGAATGGAGTCTCACAAGGGTAACTCAGAACACTGCAAGACTGATGCTGGGCACATCATTCTCAAAAACAAAATCATTCTAGGTACTGGCCGGGCGTGGTGGCGCATGCCTGTAATCCCAGCACTCGGGAGGCTGAGGCAGGAGGATCATTGTGAGTTTGAGACCAACCTGGGCTACAAAGTGAGCTCAAGGCCAGTCTGAACTACACAGTGAGAACCTGTCTCAAAAAGGGGAAAAAAAAAAAAATCTAGGTAAAAATCACTAGAAAAAAGTCCTTTCTGGGGGCTGGGAATATAGCTCAGAGGCAAAGGCACCTGCCTGGCAAGCGTGAAGTCCTGAGTTCGAGTCTCAATTTCAAAAAAAAATCCTTTTTGACTCTCAAAATGCAGTATTTTTGGATAGTGAGTAAAGAATTAATTATTTGAGACAGGGTCTGACTAACCCAGGCTGACCTTGAGCTCACAGCAATCTTCCTGCATCAGCCTCCTGAGGGCTGGGATTATAGGCATGCACTACACTGCCTGGCTATGAGTAGAAAATTTTAAACATCCAAAGACACCAAGCAAGAAAGACACCAAGCAAGAAAGCATTCAAATGCCGGTGTTATCCTTCCTGGTAAGGGTGCAGCTTATTCATTTTGTTTATGGTGCTGGGGATGAGACCTGGCCCACTGAACTACGTTCCCCAATGCTTTTTGTTTTGAACCAGGGTCTCCCTAGTTGCCCAGGCTGTGGTGAAACTTGCAGTCATCCTGTATCAGCCTCCCAAGTAGCTGGGATTACAAGCGTATGCCACTGTATCTGGCCCAGTTTATTCGTTTAAATAAGACATTGTCAGTGTCAGTGGCTTCCTCTCATTACCGAAACACAGGCTATGGGCTTTTAACTTCAGCCTGCATGTTTCTGTGTTGGAGAGGCGTAGGTTAGTCTGTTGATTGAGAACGGCTGGCTGATCCTTAAATCCCAGCAGTATCCCTGGCAGCTGGAGGGCAACTGCCTACTCGGGACAGTACACAGGTTCTGTTTTTCATCTCAAATGAAATCGGCTTTTTCATTTTTGTTTTTTGAGATAGGGTTTCTCTGTATAGCCCAGACTGGCCTCAAACTCACAGCAATCCTCCTACCTTGGCCTCCCAAATGCCAGGATGACAGGCACGCACCACTGCCCTGGCTTTAATTTTATTTACACAAAGGCTTTGGTTTTCTACAATCTGCCCTTTCAAAAAAGAAAAAGGGCAGAGAAACTCATCAGGCAGCCCCACATGTTCCCGAAGTTCTGGAAGTCATTTTGCAGAGGAAGAGAGAAGCCCAGAGACTGTGGGATGTAGCTTCCTTCTGGGATCCACTGCCTCTTCCCACGGCTGACAGCAGCTCTGAAGGGCTTCTCCCCTGGGAGGAGCAGCTGAATGGGAAGTGCTGCCAGCGAGGAGGGAACCACTGCTCTGCACAAGGACCCAGCAGCCGTCGCCGGCAGGGGGCGCTGCTGGGCTCCATGAGCCCATGCTGGAGCCCGCGGATGGAAATGAGCGCTTGTGTGAGAAAGGCTTTGGGAGTTTCAGACTTCTCGACCCTGATCTCCCAGGATAGAGATGGGAGGAAAAGTGGGCCCTGTGCTGTTGGGGACAGAGGAAGTGCTGCCCGAGTCCCCAGCCTGGGATCCCAGGACATGGCGCTGCCACCCTGAACGCACCATGTGGGTCCCCACCAAGGCTTCCTCCTGCCCACCCCACAGCAGGGTGTGGCGCGGCTGGGCGCACTGCCGTCATTAGCCTACCTGGAAAGAAGAAACAGCTTTTGTCCTTTTTAAAATCTGACAGTATATTTATTAGAATAAGAGATTAGATTTGTTAAACATCTGGATTAAAGTGATTAAAAGGATTTTCATACAATTTTTAGGCACTATACACACTGTTTACAATAGCATTGGTATTCGGATTGGGGAGAAGGTAGAAATCTGACACGTTTAATGCCTTGATCCATTTGTGACATTCAAAGTAAATCCACTATTTCAGAAACAGTAATCCAAACCTAAAGAGACACACACCAAGTACCCACACGGCATACTTAAAAATAAATACAGAGACACGACCAGAAGTCTCCCGATCACCAGGTGACAGGCTGGTGAAGCCCCGGCTTTCATGGCAGTGAGGGGCTCTGGCTAGAATTGATGGAAATTCCTGAATTCTACATCAAAAGCAAAAAATAACGCGCTGTCCTTTCCCACGATGTTTGAGTCACAGCAGCACAGCATGCGTCCCATGCGCTGCCGGGAACGGGACTCTGAGGCCCTTCCTCTCTGCTGAAAGAAGGTGCCCCTGGCAGGGGGTAGTGCCACCTGGTGTCCCCAGAGCTGGAGACACCGGTGGCGACGGGCCAGCCACACAGAGCGGGAACAGCAACAACCACAGTCACCAAGTGTCACTGTGTTCAGCCCGGCATGTGTTTGATTATCCACACACACACAGCCCCAAGCGCAAGGCAATCCACTTAGGGTGACGGCGCTAACAATGAAGACGGTATGAAAAGGAGCATGAGTGCAGCTTGGCGCATGCTGTGTCTGCGTCCTGCTCACAGGTGAAATGCACGTCTGAAGAGAAGCGAGGGACGGTAGGCCGGAGAGCCGCCGCTGCCACTGGCCGGGGGTGCTGCAGCCGCAGCTCAGACGCCAGCCGCGTGGGTCGGGGTGCTGGGCTGGTTAAGGCCGATGGTGGAGCAGAGCCAACCTGCGAAGTCCACCTCCTCGGCGTCGGAGCGCTTGATGAAGGCGTGAACCTGCACACGAGCACAGGGAGACGAAACAGTGTTTCAAAGGCCACCAGGCGCGAGACTGAGTCTCAGAGTCAGGTGGCAGCAAGGCCAGCGCAGGCCTGGACCCTGCTTCCGTGCTGGGCAGACCTCAGGCGTAGCCAGACATCCACTGGAGCCCGCCAGTGCTACGGTAGGGCCCGCACAGCCTCCCTCCGCCCCTCCAGCAGCCCCACGCAGGGACCCCAGCTCCTGTGAACTGATGTGGGGCGGGAGCTACACTGGGGACCCTGCAGCCCGGGCTTGGAGGTCCTGGGCAGATGACAGAGAGGGAGACCAAGCACGTGAGCAGGCGTGGCCTTACCATGAGCTGCTTCAAGTCTGCTCTCTCCGCAGGGTTTTTTATGAGGCTGGAAGGAAGAAAGGCAGTGAGTGCTTCGAGCTGGGCCACCCCCGACCACGAGGGGCACTGAGCCCCTCCACTTCTGCCCACGTACCATTACACGTCCGGCAAGGGGCTGGGAGCTGGCTTACGCCTGAGCGCCCAAGGCTGGAGCACTTGGAGCCCAGCCTGGAAACAAGGAGCCCTGCTGCCTGCAAAGAGCCCATCCCTGCAGGGCAAGCACTAAAGCAGCAGCCATCATCCAAGCCATAGGTCCTGGCACTGGCAAGAAAGCTACGGCAGCTGCTGGAGGGGAGAGGGCACCACCGTGCCTGCAGCAAAACGGCCCTCAGGAATGGGGTGGGAAGGCCGGCCAATCTCGGGCAGCCTGCATGATTTTTACTTTGATTTATTCGTGGTGCTGCAGATTGAACCCAGGGCCTCACACATGCCAGGCGTGTGCTACACCCAAGCTCCTCCAGACAAGGAGCAGACTTACCATTTATTTACAAAGTCCTGAAACTCCAGGCTGAAGACTCCACTGGGCAGCTTTGGAGGTGGCTGCGAACACAGGTCAAGGTGAGAGAAACGCTGGCTCCCTCCCTCCAGCCTCCCTCCAGCCTCTCTCTGGCCGTCCCGCCCCCAGGCAGTGCTGTCCCTCACAGCTCCTAGCTGTCCTGAGGCACAGTAAGAACTGGGAGCACGGGAAGTGTTTCAGCACCGCATGTCTGCCGAGTGACAAATCCTCCTCACTCCATGGGCCTCAGTTCTGTTTATTCTTATGAAGTGCGGAGCTTGCGCCACTGACCTCTGAGCACAGCTCTAAGAGTGTGGCTGGCCTGGAACTGCCGCTAGCAGTTTCTAACAGAAGCAGCTACGGGACGTGCAAAACAGGCAGCTCAGGCCCAACCACTCTGCAGAAATAAACCCCAAGCCCCTATCTTTGCTGAGCCTGGAGAGCCAGAGGGAAGTTAAGAAAGCATCGTCTGGCAGAAGGCTGGGCCTGGAAGGACATGACCTGTACCCTGCAGAAGCGAGGCTGTCTTTAGGTCTCTGGCCAGAACAGCCACACATCCGCCTTCCGGGTACACCGTGCAAGGCTAACGCTGCTCTACCACATGGCCCAGGAAAGGCGAGTCCACTGCATGACCTGTGCCAGGAGCTGTGCATCGCTCTGCTGGGAGAAGCTGACCTCCAACAGGGCCCAGGATGTCACTGCTCTGATGTGTAACCTCACATCAACAAGCGACTCGAGAATAAAAATGAAACACTAGCTCAGTGCAGCAGTGTGCACGGATCTCAGATCTAGGGGAGGCTGAGACAAGAGGAGTTCCAGGCCAGCCTGGTGACATAGTAAAACTCCCATCTCAAGAAGGGATGACTGACACCTCTTACTAACTTGTCCTTCTGATCTGAGGTCGACGACAGGCCAGTGCTTAGGACCAAGGGCTTTTCCCCTGAGCTTGTAGTGGACTAGGGGACCTTTTTGAGCCTGTTGGGGTCTGGTTTCATGGAATGGTAAGAAAGTCTCGAGGAAGGCAGGACTGGGGTGCTACCCTGTACCTAAGACTCCAGCCAGTTGGGCACCCCAGCTGCCTCCCAAGCACGCCAGAACCTGCCCCCTCCCAGCTGGGCCTCCTGCTTCTGCTGCTGAGCCCTGCGCTCCCCCAGGCCAGCCCCTCATCCCCTGCTGGAGGGGGACATCCCTGAGAAGGAGATAGCAGTTTCTACAGCAGCCACTCACCCCACAGCACAATCACCCGGGGACCCCTGCGGGAAGCACTTGGCTTCCCAGCCCACCCGTTAGCCGGGTGTTCCCTAAGAGGAGCACAGACACTCGAACGAGGAGCCCGCCATCCTCACCTCATTCACTATGTAATCCAGCAGCTCGAAAATCGCCATGGGGGGCCGGCTGTCCATTCCATACGCTACAGGTTTCATAAAAAGGAAGCACACTTAGAACGGACAGGTGGCTACATCTGAGCAGGAGGCAAAGCACGGGAGGACAAGCAGAACACGGGGCTGCCACGGCCATGGCCGCACACGGCCTGAGCCCTGCCACGTCCTGGGTTTGCAAGCTTCTGCCAACTGGGTGATTACTGAGACAAAGAACTGAGCTGCTGGGTTTCTTTTTTGGCACAAGAATTGAACTCAGGATCTTGCACTTGCCAAGCAGGTGCTCGTGCCGCTGAGCTATATCCCCAGCCCCCACAGAGCTGAGTTTTTAAAGCAGAGAAGGACAGTGATTCATCAGCCTCTTCCTTCCTTCTAGTGAGAGGAGCAAGTGAGGGCTGAAGATCCCGACCCAAACCCCCGGCCCCCAGTGACAGCCACCAGCCCCCTCGGTCCCGCTCCCCCTCTACATGCCAGCTCTCCAAGGGGGCCTCATGGAGGCAGAGGCGTGCTTATCACTGTGGCGGGTGGACGTGGCACGCTGAACATTCTGTGCCTCAGTTTCCTCCCTTCGTCCTTATGACAGATCATAGCAACGTGCACAGCCAGAAGAGCTACTGCCCAGGCGGGGTGGGGGTGGGGCGGCTGGCAGCGGCTGTTGGTGCCGGTGGGCTCTTTCTGGGGCGATGGAAAATGTTCTGGAGAGAGCGGTGATAGCTGCATAACATAAATACACTACGAACCAGCGAGTCGTGCGTGTGTGTGCACACGCGTGTGCATGCACACCTGGGGACTGAACCCAGGGCCTCTGCAGTGAGCTATGCCAGCGCAGGCTGGGTTCAAACTTCGGGTCCCAAGTGCTGCGGTATGGTCTGCACTTGCACGCCCACCGCAACTCTGTGCTTTAAAGTGTCAACTTTATGCTATGTGAATTTATCTCAATAAACAATGAATCCGCCGAACAATGTCATGATTAAAAAGCAAGTAATATATGTGCTAGCTGGGCATGGTGGCGCATGCCTGCCATCCCAGCACTCGGGAGGCTGAGGCAGGAGGATCGTTGCAAGTTTGAGACCAGCCTGGGCTACAAAGTGAGCTCCAGACCAGCCTGAACTGCAGAGCGAGACCCTGTCTCAAAACGTGCTAAGCTCAGAGCCTGGAACAAAGCGGGCACTCAGCAAATGGCAGGAAGCTGCTGGCCCAGCAGTGATTCCCAGCCCCACCTGCAGACCCCTGCCCCGCCACTCCCCGGCCACAGCCTGGCATCCAGACGGGCACAGCCGGGCACGGGCAGCACACCTGTAATCCCAGCCCTTGGGTGGCTGAGGCAGGAGGATCACCACAAGTTAAAGGCCAGCCTCTACTACATAGCAAGACCTCAACACAAAACGGAGGCAGGGCTGCCAGAAGGTGCATGAGGGGCTGGGGACTGAGCTCAGCAGCACAGCGCCTGCCTGGCAAGCGCAAGGTCGTGAGTTCAATTCCCATTACTGGGAAAAAAAAAAAAAAAAACCAGCAAGTGCAGGGATCCAACTGCTCCCGAACTAGGCACAAGTTTCCCCCAAGCTAGAAGCACAGCAGCCACTCACAGCTGAGGGGCCTCCCGGGGGTCCTGGGCCTGGGTGGCGTCTCGGCCGCATCTCCTTCCACTTGGCACCCGAACATCAGCTCCAGCTCCTTGGCGTCCGGAGGCGGGATGGGGTACCTGCCCACGGCCATCTCCACCAGAGACAGCCCCATGCTCCAGATGTCCGACTGCACCGAGTAGTGGGTGCCCTGCAGTCTTTCTGGCTGCGAGAGGTGCGGGGCAGTCACCGGTGCGGCTCCCGGCCGTTTCAGGGCCCCCCTCCCTCTTGGGTTTGCGGTCTCAGCCACCCCGAGGCCGTGTTCACTAGACGCTCGCGGACTCAGGCTCGGAACCTCCTCTCTGTCCTCTCCCTGTAACCTGCCCTGGGCCCACCGCGGCTCTGCCCCGCCTGGCTGCCACCCTCCAGACCCAGGGCTGCATGTCTAAAAAGCCCAGTCTGACAGGTTCATCTTGCTGCCTGAGGCTCAAATACAAAGCTTATGAAACATGGACCGTGAATGGGGTGGTGCAACGGATAAAGGCACAAAGGAGCCAAGGCTAAGAGACCAAACAGGACTGCTGCTGGTAAGAGTAGCACGGACATGACAGAAGAGCCCCTCTGCCACTGGCATCGCTGCAGAGGCGAAACCAAATGAAAATGAACATGTACGTCACTTGTCACAAGTCCTGAACAAAGACGGCTGACATTCGTGGGAAGAGTCAGAAAGAAAGAAGTATACAGCGCTGCGCAGAAGCACCACTGTGACTGGGGGTCACGTATCTCGGGTGGCACGTGTATTTCAAGGACACTGCGAAACCTTTAAACCTGTACTCTGACCATAGGACATTTATTTAGACCTCAAATGAACTTCTCCCACAGTGCTGGCCACTCACTCTGACCTGGACTAGTTTGGACTGACCACCTACGTGCGAAAACCCAGCCACGGCTCCCTGTCGTAAGTTCCAGGCCTAGTCACCGCTGTGGGACCTGAGGGCGGGCAGCCAGGCCGGGGTGTGAGCGGCTCAGCTTCCAGCCTCTCAGGGAAGCAGCAAAGGGGCCGGCAGGGCCGGGGCGAAGAGAGCGGCACCATGCAATGGCTTGTGGAGGGGCAGGGATGGCCGCAGCGCGAGGGCTGTGACAGGGCAGGAAGGACAGGACGGCAGGATCCTGCACAAAGGGTGGGGCAGCTGGCTCCAACCCTGCCCTTCGAGGACAAGAGGACGAGGAGGAAGAGGAGGATGGGGAGAGGGAGGAGGAGGAGGAGGAGGAGGATGGGGAGAGGGAGGAGGAGGAGGAAGGGGACGGGGAGAGGGAGGAGGAGGATGAGGAGAGGGAGGAGGAGGACGGGGAGAGGGAGGAGGACCGGGAGGGGGGAGGAAGAGGTCAGATCACGTCCCTGGCGAGATCTTTGCAGGAAGGAGCAACTGACCACTCAAAGGAGACCAAGCAAGGACAGCTGCACTCAGCCTCCTGGCCCTGCTGCCCCCACCTGAGACCCGCCTCCCCTCTGCAGACTGGGCGCATTCCTCCCCACCCCTCCGCTCTGCTCTGCTCAGCCGGTCCTGCCTCTTCCTCCCTCCCCACCAGGCGCACCCAGGCACTCCCAGGGGCCTGCACACACCGGCCCCCACCAGGCCCCACTGCATCACCTGCCTGCTGGGTCCCACGTCAGTCCCCAGGGACGAGGGACATCGGCACCCTGGCTCTGCTCCACAGAGCTCGCAGGCTTGGGGACGGCTACAGCGTGCTCTGTGGCAGTGGGAGCCAGCCGCACAGGGGACGAGAGAGGTGCTGGCCGAGCAGGGTCAGGGGACTGGGAGGTACAGCGAGGAGGAGGAGGACAAGGAGGAGGAGGAGGACAAGGACGAGGAGGAGCACGAGGAGGACGAGGAGGGGAGGGAGGAGGACGCAGGAGTGAGGGAACCATGGAGACGCTGAGGAGCTGCGGACAGCCAAGCGCACAGGGAGGGGAGGAGTCAGAAGTCGGTCTCTGCCCCAGCAGTGGCGCTGTTTGCTGCTAACAGAAAAGCAGAGGTGGCCCAGTCCGTGGCGAGGCGGCAGGCCCTCTGGGAATGGGGACAGCCAGGAAAGAGGTCCAGAGGCAACTGGGACTTGGCCTCTTCGGATAAAGCCAGGCCTGGAGCTGGGAGGCTGCAAACCCGCCTCGTGGGTTACAAGCCCAGGTGCACGCCGCCCAGGCCTGTGACAGGCCGAGGTCATCTCACAGCCCTGACCCTGGCGAGGGCCTCTGGGCCTCCTTGGCACCTCTGGCGCCCAGCACTAGACTGGCTTCGTATCGCGGCTGTCTCTGCCCCGTCAAGCAGCCTACAGAATGGGACCTGCTGTCCATACCGACATGTAGGACCTGGTGCCCACGAAGGAGTTGGCCATGGAGTCTATGAGCTGCCCGCTGACCCCGAAGTCGCAGAGCTTGATCTCCCCGCGGGAGTTGACCAGGATGTTGGAGGGCTTGACATCTGCAGGGGGAGGGACAGCATTAGGCAGGTGACACGGGCCGGCTGGGAGGGGAGGGGCCGGCCAGACCGGCAGCCCTGGCCGCGAGTCCAGGAGCACATCGTCCCCAGGAGGCAGCTCTCGCTCTGCACACACTAGACGCCAAGCCCCATGTCCCCCTTGTTCCAGGGCTGGAGAAGGACAGGGGTGACGTGACCAGAGGCCGGAGAAGCAGGACAGAAACAAATTTCTGAGCCTGCCAGACTCAGTCAGATGACCCACAGGAAGGAGTCTGTTACCACGAACAGTCAAGTTTTCAAGGTCTGTTTAAACTGGGTGTGGTAGTGCATGCCTGTCATCCCAGCACATGGTAGGCTGAGGCAGGAGGATCGCTGTGAGTTCAATGCCAGCCTGAACTACACAGCAAGACCCTGCTTCAAAAAAATAAAGTGTATTTCTTCAACCACTCCTGGTGAGACAGTGTCTGCGGCTGCATCATAAGGGAAGCACACAAGCACAGATGATAAGACCTCCACACCTGCTAAAACACAGACCGGAGACTAACAGGATACGTGTGTGTTTTTTCGGTTTTTTGGTTTTTTGGGTTTTTTTGTCTTTTTGAGACAGGGTGTCACTGCAGTTCAGGCTGGCCTTGAGCTCACTTTGTAGCCCAGGCTGGCCTCGAACTTGAAACGATCCTCCTGCCTCAGCCCCCAAGGGCTGGGATTACAGGCGTGTGCCACCATGCCCGGCGCAGGATGCGTGTGTGTACACACCCCATCATGGACACTGAACCAGGGCCTTGGCAATGAGCTGCACCTGCCCTTCTTTTTCTTTATTTGAGACAGAGTCTTACTAAGTCCCTGAACTGTCCAGTCTGAACCGGAACTTGTGATCCTCTTGCCTCAGCTTCCCAGAGTGCTGGGATTTCAGGTGTGGGCCACCACACGTGGCTAGTCCTCATTTTCTCTTCCTTGTGAATTAAAGCTTTTGTCTGTACATTCTCACTGCTGCCTCGGTTCTAATTTCCGTAACTGAGACGTTCCTGCCTATCCCACGTCACAAGAACTGGCTCAAGGCCACAGAGCAAACACCAAGTAACGCAGCAAGGAGAGCCCAGACCTTTTGACACTTGACCCGTCCTTTGCCCGCCTGTGGGCTCCACGCTCCTCAGCCATCTGGCTCACTGCATGGTCCCAAGCACCCACCACGTGCAGGGAGGTGGCAACGACAAACTGCACAAGTCCCCGCTGTTGGGAAGCGTGTATTTTTAGTGTGAGAAGACAGACAAGGAAGAAGGCACGGGACAAGGTGCAGTGTCAGGTGGTCTATGAGCCTCAAAGAAAACAAACCCAAAGCCAGGTGTGAGCACAGAGTGCAAGGTGCTGCCGTGACGGGGGGGGGGGGGGGGGACCACAGCAAACAGTGTGACCACGCGGCCTCGTGTTAGGACTAACACCCCTCCCCATGCCTCGTGTTAGGACAGGCCCCAGGGGTACACACAGGAAGAGTCCTTGTCCTCAGCACCCAAGGTCACGTGTGTGGGGATGGAGCGGCAGCAGGCCAGGACCATGCTGGGGACAGGCGTGTGCCGTGCCCACTGGGCTGTCGCCTTGGTGTGCAAGCAAGAGGGAGCCCTGGCTAAAGAGACTGACCGCCTGAGTTCAAGCCCGGCACTGCCACCCGCTGCCCCTGCTCTCCTCTGGGCCGGCCCGCTGCCCTCTCACAGCAGCACGAGGGCAGACCAGGACGGAGCCATCAGGTGTGCTGTGCAAACAGCGTCCGAGCTACAGGGACTAGGGAGGCTCCGCTGCCCCCCAAGATGGCTGCTGGGCGAGGCTGAGCACGGCCCTCCCCAGTGGGCCCGTCCTGCTGCGGTTCCGCCGCAGCCTGCCATTCGGCCTTGCAGAGTGCACTCACGCACACAGCTCGCAAGAGCGCAGGACGGCGGTGTCAGCACACGCCATTCCAACAAGTGGCCTGAACTTTTAACAGAGGATGTGGCAAAAGCCACAGAGACAGTTACGCGAGGGAAGAGAGGCAAGCAGGATAGGAGGAGAGGGACCTGGAAGGGCAGGGAAGAGGGCGGTGCTGGGGAAAGCTCCGGGACCTGGGGGTCCCTGCTCTCGTTCCTAGCAAGCCCGTGACAGGGGTGCTGTGGTTGGTACACCGAGTCAACTGGAGGCATCTAAAAGCTTAACTGAGTACTCAGCAGCTCTATCCTGGGTGAAAAGGACGCCCTCTTCCTGCTCTGGGGTGCTGTTGTGTCCACTTGAGAAGTTTGGGTTAACTGTGCGACTCCAGGGAGCCAGGGCCCTCCCTTTGTATTCCGCCTGAGCCTGTGCAGGAGGGAGGCAGGAGACGGTGTGGGTGTAGAGCACCCTCAGGGCGGGTAGGCTGCGTACCATAAAAGGGAAATGAGGAGGGACTGACTGCTGGCTCTTCAGAGGAGCTCCAGTCTTCGCCTGCATCTTGGTCGTCATCTCCTGGCTTCTGGTGCAGACCGTTCGCTTCCGCCTGAGACTCCTCGGCCTTCTGGTGTAGGCTCTGCGGCCTTCATCGTAGATTCTTCAGCATTCCGTCGCAGACCCATCAGCCTCCTGATACGGACTTGCAGACGCTGCAGTGAGCTCCAGGCGTGAGACACCCTCTGCACACCTCCTCACCCGACTCTGTGGCTGGCCATCGCAAGCCAAACTTGTCATTTCTTGTACATTCGTATACCTTGTGTTGTATCTGTTCCTCTGGTAAACCCTGACTGACACACTGGGACAGGGTGGTCCCGCGTGACACGCATGAACAGTGAACAGCCGCGATGAAGTTCCTTGCCAGAAGGAACCTCCCCATCAAGAGAAGCCCACGTGGAAGCAGCACCCCACACACACTAACCGGGTTACAGCCCAACCTAGCGCGAGGCTGGTCCACTGCAGTCAGGCCAGCCATGCTGACCACCTAGGCTCCTACCACTTGCTACTCAAGCCAGAAATGAGCTAAAATCCTCTTTCTGCCCACTGCCAGTGACTCTGCTCTGCAGGAGGAGAGGGGATAAAAGACCCAGCAAAAGGAGACACGTGGACCATGGGTTCATTTCAAACGAGGATCTCTAGTCAGGCCACGCACTCCGTCTGTGGTGACCTGGATGCAGAAGACCAAGGCGTCGCCGTTTGTGCCTGGGTCATGGCTGAGCAGAAATCAAGTCCAGAGAGAAGGTGAGAAGGTCAGGCTTCTCGCCTGGCTGGGGACACATGGTGACAGAAATCACTCAGAAGACAGCGTCCGTGACGAGAGGACAGCACAGTCCTTGTCAGTCCAGCAGGAGAACCACCTCCCTCCACACAGCTGCTCCGGGGCAGGCACTCCTTCCCCCTCGGGCCCCGAAGCTCTCGGTGCAGAATGACAGCCACAGCCCTGCCCACCACAGGGCCACCAGCCCTGCGGGTCCTTCACAGGGCCTGTCCCCCCGCCGGGCGCCACAGCAGTGTGGGCACCTGACCCAGGAGAGTCTCCTCAGCCTCCTCCCAGAAGCCCAGCACAGCCCTTCTCTCTGACACGAGACTGCAAAATCAGAAGCGATGGCTGTAGTCTGTGAGAAACAGATGGGAGAGAAAGATAACACCCTTTATAAGTACTGTATGTTCTACTGGAGGTGCAGGAGCTAGCTAACGCAGGACGGTGGCAATCCAATCAAGAGGCTCTGCGCACCCTACCCCAGGCATAAGCATATAGCCGGCCAGACAGTGCCAGCCCCTGGCTGCAGGGATTGGCTCTCTCATGGGCAGATGCTGTCACCAGAGCCAATCAGCAGGCCGCAGAGAGTAGGCGGGGCTCTCCCTGGGTAGGGAGCACTGAAGTAGGTCTCTCTGGAGCTAGGCAGGGCCACTGTGTTCTCAGTGAGGACATCCTGACAGAGAAGGAAGCCTCCATGAGAAGGAGCAAGGCCGAGAGGTGACTGCGGTCTCACACTCCATCCTTCATCCCTGTCTTCAGACTTCCTGGCGACTCAAACCAACACAATCCCTCTTCTGATTAGTAACTTGAATTCTGACACAACCAAAGAATTCTGACTAATAAATTATGTCGCATCAGATTCTGCTTCAAGTTGGCAAGGTAATGACTCATGCATAAAAAATGACATTGGTTATGTTCCACTGTACACTAGAGTCGTTTACAGATCAGTCTCTTCCCCCTGGAAGCCACAATTCATTTATGAGCTGCCTTTATGGCCTCCATGGTGATTCATCCAGCATCTCGCACTTGGCAGGTATTCTATAAATATTTTACAACTATGAATTGCCTGTCTCAGATGAGGGAGGAGACTGTGCGGAGGACTAAGCGTGAAGGAGCGTGTACAGTACCCACCTACACCCTCCGGAGCAGCTTGGGGATGTGGAGAAATGCACGTTCCCCGGGGCACAGTCCTCGCGCCAGCCCTCAGCAACAGCGCACAAACTGCAGGCAGCAGGCCGACAGCAGAGACGGCCTCGCTCACTGCACCGCAAAGGAGAGAACCAGAACAGCCCCGGGATAGCCCCCACCGTGAAGTGCAGACAGGCTGTGGAGCTCCAGTGCTGAGGACCCGGGCGGTGCGGGGCCTGCTCCGTGCTGGCAGACGGTCGCTCAGGGTCAAGAGTGAGACCTGCTTCCCTCTGCATCCCCACCCTGGGTGGATGCACCGGTCAGGCAGAAAGCCCGCCACGTGCAGAACGCAGCCGAGGTCTCTCCCTGGGGCAGGACACATGGGCCCAGCAGAGGAGGCACTGCCTAGCTGGAAAGACCATTATCCAACGGCACCTGCACACACCTGGTCTCCCCCAGCACCATGCCTGCGCTTCCCCTGCCAAAACAGTGAGCTGCCCACCGCAGCAGCTGCTGTTCCGCCCGGGGACCACCTTCCGCCCAGAGCAGCGCTGCCCTTGCCCTACCAGGACCTGCAGATTTCACTCCTCAACGGATTCTGAGCTTCCCCAGCATCCTTTTAATGACTCAGTTTCAAGAAGCTGAAACCAAGTTAAACCAGAAACAGGTAATCACCAAACCCTCTCCTCACCTGTCTGCTGAGCAGCAGCTAACACTTCGCACTGTTCTCTGGGCTTTGTAGGTATTATCTTCGTTAATCTTCCTAGCCTTTTGTGGCAAGCTTTGATTTCTCTATTTTCCTGAGATTTGGGAAAGCTAAATACTTTAGCCAAGCTTATATTAGTAAACAGCACTCAAGACTTTGTGAAAGAGCAAAAAAACGGGCCACAATATTCTGCACCTGCTACCAGCAAGAGATGGAGTCTTTGCACCACTTTTTGATTCTTGGCTTTGCCATGCCACTTGCTTTGGCCAATAAAATGTCAACACGCTGATCCAAACAGAAGCTGAGAGGACACCTGAGTGCCAGGTATGGTCTCTGCTACACTAGGACCATCACTGGAAGAAGGAAGCGTTAGCCCATGGGGGGATCACGTGGGAAAAGAGGCCCTGCCAGCCCACAGAATGCTAGAAAGTAACAAATTATTGTGTTTTTTAACTGCTCAACTTATGGTGTACGCCTGTCATCCCAGCACTCGGGAGGCTGAGGCAGGAGGGTCATCACGAGTTGGAGGCCAGCCTGGACCACATGATGAATGCAAAGCTAGCCTGAACTACATAGCGAGACCCTGCCTAAAAGAAGCCAAAAAAAAAAAAAAAAATTGCTCAACTTTGAGTGCTTTGTTACATATAGCAAAAGGTAACTGAAACAATCATGAAGTTCTTGCCCGCAAATAAATATCAGCCAATAAAAGTAAAACTTGGAGACACAGACAAAAACCTCCTTACTCTTGCGCATTTTCCCTTAGAGTCAGAATGAGAAGAAATGGAGTTTAAGTTCATCCGAACATTTTACAGCTGCACCAGAGGCAGAACCTGCTGGCAGCCAGGACGCCTAAGGACAGAAAGACCCACCGCTCTCTTCCTAACCTAACTCAGGACTCCAAGCCGAGCTCTGCCTTACGGCTGATTTGTGCAGGGCTTCTGGACAGAGCCGCACAGCAGGAGCCAGAGCAGCCGGCCACACAGGCACGGCTCAGGGTCCGGCTCCCCTCGCAGGCTGGCCAGGGGGTGCGCACTCCCCAAAGGGCAGACGGCGGCCCTGCCAGGGTGGGGGCTGCACTAGGCACAAAGAGAAGGAGAGAGAACTGATCTGAGGAGGAGTGAAACCTTCCTCCCTCTAGAACAGAAATGAACTTAGCGGTCTCCACAGCAAAGCAGAATGTGGTCCACAGCAAGCACGTGGTAGAGAGAAACAGGGCAGTGAGACTATAAACAAGGCCTAGGCCAGAGATTAAAAACATTATTCAAGGGCTTCTATCTTCAGCAAAACAACAGACAAAAAGAGAGGACCCAATAGCCTTTAGGTTTCAACTAAAATGCAAAACATAACCAGCAAGTGATTTCTTACCTCTGTGCATGATCTTGTGCTTCTCCCTCAGGTATGTCAGGCCTTTGATCACCTAGAGGAGAAGGGAACGTCAAAAGTAAAGCTTCCACGTAACAATGGCCACAAACTTGCCCGCCTCCCTTTCTTTTCTGTTTTATTTATCTTTGGCAGTGCTGGGAACTGAACCTCAGGCCTTACACACACTGGGCAAGTCCTTGGCCACCGAGCTACATCCCCTTGTTTCACTTAGTCAACTGCATAACCGAACGACCATCTTTTACATGGTCATCACTTCATTTGGTTTTTTTTAGACTGTGTCTTGATACATAGGCCAGCTTGATCTCAAACTCAAGATACTGCTGTCTCAGCCTCCCAAGTGCTGGGATTACAAGTATATACCATCACCCTGAGCAAGTATTATTAAGTGAAATTAATTACTAAAAGTTTAAGCAACTTGTAAGTAAGACTATGCATCCATTTTTTTCTTTTTTTTTGTTTTTTTTTTGTTTTTTTTCCGGTACTGGGAATCAAACTCATGACCTTGCGCTTGCCAGGCAGGCACTGTGCCGCTGAGCTAAATCCCCACCCTCATTTTTATTTTTCTAAATCTACAATCTTAAAAAAAAGGTTCTGATAGTATAAATGGAACTTTTCTCAGATACCTTGACCTGTTTATCAGACACAGATTTTAATATAAAAAAGTCCCTTTTCTCATTCTAATGAGTTAATATTGTATCCAGACTCTAGACAAAGAAAATGCTAGTGAGAACATACACACACACCTTTTAGGATTTTTCTGTTTTGGTTTGGTTTTGGGTTTTTTGTTTGGTTTGGTTTTGGTTTTGTTTTTTTTTGAGACAGGGTCTCACTACGTAGCCCAGGCTGGCCTCGAATTCATAGCAATCTTCCTGATTCGGCTTCCCAAGTGCTGGGATTACAGGTATGCACCACCCTACCCAGCATGGTTTGGTTTTCTGAGACAAGGTCTCACTAATTTGTCCACGCTGGCCTTGAACTATGAAGCCTAAACTGGCCTCTGCAATCCTCCTGCCTCAGCCTCCCACTTGCTAAGATTACAGGTATGTGCCACCATGCCTCGCTAATGAACTCCCCTTTAAAAATAAAGTTCCCTTCCTTGACTTCCCACATTCCCCCTTACTATTTTCTATGAAGTCATTATCAATGAAAGAACCTGGAAGAAAAACTTCACAACATACTCACGGCAATGCTAACTTTTCCTAAAATTTGCTCAGGAATTCTTCCAGCTTTCTTCAGGACTTGATCCAAGGAACCCCCATCCTGAGAACAAAAATACCAAACCATTTAGTGACAACATTTCTCTCATTTCAGGAGGTATCCTGCAGGAGGAAAGTGGACCTCACACCTGGCCAATCTTCCCAGGAGGTTACGGGAAGCACCCTGGCTTGGCTCCAGATGGCAAAGAAAGTATGAACAAAACACAGCGCAGGAGGTGCCAGACCGCCAGCAACTCCAGTCCTGCTCGCTTCCTTAAGCAAACTCCTATACAGGATCCCAACTCGGAACTCACAGTGCAGGGGAGCGGCTGGGAGCACGGGCTCTGCAGACGATCTGCTGGAACCCAAACTCCACCTCTGCCGCCTCCTACCCAGGGGACTGAGCACAGTGAGGCCGGTAACGGGAGGTTATTATACTCACGGGGCTCCTGTATGCGTCAAGCACGTTAATACACATAAAGCACGCAGAAGAGCATGTACCCACAATAAGCACGCAATAATGTTAGCACTTGATCATTACTGTTTTCATCACAGCTTGCACCTGGCATTCTCCTAACAAATTATAATTAACGAAATCAAAAGACTAGTGTCATAGAGAGCTTCATTCATTCTGTAATCCTACACAGTGCACTGGACTAGGTTCGCTTCTATAGAGAGCAGATAGAAAAATTACTGTATCTTCAACACACTTAACATAATAAAATCAAAGATACATAAGAAAAGTGCTGTAGACATTAAAAAGAAGGGAACAGTAATTCTGACTAAACGCAGAAGACAGCATTTAAGGTGAAATCTTTTCTTTTTTAAGACAGGGTCTCACTGTGTAGTTAGGCTGATCTTGAACTATGTAGCCCAGGCTGGCCTCAAACTCATAGCGATCCTCCTGCCTCAGCCTCCCAAGTGCTGGGATTACAGGTGTGCACCACCACATCTGGCCCAAGCTGAAATCTTACTCGGAAATAGCACTGGTTTTTGCAATTGGAAAGTGGGAAGAGCACAGAAAGAAAACAGAACAGGGTATTTCAAAAAGATCAAAGCAGAGGAGCATTAAATGGCCTCGTACTCCTGGGATGGTGTGTGCTTCATTTCAAACAGCTCTACAGAGCTGCAGGGACAATCAGGTCAGGATGGAAAGGCCAGAGTGGCCCAGGGGCCTTTAAGAGGGGAACCACAGCAGGAGGAGAGGGAGGAGCAGGAAAAGAAGGGGGTGGGGGGGAAGAGGGGACTGCAGGAGATGACAGATCACACCCAAGGCGGCTTCCTTAAATCCCTTCTGAAGCAAGGCCGGGAACAGAGGGGGAAGCAATTCCTGGACAAAATGGTGAAGAAGTCACAAAAACAGCAGCAGCACTGAGCTGAGTCTTAGGGATAAGCAGAGAGAAGCTCCCAGTATCCTGCCGGCAAGAGCGCGCAGCCTCCATGACGCCACCTGAGTGAGAGGTGAAGGAGAGAAATGCAAGGAAGAGAAGAAGCCCTTTCCTATAAAAATGCAAAGGGTGAGCATGCTCACGGTAAACAAAATTTTAAAATGTTACTAGGGCTACCTCCAATCTAGACCATAGGGATTTCTGCTGCGTGACAGTTTCTTCTTCGTGCTTCTTACAGTTCATAAATTTTCAACAAGTATATGTTTTACCTCTTTAAATTCCTAAACTGGAGGTTGGGCACATAGCTCAGGAGAGAGCACTTGCCTAGCATGTGTGAGGTCTGGGTTCAAACCCCAGCACCAAAAAACCAAACAAAAAACATTAAGCTAAGTTATAGAAGTAGAAAATTAAATCTATTAATCAGGTAACACAGTCTGAGCACCCACTCTGTAAAGGCTGTGTTAAGTAAATACAAAACCGGGCAGGGGATATAGCTCAGTGGCTCAGTGCCTGCCTGGGAAGCGCTAAGTCCTGAGTTCGATCCCTGGTACCACAAAAAGAAAAAAGTAAATACAAAACTGTCTTTGCTCGAGAAGAGGCCGAGACTCATTGAAGGACACAGATCTCCTAAGGAATTTTATCTGAATCAATGCTAAAAACAGATTATCAACTAAAAAAAAAACCTTTTTTGTTTTTTTGAACTATGCAGTTCAGGCTGGCCTTGAGCTCACTTTGTAGCTCAGGCTGGCCTTGAACTCACAGCGATCCTCCTGCCTCAGCTTCCTGGGTGCTAAGATTACAGGCGTGCACCACTATGCCTGGCTCAGCTAAAATATTTTATGCTTATGAAAAGTAAAGTTTGAAGCAATCAATTTCTGTTACAGTCAACTCTGGGTCACTGATGCTAACAAAAAAGAAATGGCCTGGGTATGGCTCCTCAAACGCAGATGGTCTCACCCAGCACACAAACATCCCTGAACATGGTGGCTTCCAACCACAATTCACGCTAGTATAACTACCCCAGGTGAGTCAATTAAGGAGAGCCATGCAGGATTCCGAAACTCAACCGAAAATCTCCAATGTGCCACAGGCGTCTCCACACAAACAGGACAGTAGATCATGAACCTAGAGCCAAAGTGAGCTCCTCTTTGAACTCCTCTTTGAAGGGCTCTCAGGCAGGCAGGGTCCGCGTGGAGCTCAAGCGATCAAATCTGTCCAGGGAGCCCGGCTGCCGGTGCAATGCCACAGGCCCCTCCTGGCCAAATCAGGGCAACAGCACAGCCCAGGTAACCACGCCAGAGGAGCTGGCTCCTGGAAACGGCAAAGCACCCCTAACTAGCCTTTACCAATGGGAAGAGGGGCTCAGGGCACCAAGTCCCTGAGCTATTTCTGTGCTGTCGCCAAATGAAGATACTTGCAGCTCCTTTGAATGGCTTTGCCTCATCTTAAAGGACTAGATATTTAAAACAAGGTAACAAATCCACTCTGTCAAAGCTTGATTCAAAAGAGGCAGAAAAGCTAACCCTGTGGTTTTGGAGTGCCTTTTTCCACCCAAGTAGTGAATGGCACAAACTCTCAACCAACTGCCAACGGCAGCCTGGGGCGGAGGGGAGCCTGGCTAGGTGAACATGTGCTACTATCCTGGGGCTTGGTTAGGTATTGATCCCTATAAAGGGGTACAGGCTGGAGCACAGTGGTAGACTGGGCTCCAATCCTAGCACCAAACCGCCCCCCACCAAAAACAGATTAAAAAGGAAGAAACAGCCAGACATGGTGGTGCACATCTGTGATCCCAGCAGTCAGGAGGCTGAGACAGAAGGATCTCCGTGAGTTTGAGGACAACCTGGACTACATAGTGAGTTCAAGGTCAGCCTGAACTACATAATGAAACCCGGTCTCAAAAAAAACCAACAAAAAAAACAAAAAATAAAGGGGCTGGGGATATAGCTCAGTGGCACAGCACCTGTCTGGCAAGTGCAAGGTCCTCAGTTCCAAATTCCCCTGTACGAGAAAAAAAAAAAAAAAGAAAGGAAAGAAACACCAGGTCTCTTCCCTTAAATCTCCTGGGCTACAAGCAGAGTTACACGGAAGACATAGTGTTCGCAGGATGTTAGGGGCCCAGCTAATCAGGGTCACCCAGAGTCGCCCATAACTAACCCTAGAGCCTTGTAACTCTAATTCACTGCCTTCTGCCTTTGCTGACTAGAGCTGCTAAATGGTGCTTATTTTTAGAAGCCAATTATTAGCTGTGTCAATGGTACTTTTGTGAAGGTTTTCTACAGATGAGACAAATGCTTTATGATAATAAAAGCCCAAAAGCTTTTACTCCTGCATAAGAACTACCGACTCCAATCCCCCATTCCCTGGTTGCTCAGCTACCACTCAGGCAGGAATCTACTTCCCAAAGACGAGCACGTTCCTTTCCACAAGGCAGACTGCTTCCCCTGGGCCTCACTGCAAACACAGCTCACTGCTGTGAAAGGCCAGCCCCATCTGGATCTCCAAGAGACGGGCTCCATGAACGCTGAGGACGCAGCTGACTTTCAAATGCGTCGGAAACGCATGTGAGCCAATTACAGACGATGCAGCGAAGTGCCAGTAGCAGGCTCGAGTGGTAGGCTCGCGGGAACATGGTACAGGCCCTTCAGCTCCCTCTATGCTTGTGTGTTTACCATGAACCACTGGATCTGAGTGTTAATGACACGGAACACCGTGCGAAGACTGCGAAGGGGGTGCGAAGACTGCGAAGGGGGTGCGAAGACTGCGATGGGGGTACGAAGGCCCTCAGAAGCTGGGAGGTGATTGCTGAGCAGTGCTCTCCATAGGGCACCACTTAGGACACACTGAGCGCAGCCCCAGCAGACGAAAGCCCAAGAGAAGTGGCTACCCGCAGGGAGTTTCCCAGGCAGGACAGCTGGGCGGGGCTCTTGCCACAAGGGGCCCTGCTCAGGGGTCAAGGAAGAGGGGACAGAAAGCTAAGGGCACTCACAGCTGCATGGAGCTCAGGCCAGAGCTGCTTTCTATACAGCCCTGCCTAGACTGCCGGGCTGCTCTGTGGACGAGACACATCCAAGGGTTAGTGCTGACTCCAAGGCCTGACTTCCACGGAGCCCGGGCTGAGAAGGCCTTCTTCCCACCCAGCCACCCTCATTCAACCACCCACGCGTGTCAGAAAGACCCCTGGCACGGTGCTTGGCCCTCAAAAGGTTTTTTGTCCGGTTGGTTGGTTGGCTGGTTGAAGAAAGGATCTGGCTAGGTTGCCTAGGCTGACCCTGCACCCGCAACAATCCACCCGCCTCTGCAGCCCAGGAGCTACGAACCTATCCCCATCATCCCCCCCACTCCCCAGGCCTCCCTGGAAGGTCTTCACCCTCCAGCCACTGACGGCCAGCTCCCGGGCCCCGCTCCCAAGCTAACTCCAGACACGTCTGCCCTGAGGACCTGGATGGCAGCACCCACTGTTCACAGAATCAAGTCCATGGCAGAAAGACTCCCCACCGCTACTAGAAATGGCCCAGGAAGTTGGGAAACCCCGCCCTGCCATGCCCAGTGTCGTCTTCTGCTAGAGAAGACCAGCGAAGGGGACACAGGAAGGACACAAAGGACATGACTAATGTCTACAAATCCAGTGTGATTACGCAGAACCTGCTCAGAACAGGTCAGTGAAAGACAAGTAAGACTGTCCCACCCACCCGGCAGGGGCACACCAGGCAGGTAAAAGAGTTCCAACAGGGTCTGAATGGAGGGAGTCGCCTCACCCAAACTCTAAGGCCAGCACCCAGAATTCCACCACGCTGGCCCTCAAATGCCCTCTGGCTCCCTCTGACATAGGGAGAAATGTGGGCACCCTAGACCTTGGTGGCAGCTCAGGAGCCTGTGAGCAGGCCTGAAGTAACACACAGCTGGTGCTCAGAAACGCTTCCGTCCACACTGCCATCCCACGGGGCGCTCAGGGGGGATGAAGATGCCGCTCTCTACGCCTCCGCCCTCAAGGCAGCGCACAGCACCCTGCACCACTAAATATCAGGTTGTCATCACTAGTATTAACACCATTACTGTTATTTTTGTTAGTCACTGAGAGGAAAAGAAAGGGACTGCAGGCAGCAGTAGTAAAAAGACAGGCTGATCACATACCTAGCAGCAGCCTGTGGACACGCTCTCTCTCACTGGCTATCGGGTAGGGTTACTTCTCTGCTGGGCCTGAGACATCCCTCAGGCTGCCCTCAAAACACATTATACACTCTAAAGGGCAGGAGCTGTTTAATGTATCTTCACAAAGTGAATACCTTGTACCCAGAACCCAGCATTATACACAATAAAAGGGTTTAAACTATGTTAAATAGATTTCAAACACATCAAATCTTTTTTTTTTTTTTTTTTTTTTGTTGTTTTTTTAAGGAGACAGGGTCTACGTAATTCAGGTTGGCCTTGAACTTGATTTGTAGTCCAGGCTGGGCTCAAACTCACAGTGATCCTCCCGCCTCAGCTTCTTGAGTGCTGGGATCACAAGTGTGAGCCACCACATCTGGCTTAATTTTTTCATTTTGAGACAGTTTCACTAAATCACTCAAGCTGGGCTCCAACTTGCAATCCTCCTGCCTCAGCCTCCGGAGGACTGGCATTATAGGCATGTGCCACCACACCTGGCCCACACCAAAATCTTAAATATTCTGGAAGGAGACAACTTAGAGGGGATCTTGCTTACTTCCAAGGTCTTTAAAGACAGGAAGGGATCTAGAAAGAAGCCAAGTTCTACAGTTAGGCTTCCCAGAAGCCCAGGACAGTGGTACAGATCCAGGGAGTCTCAGGGAAGCAGCTGTCACCTCCCACACCAAAGACTAGGCCAGAGGGCTGGGGATTTAGCTCAGTGGCACAGCACCTGCCCGGCAAGCACGAGGTCGTGAGTTAGATTCCCGGTACCGGAAAAAAAAACGAAAAATAAAAAATAAAACAAAGACTAGGCCAGAGCCACCCACTGCCAGGCAGTTGCCCTAGGCTGGTATGGTGGACCTACTGTAGGAGAACCCCAAGCCATGCTCCCCTGAGACATGAAGCCCCCTGTCTCCATCTTTACCTGATCTTTACGTCAACGCTGTTTACTGATACATGCAGGGCTGGCTGTATAGAAGCAGATGTTCTCTTAGCTGGCCAAAAGAATGTGATGAAGTCCAGCCGAGGTGCTGATCAGTTTCAGCATAGTAAAGCGGGTCAGAATTGACCCCAATGATGGCTGGAATAGAGGCTCACGCAAAAGCCTGGGAGATTCCAGAACTAAGACATGAGCTAACATCTCAGCTAAGGCCATGGACTCATAGCTTCCTGGCAGTGAAGGTGCCAGCCTTGCATACACCAAGCTGTCCATGGCACCACTAACTGCAGGGCCTCCGTGCCTGGAGCGAAAGTGCTGTTTCTCCTGCAGCCATGCCTGCAATGTCTCTCCTCCCCCGCCCACCTCTCTGACTGATACCAACAAAAGCTGTGAGCTCTTAGACTCTCGGCCTTTTGTTCCACAGAGAGCACCGGGTCATCCAGAGCACCTCAACTGCAGACTTTTCTCTGTCTTCCTTTTTCATCCATGTGCCATATGGCCGGGTGGGAGCCTCATACCCTCCGTGAGGGCTGCGGTACCTACCATGTGCTCCATGCAGATGCTGATCTCCCCGTCGCTGTAGAAGGCGCCATAGAAGCCCACGATGTACGGTGAGTTGCACTCGTGCAGCACCTGCAGCTCTCGGATGATCTGGTTCCGGATGGCCGGCTTGATCTCCAGGTGGATGAGCTGGGGCAGGAAGGTGGAGAGAAGAGGGCTCAGAGAAGGAAGGAGTGTCGATGTGTCAGGCAGCTGTGGGCACCCGAGAGCTGTCATTGGGACAGCAGCTGAGCTTCTGCTCCTAGGGACAGGGCCTCAGCCTCCGAGGAACAAAGCCGAGCACAGGGCTCGCTCCTGCGGGTCCGGGGAGACACAGTCTTCGGGGAAGCTGGCCTGGGGGCTCAGCTTCCCTTCGGGCTAGGGTGGAAAGCACGCAGAACCGGTTACACCAGCCTTGGCTGCCCCACAGCGTCCTCATGACCTTAGAAGCCTGACTGCTTGAGATGCATCCGAAGTCTCAGGTGCCACCTTATGTTCCCCTAACAGGGTCCCATGTCCCAACTAGACAGACAAGCGACTGACATCTTAAGTGATTACCTACTAATGCTGAGCTTCAGTGCCATAGCCAGCGGGCATGGTGGTACACGCCTGTAATCTCGGTACTCAGGAGGCTGAGGCAGGACGCCAGCCTGGACATAGTGAGACCCTGTCTCAAGCCCCTCCCCACCAAAAAGGAGAAGCAGCGCCACCGTCATGAGTGTCAGAGGACATGAAGTGTGGGTGCAGGCGGGAGGTGGAGCAGCTGGAGAAAGCTGGATGGGGGGCACAGCCACAACATGGGGACGGTAAGACATGGTGAGCTGGAACACGAGCAAGTCCAAGCTCTGCAGGTGGGTGGGGTGCGACTGCATTCACAAAGGGCACCCAGGATGGACCGGAAAGCAACAGCCAGCTCAAGGGAGCTGCCACAGAAGGGAGGTCAGAGGTGGGACTGCAGGGAGCCACAGGTGAGCCAGTCACACGGGAAACATGGACAGGCGGCAAACCAGCACCTGCTCCCCCACTCAGCACACAGCCACGGAAGGACCCCTGGCTGGTGTTCCCCAGGCCTGGGATGGGGATTAACATAGGCACACGATCACTGTGTCAGACTGGCGTCCCGCCTCAGCCTCCTGAGTACCGAGATTACAGGCGTTGTAGCACCATGCCCAGCTGACTGTGGCATTTTTTAAAAGCTCAGCATTACTAGGTAATCACTTAAGGTGTCGGTCACTTGCCTCTCCCACAGTCTGAGAGAACCCTAACTTCCTGCCAGCCTGGCCCCAAGCCACCGTTTATCCCAGTAAGCTCACCTTGCGGGCCATGACCAGGCCAGACGGCTTGTGGGAGACCTTGAACACCACACCGCCATTGCCAGCACCCAGCTCGCTGATCTTCTCGAAGTCGTCGTCCTTCAGCTCGCCCACCTTCTGCTTCTGTGTCAGGAAAGCCTCGAGGCGCTTCCGCTGCTGCTCATCCAGCTCCAGCTCCTCCAGCTTCTTCTGCAAGGCCTCTAGGTTGGTTCTGCACAAGTGTGTGGGGGCGACACGGTCACCAGGGAGTCACCCACCAAGAGTGCCTGTCCTGGGGGCCCCTGCACCCAGCCGCCCCCTCCAGCCTCACATCCTCACATGTAAGCTGAGGGCGCCAGGCTCTCAGTGTACTGCATGTCTCTAGGAGAAAGCGAAGAACCCACTGACATCAAGACGAGCACCTTACACTGCTCTAAAGCCTCAGTTACGGAGCCCCCCACTAATGCCGGTTTCATGTCATTTATACCGCGCACACACACAAATTCCCTTAATTTTCTCAATTGAAATTAAACCCACTTTAAACTGAGTCACAAAGGTAATAACCTTCAGTTCTAGTCTGATCAGGTCTAGGAACTAGGCTAACCAAAACAATTAGGGCAAGTTATCGTAAAAACGGTATCTATACAATCATGCTGGCATAATACCAATCAGCCTGCACTCACGCACTTGTGCTCTACCACAGGGCAAGGCCCTCTGGGTGAGCGTCCACTGTAAGAGCGCACAGCGTCCACCAGACAGAACAGAACCCCGTCCATGATTTCACGCGATGAAGTAACGATGGAGACGCTTGCCGAGTAATCATGACAAAACTTTAGGCTGATGATTTCCCACCTTACGGCTCATCTAACTGGACAGCAATGTGTTTCAGGCACCTGGCCTTACTTGGGTGTAGAGGGGGAGGAAAGGGTGGCTGCGGGTGCAGATTTGGGTAGAGCACTTCCCGAGCCCTTGCAGGGAAAGCGCTGGGTTTGGCCCCCAGCCCCAGAAAAAAAAGGAAAAGAGAAAATCACTTCATTTGCACTCATTTTTCTCAGCTTGCATGTGTTTAAATGCACTGCTGCCTAGGCGTGGTGGCGCACGCCTGCAATCCCAGCACTTGGGAGGCTGAGGCAGGAGGATCGTTGTGAGTTCGAGACCAGCCTGGGCTACAAAGTGAGCTCAAGGCCAGCCTGAACTGCATAGCGAGACCCTGTCTCAAAAAGACAAAATAAATAAATGCACTGCTGGCTACAATGCACACAGTCTGAATGGCTGTCGTGCGCATGCAGTGAGGGGGGCTGTGGCGATGGGTATGCACCTGGCATGGCCGTGTGAGCACCCCCGGCATCACTCAGTGTGTCTAATAGAACTGAAGAGAAGCTGCTGCTGTGAGGTGGCAGAGTTCCCGCTGTGTCCCCATCTGATTTCACCCTCGTCTACACAGCGACACAGCAACCAAGGTGACCAGACAGCCCTGCTACACTGCAGAATGTGTGGGCACCCCCGGGCACGCAGCAGTGCTGAGCCTGGCGGGGATAAGCACAACCTTCCACGTTCCCCTCACGCCACGGGCAGGCTCGCGTCACATGACTCGCCCAGCACCCACCTGTTTGCCAGCAGAGCTACCGTTCTCAGCGGAGACTTGCCTCAGCACCGCGGCTGCCCTTGGCAAACACAAGGTGTCATAAAAGAGGTAAGACAGAGCGTGGAATCTTCCAAGCACCAGGACACCTGAAGATACCCAAAGACTATGCCAGACGCCCCAGGACTTTGAACACCGAGACAGGGAACTCTGACCACAGATGTTGGCCAAGACCTCCTCGCTTGGGGTCCCCCGCCTGCTCTCCCCACTTGACTCCTTTGCCCAAGTCCTATAAAAGACTCTGCTTCTCTCTGCCCCACACAGACAGCCTTTTTGCCCTGTCTGCCTGCAGCCAGGCACAATAAATTCCATGTCCTGTTGCCTTTACACAAGCCTGGCGGTCTCAGCTGGCCTCTACCTCACCCACTAAGTCCAAGGAGGCAGGGAGGTGGACCCCAGACTAACTCGGGGAAGCCTGAGCACCATGTGACTGTCTGGAAAAGGACTGTCAGGAGGTAATTAAGGTTAAATAAGGTCAAAGGGAGGGGTCCTCATCAGATAAGACTGGGGGCCCCTTAAAAAGAGGAAGGTGGCTGGGTGTGGTGGTACATGCCTGTAATCCCAGCACTCGGGAGGCTGAGGCAGGAGAATCATTGCAAGTTTGAGACCAGCCTGGGCTACAAAGTGAGCTCAAGGCCAGTTTGAACTCCATGGCGAGACCCTGTCTCAAAAAAAAAAAGAAGAAGAAAAGGAAGGTGAGCTGGGCGTGGTGGTGCACGCCTGTAATCCCAGTACTCAAGAGGCTGAGGCAGGAGGATCGTTGTGAGTTCGAGGCCAGCCTGGGCTACAAACTGAGTTCGAGGCCAGCCTGAACTGCATAATGAAACCCTGTTTCAAAAAGACAAAAAAAAACGAGGAAGGTGGTCAGGGCACCCCTGGAGGAGGCTCACACAAGCACACAGACAAAGGCAGCCATCTACAAGCCAGGAAGAGATCCCCCAGGACCCCTGCGCCCATGTCCCAGCCTCAGGCTTCCAGCCTCCGGACTGCGAAACCCAGCGTGTGCTGAACTGCGTGCCACACGTCAGGCTAAGTCTCAGTGCCCGCAGCCCCTCAGTGTGAGCATTCAAAGTTCGGGGGGCTGGGAGGGCGCAATGAGTACCTCTGGGTTCTCACCACAAAGAGGCCGGCTGAGGGCCACATTTAGAGACAGACATCCAACACAGACTGAGCTGTGGCTCTGACTTGGATGAGGTCACTGCTGCGGGGAGGGCCCTGGCGCCAGCTGGAAATACGGGATCCAAAAGCGAGGTCAAAAATACACCCAGGGAGCATGCGGAGGGCAGGAGGGAGGGCTGGCTGGCCGGAAGACAACTGCGCACACTCCTGAGTGATCCACACTTATTAACTCTCTCACTCCACCACCCAAAGACAGCAAGACAGAGCAAACTGAAGCTGGCCAGGGGGATAAACTGCCCAAGGCTGAGGAGCTAGTGCAGGACACACCCGGATCTGACGGGGAGAGGTAACCTCTAACCCTGCATGACGCTGCACTGCTTCTTCAAAGGCTCACGGCAGACCAGTGTGGTGGCACACGCCTGAAGGCCCAGCAAAGGCTGGGGCAGGAGCACTGGGAGTGTAAGGGCAGCCAAGGGCCACACAGCAAGGTCAAGGCCAGCCTGAGCTACACTTAAAAAAAAGTTCAATGCTTCCACTGAGACAACTTACTAACAAAGACAAGAATCCTAGTTGCAGCACTGAACACGCTGAGGCCACATCACACATGAAGACGGTGCGCCACGCACATGGGGCCGTCCCCAGATGCGACCCTGACATGACAGCAGCCACCGGAAACTTGCTCCCCTCAGCGAGGCAAAGGTAGTGCTGATCACTTCCCTGGCTTGAAAGAAGCCATTCTTGCACCTTCACGAAGAAAATGAAGCCTGAGCTCCGTGCCCTCTTCACTCCTTCTCTGACTCCTGCGCCAGCCTTCTAATTGCGCACTCACTGCTCAGGAACTGACCCGGATGCCCGGCCAGACCGTGTGCCAAGCCCAGGTGGTAAGACTTTCTCCACAAAGCAGCAAGGCTAAGCATGGGTCCAGATAAAAACTGCCGAATTTATACGTCAGTAGTAGTCCTGGATTCTCCCCGACCTCGCTCTGCAGATAATGACAGTTCTGGGGATTGAATCCAGGGCCTTTACAGTGAGCTATGTCCCCAACCATTCCTATTTTTTATTTTGAGACAGCGTTATGCTAAGATGTCCAGGTGAACTCAAACTTGTCATCCTCCTGCCTCAGCTACCCAATGTGTTGGGATTACAGGCGTGTGACACGATAGGTGGGAAGAGTGAAATGTGTAACACATTTCTACACTCATGTTTGCGTGGGGGGAAGGGAGAAGGAACTAGGGAGAGAGAAGGAGGAGCCAAGACAACAACAGCAGGATCCAGAAATTATGACTTTCTTTTTTTTCTTTTTTTGAGACATTCTTGCTATGTAGTTCAGGCCAGCCTTGAAATCATTTTGTAGGTACACACCTGTAATCTCCGCACTCGGGAGGCTGAGGCAGGAGGATCGTTGTGAGTTTGAGGCAGCCTAGCCTACAAAGTGAGCTCAAGGCCAGCCTGAACTGCACAGTGAGACCCTGTCTCAAAAACAAAAAAAAAAAAAAAGAGAAAGAGAAAGAAATCACTATGTAGCCCACGCCGGCCTCACACTCACAGCAATCCTCCTGCCTCAGCTTCTTGAGTACTGCAATTATAGGTGTGTACCATAACGCCTGACTCTCTTTCCTTTAATAATTAAAAAAAAAAAAAAAACAGTCTTAATACATATAGTTTAGGCTGGCTTTGAACTATATACCCCAGATCCTCCCACCTCAGCCTCCCAAGTGGTGGGATCGCAGGCATGGGGCAAACCAGGCTTCCTTTAATAATTCTCAAGGTGCTTTAAAAGGATTTTTTTAAAAAATCTTACAGGGACTGGGGATTTAGCTCAGCGGCAAAAGCGCCTGCCTGGCAAGTGCAAGGTCGTGAGTTCGGTTCCCGGTACCGGAGAAAAACCAAAAAA